ATATTTTGGTAGGTATTTTTGCACATATTAAATGTATAATAGTATACAGGATATTCTTGGCATCTAAGTGTCAGAAAAATAATAAAATCTTTGTTGTAGTACTTGTTTAAGGTTTTGAAGTTAGCTCCGATTCAAGCTCAGAACAGGAGCAGTAAGATCTATATTAAATTAGGTTTTGTTTTATATTTTTGTTTTATATGGTGCACCCCAAAAACTTTTTGTGCACCTAATTTTTTAGGTTGGGTGCACCAGTGCACCTATTCCCAAAATATGAGTTTCGAGCCCTGTGGGTGGGTGGGTGATTGCTTCAACATTCAACAACAACAGCCAAGCTGGTGAAAAAAATCAGGCAGTGAGTGACAAACGGCATGTATTTCTTCCAACCGTGGACTCACATAGACCCTGAAAGACTGAAGATGACATCTCCACATCCTGGAAGGATAGGACGGCCTCCTTACTCTCAACTTACAACAGAAAGTACAGAAGAAGTCGTCAAGACAAGTCAGAACACACATAACATGTCATCACCCAGGGTAGCAAACACACAAATAGCACCTCAACTCACAAAAAAGTACATGTAACATCTGTGTCTATAATATCACCATAGTCCATAATATCGCCACCTTGAGAAAAAGTGTGCTTAATATATTTTTACTGCAACATACCCTAGGTATGTACATTTGAGGTGTGCAGGAGTGCATACCAAAAGTATGTTGCAGTAAAAAATATCTTAAGCACACTATTTCTCAAGGTGGCAATATTATGGACCCTGGTGATATTATGGACACGGATGTTATATGGCCACATAGTAAAGAAGTTAATGTCTTAGGCAAAAATAGATGTTCCATTGAAAACCAACTTACAAGCACTCTGTTCCACTTCTTGCTGGTGTTCAACTTTCCAAGTAAAGGCAAAGTAAGAAAAACACAATCCATCATTCATAAAACTCTAACACACTGTTTTTCCAGAAATGTACGCTACTTTGGACATACATGTACAGCTACAATCTTATGTGCATGACGTATGTATTTATTTATTTATTTATTGTTTAAATCTGGCAGAGCCCATAGACAACAACACAATATACATAGATCTAAAATACAATGTACATGTCTAGGATAAAAAAAACCAAGAGGTGACCTATTTATGGTCTGCGGACTAAATGGCAGTATCGTCGCCAGAACTGACTTGTCGGGAAGGCATCGGAACGTAGAAGCAAACTGATAATGTATCCTTGAAAAAAACAAGCATACAAGAGACATGAACTCATGTACAGAAAAGAAGAACAAAGCCAAGGTCAAATTATTTGCAAAAACTGTTACTGTAACAGTAGTTTGTTGCCTTACTCTGTTGTGTTGCAGCAATGGAAGTTGCCAAGGAAACTTCAGACTCTTGGGCTACAATTTCCGTGCAATGTACGCCAAGCAAGAAAAGAGATCAAGAAATTATATGTTGAGATGCCAAATACACACATCCCAAGTCACCATAAAGACAGTCAAACCATAGAAACTGATTTGAAGTACAAATGTAGGAAATCCTGTTCCAAACTCACTCTCTGATGAAGCAACTTCTGAAGTCCTTTCCCTTTCCACTTTCTCTTCTCTATCCTTGAGTGAATCCTTAGAGTCTTTTGTTACATTTGTTACAAAGACAAAAGGCAAGATCAACCTAGTTTCAATTTCACTATATTTGTCCAATACTGATGCACCGTAATAACAAACAACAAACTAGGAGGCAATATTTAACATGATGTAATAATACAAATATGTACAATTATTAGAACTGCACCATGCAACAAGTGGGAAGAAAAATAAACACACAGTACTTCTTTGATACTCTAAGACAGTGTACTCAGTGTATATTTCCTTTGTTATAGTAATTGCTGTTAGTATTATTTTTGTATGGACTTTGAACAGTGATGGAGACCTAAACACTAAACAAAATCAACTACATGTAAGCATGTATGGAAACAACAGAAAGACAGATCGTTCATAGTCACCATATAGTTCAAACTCACTTGGTTGTGCATCTGATTCAGATGTTGTGTCCCCTTCCAACGTGATGACAGACTTATCAACTTTGGCTTTCCAGAGTAGGCACAGGGGTAGAAAAATCACATTTTATTTACATGTACTTAATCTTGTACAAATAATTATAGATCCCTTAACAATGGGCTCCTGGATACAAGGGCCCAGAAGTAGCCTGGGATATAAAAAATGACCCACAGTGGGTTGACTCCTGACCCAGATTCTCCTTACCTGTATCTTTTTCATCTGTCTGTGTGTCAGACCCAGGGAGGGATGTGGGAGGTGGGGTTGGGGTGAGACCCAGGTTACAGATACAGTACAGATCGCGGGATAAGCATCATCGGGATTCGGGATTTTGCGGGATATCCCGCGGGAGTTTGCGGGATATCACGCGGGAGACTGCGGGATATCCCGCGGGAGTTTGCGGGATATCACGCGGGAGATTGCGGGATATCCCGCGGTATTCTTTCGGGAGGCCTGTCGTGTCCCGCGTACCGCGTAGCGAAAAAACTTGGTGCGAGACCCCGAAGTCTACCGCGGCTCGGAACGGCGATGGCGGCGTGCCAAATGTTTATTTTTACGTCCTGCCGGGCGATCTGTGCCGGGCGATCTGTGCTGATCTGGAGTCTGACGCCAGTCAACTTTGCTACAATTTTGCTACAATTTTAATGGTGTTGAAGCATAAGAATGTACGAAAATAATGTGTATAAGGTATTTCTCACGCGGTCATAGTTATTATAAAACTGCTACTTTTTTTTCAAAGCTATTGTTCAGCGCAAACTTTAAGAAACTACCGTGGATGAATACAATGTAACGTGTAGTAATCCCTCCGTCTCCGGTAAATTCGGCAAGATTGTTACCAAGAAATAAAAATTATGAGGCGTACCGGCAGTAGTTTGTGGTTGTTGTGTTTCATAATCTTGTAGCTGTTGTCTTCTCATGGTAGCTTGCGTCAAGAGGTCTCCGTATTAGTATTAAGAATTGCGACAATTAAAAGTCTGCCCGTCAAAATCCCGGGGCGTGCGTCTCCCCCCTCCACAAAAACTCTTGCATCAACAACGACCATGTCCATAATTAATTTCGATAGATTACTATCACCCTGAAAGCAAGGAGCAAGTACTTCCACACGGCTGGCAAAGTTTCTTTCGGTAGGAAAACATTCTACTTCTGTCAGCTGCAGGGTCAGCCAACTAGATGAAAACGGAGTCGATAGCGCACGTCCAAGACACGGGAGAACCCGAAAAATAAATAAACACGGGAGAACCCGAACTAAACGTGTTTATGATAAATTTTACGGAAATTAATTCGTTCTCAGACCATAAAACTTGAAATTCACTCGGTACACTCTATGGAACTAGCCTCCTCACATGTGAAAAACGTTGTTTTGGGATGAAATTGGGATATAAGAAAATTACAATGTCGAATGCCGGCCGTGCAAGGCGGAAAAAGAAGCCACAATCCGACGTACGTATAACAATCGTCAGGCGGTGTTTCTGTGGGGCGGTGCATCTGACTCAACTCTTTGAATTCGCGGGCCGGCTGGTGGGCGGGTCCCCATCTGCGCGCTGTGATTGGCGCGCCAGAACGCCACGTGGTCAGTCGGCGCCGGGGAGTCTGCCAGCGCCGCCGCCGCTGCTGGCGACGTGCGGTTTCTATGGCGACGCGGCGTGGGAACGCCCGGCCCAACACTGGGGGTCTGCATGCCCTTTTTCGTAAGGCGTAATCAGGCGTTTTTTTATTCATTGTCTTCGTAAACCGAAGGCAACCTTCCCAAAAATCAACGTAATTCGCAATCAGTACATTTGCCGCAAAGCGTAAAAGTCGTAATCAGCTATGAAACTTTAACTTTATAGCGAAAATTTTGCGTAATTCGTAATCAGTAACCCCCATGCAGGCCCTGAACACTGCGTGGCGCACGAAATGTATCAAAGTTTGAGGCGTAAAGAACTCTTGAATTATGCTTCGCCCCCTTGTTTTACACGATGTTTAATCTCTCTTCCGTAACTCCATACGTCAACCTCCCCTATCTAGGAGAAAAATAAAGAACTCGGGTGGCGATTTGGCACGTCGATGCGTTAGATTTTTTAAAAATTATATCTGAAATAGCGCAGGTCGGGTGACATCAAAATAAAGCCGTCCACGTCGCAAGGCCGGACACAAAACTTGTTCAAGAAGGTTGTATTACTTTGTTATCGTTCTGTACCTTATTAAGCCATCAGCTTTCCGATATTAGAAAAAAGAAATGTTTGGTTAAAAATACTATTTGCTCTACTGTTATTTGCATGCATTGAAAACATACTAAAACATGCACGCATCGTCTGCGTAAAAATCTGTAGTCAACGCGGTTCAACTTCAAGTAACAGCGGCGCCGGCCCTTCGGAAACCTAAGGTCTCACACCGAAGATCGGGGTTGCGGGAGAGGATTTCGTACCGCGGAATATCCCGAAAAATCCCGCAGGAGATCCGCAAACTCCCGCAGGAGATCCCGCAAACTCCCGCGGAAGATCCCGCAAACTCCCGCGTGATATCCCGCAAACTCCCGCGGGATCTCCCGCGGGACTTGATGCTTATCCCGAGATCTGTACTGTAAGAAATGACCCACATTGTACCATGAAACAGACCTAGTTTTTCACTACCTGTACCCTCATCATCATGTTTGCCAGTCAGTCAGCTCCAGGTAGGATGTGGGTTGGTGTGGAAAACCCATATTACACCCCTTGTGCACACAGCTAAGTGGGTATAAAAAAAGACCCATGCTGGGTTAAGTCCTGAGAAAGATAGACCCAGTTTCTCACTACCTGTATCCTCCTCATCTGTTTGCCAGCTGCCAGTCAGCCCCAGGGAGGAGTACGTGGGTGCCAGGGTTGGGGAGGACGACCCACCCATTACATACAGCTAAAAGGTGGGTACAAAAAATGACCCATGCTGGGTTGAGTCCTGAAAAAGACAGACTCTCGGTAAGTTTTTCCCTACCTGTGTCCTCCTCATCTGTCTGCCAGCTGCCTGTCAGCCCCAGGGAGAAGGACCTGGGTGGTGGGGTCGGGGTGGACGACCCATGCTGGGCCCCGGGTCGCACCGAGTCAATCAGGGACTTGATGGCTTCAGATTCCTCTTCTGCAATAAATAAATAGTTTCAGACCAAAATGTCTACTAGTCTAGTAGGCAGAAGTTACAGCATGCTACATCTTTTGTTTATGACTTCCACTTTTCTTAATGCTACTGACTGACTAATGACTACAAAATGACTAATAGTGGACGTCCCAATCACAAAGTACCTAATACCAGCCCAGAAGAGAACAAGAAATACCCATGCCTTCAAGTACCAGAGTTATCAACCAAGGATTGAGGCATTCAAGAATTCATTCTTTCCTAGAACTACCGCAGAGTGGAACTCGCTGTCACCAAGTACAGTAGGGGCATTGTCATTAGATAGCTTTCAACAATGTCTAGAGAGTTAGATGTCCAAGGGCTAGGTGTAACAAGTCGATTGGTGTAATGTAGCCAGCTGCCGCCATGTCACGTGCCTGCGAAGCTGCTGTTACGCCGAAAGGCGGTTATACCGGCTATACAGATACAAATACTGTAACAGCAATACAATACTGCAATTAGTGCAAAATGTGCTACAAAGCTGGAATGGCTTGTGAAGCAAAGCATGAATATTGCACTGAAAGCTCCCTCAAAGCCACCACCGCTGAGCTGTATGGGCACCAGAGAAACCAACTTACTTTGAGCAGGTTTAGGAGTGACAGTTTCAGCCGGAGCCTGTTTGGCTGTTCACAAGTAGCAGAGGAGAAAAAATGATTATTAAACCAGTCTGGGTCTGACTGCACAATATTGTTTCCATAATGCATTACCAACAAGTCTAATGTACATCGCCCAACCATTTCAATATATGAAGATTTCCATTGAAAGGACAAACTATCATTATTATAATAGAGACCACTAAATTTTCATCAACTTCTCTTTGTCATCTTTTTCTATTTCTATGTTCTGTGCATGTATGTACACGAAAAACTATTATCAAACTGCAAAGATCAGGGTTTGCGCAAATAAAAACAGATCTTTCACGTTTTTTGTTGGATTTTTGGTCAACGTTGCATCAGAGTTTTGCCTGTTGCAGACGATATTTTAACCAACATAACATTTGGAAACTACAGACGGGATGTTAACCTTATATGCACGAATACGAGATGTTCGGAGGTTCAGTGCGTTCTGCCGATGTGCTCTTATTTAGAAGCTATAGCTGACCCTCCAACTTTGACCCCACCTTTGTCAGTGACGGGTGTCGCCCTCTTGGAGCCGTCCTGTTCGTCGCGGAGCAGCATGGGCGTGCTGTCACGCTTCACCAGGTGCTGCAGCAGCTCCGTCTCGCTCATACGCTCCGCCTGCTTCTCGTTGAAGCGGCTGCTGGGGCGCGAGGGCGAGGCGCGTGACACGGCCAGCTGCACGTTGCCCTTGGCCTTGCGCAGGATGGCCACGGCTTTACTGTGGGACAACCCGATCAGACTCTCCCCATTGATCTGTGAAAAGCAGAAGGAATGGGTTATTAGTAACTTATTACAGAAACTGACACAGCGTGCAAAATACCTGGTTGCCCAGTTGCCCCGGGCAACTAAATTTTACTTGGGGCAACCTATTTTTGAACCTTGGTAGCCCAGTACTAGTGTGCTACCTGAATGTGAAGAATGCCCCCCGCCAAAAAAAAATCATGCCCACTTGGCTTGCACCACTGTATCGGGCAGATGCTTTTTAATTTTAGGTATTAATGGCTATTACTAGTATCAGTTAACTAAAGGCTGTTAGAAATATTGTCAAAGGCGTATGTATGTCTCAAATACTTAATTTGAGGAAAGTAGTAACTTACATGTATACAATGTAGGTGGGGCAACCTAAAATTTTGATGGGCAACTTAATTTTTGCCATAGGTTGCCCACTGGTGTACACTGCTGACAGTAGATACATATACATGTACATTGTACAGAAGCACTTTTAGAATGTAAATCTTTCATTAGATAGCACTTTTAGAATGCAAATATTTCAAGGCAGTACAATTTTGCCCTCATCTTTACCAATCCTGACTTACCGTAACTTCTCATCTCTATCTTTCTAATATTTTCATTGTTTGATATTTTAACATATCTCAATATCTTTACATCTAAGGCCACACCAATTTAATTTGTTGGTTCTCGGATTCGCCTCTTCATTTTTTTTCTGATTTGCAAAAAAAAAAAGGTTCTGGTTCAGAATCAACTAAAAAATGCTCATATTTTGCTCCCAACAGTTGAGGAAAGTCCTTTTCTTCCTAGTTTTTACAGTTTTTCAATCTTTTAATGCAGTGGTTTGGTTAAAAGTTCAAAATTCATTGTTTCAAATTTTATCCCAGCCTTTTGTGTTGACTTCATGGCTCCATTCAAAGCATTTGGGACTATAATAGGATGCCTCAAAAACTAAAAAGCAGGATACAAGCTACTGAAATGCGAGTGTTACGACTCATCTATGGTGTCACAAAAAGAGACAAAATCAGGAATGACATCATCCGTGGAGCACTTTCAGTTGAGTCAGTACTCTCCATTGTGGAAAGAAACCAACTGAGATGGTTTGGACACCTACACAGGATGCCGGAAGATAGGGATGTGAAGAGAATCTTTAATTGGAAACCCAAAAAGAAAAGACCAGCCGGCAGGCCAAGAAAAAGATGGTTGGACCAGATCATTGAAATCACCAGAAGAGAAGAGCCAGACTTCCGAGTAGTTAAAGAAATAGCTGAAGATAGAACAGAGTGGAAAAGACTGACCAAGAGGCTGACAACTTACAGGCCTAAGGCCTAAAGGCGTCAGGGTGAGAAAGGTGAGAATAGGATGCCTAGACCTGTTTTTATTTTTATTTTTTTTCGCCCTGTCGCTTCATATTTTTTCTGAAAAAATCCGAGAACCAACAAACTAAATTGGTGTGGCCTAATAAATATATATTATGCTTGCAAGCTAACAGGTACTTCCTTACCCCAAACATTGTACATGTAAAAAGTCATTAAAAAATGTGACCTTCAAACCATCATCTGATAATATGCCAATTGAAAGCTGACTGTAAACTCTGAACTCTAACCCTTGCCCTCTGACTTACCTGTAAGAGCCTGTCTCCGACCTTGACCCTGCCGTCCTTGTCAGCCACGCTGCCAGGCGTGATGGTTTTGATAAAAATCCCCGTGCTGCCACCCTTCTCACCCCCCACCAGCGAGAATCCAAGGCCCCCGCCGCTGGGCTTCTCCAGCTCCAGACGGAGCACGCCACTCTGAAAAAGGGGTGATAATGGCATTAGTATTATACATGTAGATATTCTGTACCATCTTGATTGCATTTTTCGTCACCTTTGCCTAACAAGAGAAATATCCAAGTAACAGTAATACTCAAGTAAAAGATACTCAAGTGGATAGATTTTGAAAATGGTTAGACATTTCAGGTAGCATTCATTACGTGTTTTTTGGACCCATGTACAAAAATGTACCTGAAATGTCTGACATTTTCAAAATTTGTCCTGTTGCTCATTTCACTCGGTGGTTTATTCGGTGGTTATCGCACCCGACCACGGATTATCTCACCATATACACCTCGGGTCGGGGCATTAACCCTTTATTATCATAACCAGAGAAATGGTATTGGTTTCAAGGTTTTGTTTGACTTTTATAATCATTAATTCCTAGTAATAATGTCACTCCCCTTACACAAAAAGAGCTCACAACATAATTGTATAGTATGTACATGACTGTTAATGTTATAGAACTGAAGGTCCTTTAATTCACAGAACCCAAGCATCTCACCACTGGCGGCTTAGGAGACTGGATGGGTGTGTTAGTGTCAGAGAAATGGTTGTCAAGGAAACCGTTGTCAAGGAAACTGTTGTCAGGGAAACGGTCATCAGTGTCACACTGTGGGAACAGAACACAGAAGTGCAAAACAAGAAGTGCAAAACAAGTGATGGAATAAAACTGTGGGTTGCAAACAAAATGAAACGTAATACTAGAGTTCCATGATCTCATACCTTCGCCAAATGATGTTACCCTTAGGCCTTGATGAATGTTGACGATTCGCATTAATTATGCAAATTAGGCATTCATTTGCATTGATCACTACCTGCCAATGTTCTTCTTCACAATTACACATGCCACACGTTTGAATAATCATATCATGGAAGGTAGCAGATTTATAGCATTTCCTCATTAATTATGCTAATTAGCTGCTGATTTGCATAACTATCATTTTCATGTCAAGCATTCTTTAACTTTTAAGGTACCCACATACCAAAAATCATGATGATCCGTCAATCGGTTCTTGAGTTATCCTCCTTCGAATATTTTTCAACGAATGCTTCTGCAGTTCCAGAACAAGCCGCTAGGGGGTCCAAGCCCATGTCACTTCTTTCCCAGCCAAAGAGCTACCTACCATTCAAATTTAGTGACCCTACCATGCCCAGATCACGAGATATCAAAACTGGAAGTTCAGCTGCAGTACCATATCAAGCCGCCAGGGGGTCCAAAATCTAATCAGTTCCAGGTCTCAACAAGACCTACCCACCTACCAAATATAAAGACAATTCATCGTAGCCTTCTTGAGTTATTGTGTTGACACACACACACACACACACAGACACACGAACGCCAACGAAAACATAACCTTCTTGGCGAAGGTAACTAGTATTACTAAGTGCAACACAAAGAATGCAAATTGTGATGACAAACAACTAAGGTTTCTAAAAGGCAGGGCTCGAAATACCACCTGCATATGCAGGTTAGTGCAGGTAAATTGTAGCTGTGCAGGTGTTTTTCATGTCTACCTACACCTAACTTGCACTGGTTAATGTAGGGTTTATATAATTTTGTATGTGGAGTTGGATTTTTATTTGCATGACTATAACCACGTATGAAGTATAGAAGAAATTGGATGTCAAAAGTTTTTAGTATGATCCAGACATCGTAATTTATGAGTAATGCAGGTAAAAATTGTCTTATTTTTTATGTTACCTGCACTGGTGTGATGTTACCTACACCGGTGCAGGTATACAGAAAAAAGTACAATGTACAATGTATTTCGAGCCCTCTATAAGCTTTAAGGGATGTGCTAATAATAAGCATAAATGACACTGTGAATGGTGTTATAATGATGGAAAAGGTTTTAGTGCAACTCGTCAGTACATGTCAGGTTGTTAAAGCATGTTATTATAAAAAACAACAGGTAGTAGTCAGTGTCACTACTCTGTTCAGTCATTCTTCAAAATGCAGATACTCTGGGTTGCAACTTTGTATATCATGAATGTAGATTTATCTAGTGTAAGAGGCCAGGCCCCTCCTTCGCTGTCTTCGTACTTGCAGCTCCCAAAAAAGGAAGGCAATCTCTTCGAAGCACTTCCAAAAATGGTTGGATCCTTGCCTATGTCTCTTACAGAACGTACCCCATTCAACTACAATGTAGCTTTAAGCCTAACAGAACAATGTCAATGTGGACCTGACTGACTCTAAGCACTACACACTATTTCCACCCATTTGCTACATCATTCTGGAACATTCACACAGTCTCATATCACAGTTCCACCTAGGTCTCACACTACAGTTTGACACCAGTGATGTACCTCTGGAGTATACAGCTGCGAAGGTGGTCCATGTTCCGGACTTTCGTTTTCCGTGCTAGAATCGGTGAGCGGGAGGGGGGATACGGGGATGGCGGGAGACGATATCGCTTCCATGCCGCGCTCCGGTTCAGAGTCCGAACTCAGAGACCGGATGGACGCGCGAGGTTGCGTCGTCGGGCGGGGCTGGGGCGTGGTTGTCGGGGAGCGGGGAGTCAGTACGTCATCATCTTCCAGCTGATGAACAGGTCTGCCATTCCTACAGAAATATGAAAAAGGAAATTTAAAGAAAACTAGAGAAGTAACATTTGCAAAGCAAATGCATAATGTTTACCTTCGGACATGGTCTGTCCTGTTAATTTTTACTCAAACACATTCACATACATGTACTACGAGTATATGGTGACAGGAGTAGAGCAGACCATGAAATTGCAACATTATGTAACCCAACACCAGTCACCATGGTGACAGACGTCAACAAATCATGTCATTGGCCAGGTCAGAGGTTAGTGTTTGGAACAGAAGAAGTTAGTCGAGATCTGTACTGTAGGCATGTCCCAAGGCAAGTTACAAGGGTCCTAACTGTATTTAGCAAACCTACCTGGTTGCCTTAATCTCAACTTCAGGTCCTGCCGCATCGAGAATTGCCTGTGCCAACTCTGACGACAGTCCCAACATGCTCTGGTCCCCGATGTAGTGGACCTTATAACAGAAGAAAAAAGGTTCATATTGTCAAATGAAATTATGCTTCCAAAGAAAGACAAATTTTCAAGGTAGACGCAGTGCAACAACTCTTATACATACAATATCCTCGAAGAATAAATTTTAAGCATTTTAAAGTGGCCACTTCATTAGGTAGGCGCATTAGCAAATTAGATAGCTTTAAACAACATGCGTTAGATCATATGCAGGGATTAGAGTTGTTTGTATAAGCAGCTCTTGGCACATGAAGGGCAGTTTTAGACTGACCAATCTGGACGACCAGTTTAGATTACCTAATTAGGATGATCAACAGTTTAGGCTGACCAATCTGGATGATCAACAGTTTAGGCTGACCAATCAGGATGATCAACAGTTTAGGCTGACCAATCAGGATGATCAACAGTTTAGGCTGACTAATCAGTGAAAGAGATATATCATACACACCTTGTCACCCAGGTGGATGCTACCATCTTGGTCTGCGGGGAGGTCAGGGACGATCTCGCCGACGTAGATGGATTCTTGTGGGGAGCCCACCCCTCCAGTCAGGTTCAGACCTGCCAACGGGAAACTCAAATAGTACCAGAAATCACAGTGTGGGAGGGGGGCAGGCTGTTCAAACTATATATTAGGTCTCCTGGACACCAGTATTTATTCACAAAATCTCTTTGTAAGGCCTACTACACAACTGGGAACTGACAACAGGACAACTTCGTACTTCTGCACTTTGGGAAGGATGTACAGATTAAAAACAAATTCTCTTTTTAATAGTTTATCTAATAACTATAGCAATCACTCGTGATCTTTATTTGCAATCGGATACAGCTTCATGTACAGATATACAGAATGATACAGACTTTCTCAGTAGGATGACCGTGTCAGTCCCTACACCTGAGTGAGGGTTACAGTTGACACGGTGGCCTTCGCGTGGATTTGGTTAAGGTGGATAACAGGTTGCGAATCTGAGACCCACACACTTGGGTATCCATCTTCCCCAGCAGATCCATATCAAGGGAGACGTGCTGGTTCCGGTTGGGATGCTTGAAGCAAGCTGCCGGATGACTTGGTTACGCTTAATAGTAGTTTTGTGAAAAACTCAAACATGACATCGCACTAAAAATTGTACATCTTCCAACATATACAAACTAACGGCTCACAAACCTAATAGCCCTGTGCTGTTCCTGATCAGAGTGACAGTAGGGAGAGTGTAGGGTGGGAGGGGGGCAGGCTGTTCGAACTCAGGCCTGCGGTACACCCTGATGGTGACGGTCTGCGGCGTGGAGCGTAGCAGACTCACGGCGTCAGAGTGGCTCATGTCCGACACATCCTGGCCATTCACCTGGGGAGGTATTGGAGAAACATAATGTTAGAATGTGTGTCTGCTGTGTGTCTACTTGTTTCGGGTGTACAAAGAGTGCTAAACGGAATAACAATCATGATGGAACAAAATGGAGTGAACTGGAATGAAATAGAGCAAAATGGAACTTTTTCTTTTTTTTTCATTTATAATTGCACTTTACTTTTCATTTCTATTTCCTTCTGTTTCGTTCCATTCCATTACATTGCATACATTCTGTACACCACTTGTCTGTGTGTGTGTGTGTTTAAATGATTCCCAAAATAAACCTATCAGTAACATGCATGTTACAATTATCATACATCCTCAGTGATGCTATTTTTATAGGATTAGGGTTGCAAAAAAAGTATGGATAATGGTTGAAGTCTGCAATCTCTTACAGCCTCTGATTAAGAAATAATTTCAAAATTTGAATTATGAAATAATTTCAAAATTTACAGAAAGTCAAGACCATTGGGATCATCTCACCTTCATAAGCCTGTCCCCTGGTCTCAGTCTGCCATCGGCCTTGGCGGGATCCTGCACCACCCCCTTAACATAACACCCCCCTGTGTCTGCACCCCCCGCCACTGTGAACCCTAACCCCCCTGTTGAGCTCTTGGTGAGGGTCACTTCAATTTCCTGGATAGAGGGCAAAGGAATAAGAACTACAGAAAATCTGCTCAAAGTTTCAAACATGTGCATTGTAACACTACATGTATTTACTTAATAAGTAATTATGAAATTCACACTTTCAAATGTTTTTGCTGGAATTTCTAGCAAAATTTCAACAAAATTGGATGCAACTGACAAATTATCCAATTATTGCACGCTACAGTGTACATCCTAATGCTATTTTGACATGAAAAAGGAAGCACTTTCAATTCCAAAACAAAAACATTCAAGCTTTCAATGAAGCAAAGCGCACAGCACAGCCTTTTCCGGAAACCCGAAGCAAAGCAAAGATTATGCTAACCCCTGATTGGAGCTCTTCACTGTCAGTTGGGTCAGGTGACGTGGGGCTGGACACTGATTGGCTGTTATCATGATCAGGTGACTGTAACCCTGGTGATGAGAGGCTCTGAGTGGGGAAGTCAGCTGGTGTAGACGATGACAGTGGTCCAACTGAGGGTAACAAAACAAAAGGGCTTTCAGAAAATCTGAACTATCTTATTGTTTATTTCTTTCCATTTGAAGAAAAAAAATTTTCCTTTCTTGTTTTCCTCTTTGCCAGAATTCAAAGGTAAAGGTACATTGTTTAGTTCTATAACCTTTTTGAGGGCAGTTGATCTTCATGTCTAGAGCAAATTAATGGAAGGTAGAGCCCATCCCTCTTCTTCCACCACCTTTTACATTACCAACCAATTGCAAGGTACCTATTTAACACATGGGTGGAGTGTCATGTACTTCATGTTAAGTGCCTTTTACAAAGACACAACATCTAGCCAGGAATGCCCAGGATTACATCCTCTCAATCTCGTGTTTGCTATCCTAGCCACTAAGCCATTCGAGGCCATAAATACATGATTGTAGTATTAGTAAACATGAACCATGAAAATAAACAGCTCACCTGTGGAGGACTCCTGTGTGTCCTCCTCTATGGTAGGTGACAGAGGAGCGCCGTACTGTGCCAGCATGTCAGGGGTGGGGGATGTGGGCAAGCTCTGGGAATGCAAGGAACAAAAATTAGCAAGAAAATTCATCTGAATTCAAAATACAGTCTATGCCTGTGTATTGAAAAACTAAAACTGTTCTCCAGCTGAAAGAATTACTGACTGAAAATCACTTCAAGAATAACTTAAGTCAAAATCACTATAACTACTCATCTGTCACAGTGTGGTACTGGATTGACTTCAAAGGGAACAACATTCAATTTTCAGATCTTTAAACATAAAAATCTATGAATGTAAATCAGGTGTGTAGCAGTTACATGTACACTGGCAAAGCCCCAGCCGCAAAATCAGAACCGTCCCCGACCACCAACCAACCGAGGTAGGCTGAAGTTCAGTAGCAGCTAGTCTGACCAGATTCAGGCAATGCCTAGACCTTTCTATACAAATTGAAATAGATTTAACTGACATGTACAGGTGAGAGAAGTATACTTACAGCAGGTGAGACCTCAGGTAGTGTTCCAGGCTCAGGTCTACAGATGGACAGGTGTACCTGAGGGGGTGATGATCTCAGCAGAGCAACTATCTCCTGAAAAGTATTCATTCCCAATCAACAGGAGCCAAGCAGAACCAAACAGAACAAAGAATTGACCACAAAAATTTTAGAAAACCCTTGCTTGTAATACACCTTTCACACTTGAGGTGGGATTAGCCAGAATGCGGAAAGGTTAGAGCATGACCGAAACATTTAGGCCAGGTTTAAGAATGGGCATTTGTATCTGGAATGCACTGAGAATTTCTAGAGTGCATGTCAAATGTGGGGTCATGTGGCGCAGCGGTAGCGTGTTCGGCTCAGGGCCAAGAGGTCCTGGGTTCGATCCCCACCCATGTCACCGATCTTGTGCCCTTGGGAAAGGCACTTAACATGACTTTCCTCTCTTTACTCAGGTGTATATGAGTACCTAGCTTTGGTTAGGGACGTCCCTTGGATAGGACGTTAAATGGAGGTCCCGCATTTGGGGAGAGCCACACTCCACGCATGTTAAAGAACCCACCACACCTTTCAAAAAAGAGTAGGGGCATGCCCCAGTGTGCAATGGTACAAAATTCTTGCCAAGAATTGGCATGCCAGAATGATCAAGTTGAATCGGATGATTGTGGGCATTAAAGGAAAGACAATTGTCCAGGAATATACAATGGTCAATCCGGCTCATTCTGCCTCTAATGTGAAGGTGGAGTAAGAAACCGGCTGCCGTGATATCAGACAGAAAATCAAAGTTGTGCTCTAAAACACGGAAAAGAAAACCTACACTGTGTTTTAGACACTGGAGTTCCCTTCCGTTGACCTTCAGGATGACGTCCCCGACCTCTAACCTTCCACTCTCCGCGGCCGGTTGCCCGGGAAACAGCTTCTTGATGCGAGGAATGCAAAACTGGGGGTCGGGGTGTGCATCCTTACCGCCCTGGATACTCAGCCCCAGGCCGGTGGTGCTTTTGTTGAGATCTACTGTGAAGGTGTTGTCTGTGGTAAAAAGGGTAACATTTCATAATTTAATCATACATTAGAGTCTAGACATAACACTAAAAGTTTTAAGTATTTCAAAATGTAGAAACACATAACAAAATCTAAAAGCCAATCAGTGTATGTCTGACTGAACAATGGACAAACTTCATATGTTATCCCCAAAACAAGTACTTAAATCAAAAATACTTATAAACACGCGAACAAAGGTACTACATGTATATTCTTCCTCTAAACTGTAAAAAAGCACCAGATTCAACAATAAAAATAAAATTTTCACGAAACCCATAATGTATTATGCATTGCACTTCAGCAGAACGTAGAATGACCTCCCATCTATAGCTTTCAAATGTTGTGTTGGTAAAGATATTGTCCGCAATGGACAAAATTCTGATGAAACGTTGACCAAAAATCCAAAGAAAAACTGTGTAAAAATCCAGGTTTCGGGAAGGTGTATTGCATTCTGCTATACATGCTGTGTTCTTGCCAACAGAGTACATCAACAAATAAATTCTTCACTGTTGGTGTCTTACCATCTGTGACAAAGGGGTACTCGGGGGGAGGGGTGTCGGGAGGACTGGTGCGTCCCCCCTCCCCCTCCTCCTCCTCCTCAGGGGTGGGGGTCAGGACTGTACCACTCATCATGGAGGTAGAGGCCAGGCTCATGGGGTCAGGGGACAGACTCCTGCTGAAGTCCTCCTCTTCCTCAGGGTCATGGGAGGTCGGCAGGACCTGTGGACAAACACACGACATACATTTTAGCCCAGGTCACAAACGACGTACATTGCATCCACAATAGCATTACGGCATACTTGCTGAATGATTCCAGGTAAATGTTTAGGTCAAGTCAGCTATTGCAATTTATCGAGGTACATGTACGCTCATTTAACCCTATCGTATGAATCATTTGTGATGGCTTTAACAATGCGTTTTTCCCATTATCATCATAGAGGAAAATCCCATTGCTGGTAAGTCTTATAGTAGCTTTAAAGCTGGTTCATATTGATAACATCAATCCGAAAAAATCTGTCTTGGTGGTGAGTGAAGAAATTTTTATTCAATTCAATTCAAACCAGTTGCTATGAACCGCTATACACAATTTACCCTTTAGCTGCAGTGTGTATTGATCAATAAACCAATTAATTGATATATTACTTCATTGATTGATTGATTGACTGATTAATTGATACCTCTTCAGGCTCCTCCTGGTGTGTGGACGATGTTTCAGACTTGTCTCCACTACCTGGTGGTACACCCCTCTCTATTAACAGGGTTGTTACCTATGAAAAGCAAAAAGAATATGTTAGGGCAGCACTGTCCTTGGTTCTGAAAGTGTTGTGTTCTTAAAAAAGGGTTTCCACTTGGTAAATAGCAGAACAATCAAAGATAAAAAGGGGATAGAAGACAATGCTGTCCTTGGTGCTGAAAGTGCTGTGTGCTTAAAAAAGGGTTTCCACTCGGTAAAAAGTAGCACAATCAAAGATAAAAAGGGATAGAAGCAGACACAAAGGCCATTAGGATGACAAGCATGAAAAAATATGTGACGAAAGTGCTGTCCTTGGTGCTGAAAGTGCTGTGTTCTTAAAAATTATTTCCACTCGGTAAAAAGTAGAACATTCAAAGATAAAAAGGTATAGAAGCAGGCACAAAGGCCATTAGGATGACAAACACGGAAACAATGTGTTAGGGTAGCACTGTCCTTGGTGCTGAAAGTACTATGTTCTTAAAACAAGGGTTTCCACTGGGTAAAAAGTAGAACATTCAAAGATAAAAAGGTGACAGAAGCAGACACAAAGGCCACTAGGATGACAAACATGAAAGAATGTGTGAATTAAATGCTGTCCTTGGTGCTGAAAGTGCTGTGTTCTTAAAACAAGGGTTTCCACTCTGTAAATAGTAGAATATTCAAAGATAAAAAGGGATAGAGGCAGACACAAAGGCCACTAGGATGACAAACATGAAAGACTGTGTTAAGAATATGCTGTCCTTGGTGCTGAAAGTTCTGGGTTTCCACTCAGTAAAAAGTAGAACATTCAAAGATAAAAAGGTATAGAAGCAGGCACAAAGGTCATTAGGATGACAAACACGGAAACAATGTGTTAGGGCAGCACTGTCCTTGGTGCTGAAAGTGCAGTGTTCTTAAAAAACGTTTTCCACTCGGTAAAAAGCAAAAGATAAAAAGGGATAGAAGCAGACACAGTTGCAACAAAAAAAAAACAATTTTGTATTGGAGAAATCATGTACAACACATTCCTGGACTTCTAATACAAATACAAACAATAGACAATTACATCAAGTCAAAACCCTGTTAAAAGTCAGTTTTCTAAAAATCATTGTTACCGGCACCTTAAAATTCAGGATAGCTTTATGCGTGCTCACACAATTGAGGTAAGCTCCTACCTGTGGTGAGTTGCGCATGGCCTCCACAGCCTGCTTGTGGGTCACGTTAGTCAGGCTGACCCCGTTAACCTTCAGCACTCTGTCACCTTTGGAGGCAGGAAGAAAGATGGACGATACATTAAGAGGACTTGCAGTTTTGCCTTATTATACATGAAATCAAATATGTTCAGATTGTCTTGTCTTTCCTTTGATGCCCGCAAACATGTTGATAATTATTGCTCAGGCATGCCAAGTCAGGTGATTTAAAGTGAATAACCAACTCAATACAGCAGGATTTGGACTGTTCCTACCCTTTTTCAAAAGGGTTCCTTTGCGTGATCAAAGTCTGGGTCTTCTAAACACCAAAGCTGGGCACATATTTCCAACTGAGTGAGAAAATCTGTCTAAGTTGTTTTTCAAAGAGGCTCAAAGTTGGGGCATGTCAGGAGATTCAAACCAAGTACCCTGGGCCGAACACCCTAGTAACCATTAGTTACAGCACAGAATGTTACATAAAGCCAGTCTGCGACTACACTGTGTAAGGAGTTGACAGGAAAAATTTTTCCTTACCGATCCTCACTCTGCCATCCACATCAGCTGCCCCGTTGGGAAAGAGAGTCTTGACATAGATCCCACCATACTTCACACTGGTGTTGACGCCACCCTAGAGAAAGGATTCTGCTGTCAGTATTTCCCTTTGTAATCATGCCATTTTTCAAGACATTTCTCAAGAATACTAAAAAAAAGTGTAGTGGGCTCTACCCTGTTACTGGCCACCTCATTTGCATGTTGAAAATCAGACCTCTTCACTTGAACACACCATAGTGGCTTTTTTTTTTTTTAACGGTGTCGCTCAATGCAAGGCCATTTGGCCACTTCTAGGCATAGAGCTAGCCTGTAACTGTAACAGCAACTCTTCTCCCTGAGTCAGAAACATCATCACAAGTAGTGAGGACTAACTGACCCACTAGGAGAAGCAGGGGTTACGAGGCTGGTCGGGAAAATTCCCTACCCCTTTTTTGACCATAATGGTTTGTTCCACTTCCGCTCACGTGGGTTCTTTAACGTGCTTGAGGTGTGTCTCTTCTCAAACACGGGACCTCCATTTTAACGTCCCATCCGATAATTGCATTCTAATTACCAAAAAGTGATTTGAACCTGTATATACAAAATGTACAGTACATTTGAGACTGATTTTGTCCTTCCTAATCACACCAATGGGAACATAACTTGTAATTCATAACTGGATTCAGTTACCTTAATCTTCTTTTCAACAAAAGCAATTATAAACCTGGATGTTGGTGACTTACCGTGACACTGAGCCCCAGACTGTTGCTAGTCTTCCTCAGGGCCACCTCGAACACGTCCCCGGGCTTCAGGTCGTTCTGTGTGAGCCTCATGGACGGCCTCTTCTCCACACTGGCCTGGTACGGCCCTGCCTCCTCGTGAAGCAACGCCGTGTCGTCTGACCGCTGCGGGATGTCCGGGGACGTGAAGCCGTCCGTGGAGTTCCTGTGCTGACTCTGTGCGGCGACTGCAGCTGTATCCACGTCTGTCCACGAATCTCTTCTGTTGGGCATTAAAAATAGTCAAAAAGTCAAAGTTACTTTCCACACCTATACATGGTGCATAGGGTGGAACCCATCGCTGTTCAATAGCCCTTGGGCCATACAGTTGTAAAATCACTATAGCACAGCACAAGTCTACTAAAAGTGCTGTTAGTTTGACTCCCATAGTCTGTCAAAATGCTGAGTGCTATGCAGAGAAAGCAGTATGTGCCATTTTTATTTTGTGTGTTTTCGGTATAACTCGGGCAAAGGATTGAAGTCAAAAAGTACCAAAAGTAAGGAAAATAGGAGAAAAATGGCAATGATAAGTGGCAGACTCAGTGAGACTGAACCAACTATCAAAAAATGATACTTGTTATACTCAAAATACGACAGGAAACAAGTTTTGGTAATACAAACCTGTCATCATCTTCAAAAGCCGGGTTGCTGAGTCCTGCAAACTGGGATGGCTGGTACCTCCCTGCACCGGTGTTATCCGGGAGAACGTCCTCATCATCAGAAGCCTCAGGAGTCGTTATCCACGATTGGTCGTCACCATCTGACCTTCCTTGCGACCTCGCAGAGCCAAGTAGCGAGTGCGACCTTGAACTCTGACCTCCGGAGGGTCGTCTGTCGTAACCGTGCATCGTGGATGGCGAATCCATGCTGATGTCTATGTTTTCGTAGTCCAGGTTCTGGTTGCCATGGTGAGGGATTTGATTGGCAGGCCTATCCATGTGGTGGTTGCCATGGTGAGGAGTTTGATTGGCAGGTCTCATTGGTTGACTGACTTCCATGGGATCCATGTCTTCAGTGGCAGAAGGCCTTTGCACAGACTGTGGGGTTCTATTGTGTTGGTCTGTGAAGAAAACAATATTATGCCTTATGAGTTTACATGTACATGACGCATTTAACTCAACACATGAATAGTCAAGAATATTCATATTGCTTTATTACTTAGCGTCTAAGTCTGCTAGCACTACAACCACTGGGTAAGATCATACTGTAGGTAAGTGTGTGTGTTTTTATTGATATTGTATTATGATCCACTGTTCACTGAGTCACGTCATCTGCATAACGTGACATCACAGAAGTGGTGGATTGCTCAATCCTTGACAAAGACTGGAGTTGTACAGTCAAAAATTTGTGTAAGTCCAATTTCTCGTCTTGGAAACTAGAGTGTTTGAACTTGATTCATGATAACATGACATCACTGAAGTGATAGATTGCTCATTCCTAGACAAAGACTGGAATTATACAGTTGAAAATTTGTGTAAGTCCAATTTTTGTCTTGGAAATTACAGTGTTTAGACTTGCTTCAGGATAACTTCTACCAACATAGACAAACTTTTAAGACTAGAAAAGTAACATTTGCAAAGCAAATGCATAATGGTTACCTTCGCATATGGTCTGCTCTGTAAATTCTTACTCAAACACATTCACATAAAATATGCAGCAGGAGTCTAAATCCCTCCTACTATAAAATTGCAACATGATGTAACCCAGCACCAGTTACCATGGTAAGAGACAGTCTGGTTCAGTCAGGTCATAGGTCACTGTTTGGAGAAGAAGAAATGTAGCAAAAACAATATGGTTTCCTTCGGTAAACATAATAATGCTCACCCCTGTAAGACTTCTCCTGTGAGACGATGAACTGGACCTGTTTGGGAGAGTGTTTGATGATCTCCACCACCCCCTGGTGGTTCACACCCTCCAGACTTCTCCCGTTCACAGAGATGATTCTGTCACCTGAAGGACACACAGCCATCAGCTGTCAATCATTACATTTTGCATAGGGAATCAAATAACTATGGTCATTTTGAATACCGCAAGTTCTTGTCCAAGTCTTTGGGATTTTTGTTTTGGCAGTCTAACTTTATATGTTACTGTTATATGCACATAAAATATCCTCAAGACAGTTGCTGGACAACTGTTTGTTTGTGTGTTCAAGCCATTTTATCAGACTAAAAAACTGACAAATCTGGTCAGAAGAAGACCTTTATTTATTAAATCTGAACAGTTTTTAAAGTATGATCCATACTGAGTGTTACATATAAAATTTGTATGGTGCAGGTAAATTCTCATGTTACCTACACCAGTGCAGTTATGCAGAAAAAAGCATTTGGAGCCCTGGGTGTACAAGACTGATGTGTTTACCTGGTCTGAGCCTGCCGTCCCTGTGTGCAGGTCCTCCTGGTGTCACAGACTTGATAAACAGTCCCAGGTCCAGCTTACCTCTTGTCTCTCCTCCAACTATGGTGATACCTGCATCAAGGTCATGAGGGAAGAGGTATGGGTCAGAGAAAATAGATCTGATTCAACAACTTTAAGATAAACACTTTAGGCTACACCAATTTGATTTGTTGCTTCTCGGATCACCCTTTCCATTTTTTTCTGATTTGACAAAAAAAAAAAATTGGGGGGGGTTCTAAATTAACTGCAAAATACTCAATGAAAGACATATTTTGGCCCTAATGGTTGAAGAAAGTCCTTTTCTTCCTAGGTCTTAAAGTTTTTCAATGTAACAATGCAATTTTGTTTCATTAAAAGTTCAAAATCTATTGTTTCAATTATAAACCAGCCTGGTATGTTCACTTCATGGCTCATATAACATTTCCCGCTATTATGGGGTGCCTTGGCCTGTTTGTTTGTTTTTTTTTGCCCTGTCGCTTCATATTTTTTCTGAAAAAATCCGAGAAACAACAAATTAAATTGGTTGGGCCTTACCTACATTTACAATTTTAATGTACATGTACCTACCGATGCCGTACTGTGGGTCCTTCTCTAGTACCACCATGATGATTTCTCTCTCAGCCTGCTCAGGTGTGGGAAGGTCCTGTAGTCGTTCACGTAGGGTGTCTGGATAATACAAAAAAAGTAGGTATCATAATTAATATACTAACATTGTTAACATATACACTAACTACAGACATAAACTTTGTCATTGACCACACTGGATTCTTCATTTCCATCCATCAGTTTTCTGTTACAGTTAAGTAAGTTTTCTTCCAGTCACCCACCTGACATTGTGTCATTGACAGTCATGTTCATGGTCTGGTCCATGGACCTAATACTGGCATCTGAAACAACATAAAAACAAGACATCAGAAATTTATCATAAATAAGACTTCTGGGATTGTAGCGGACACAATCTATCAGACATTTTAATCAGACTGTAAAATCTGGCACAAGATAAATTCTAACTATGTCTGGGACCCAGATGTTATGTTAATTTGTATTTTGATTTGAGAAAAAACATGTCTGCAATGTTCATATATTTCCAAATGTGTATTGTAAACCAAATGTGTATTATAAACCAAATGTGTATTGTATACCAAATGTGTATTGTAACCATGTATTCCAAATTATTGCTTTGTACATAACAAACCTGCCCTTACCTACTACATAAGCGTTGCCCCTGTTTCCCCCAGGACTGCTCACACCCTCAGCACCTCGGAGTCTCTGCTGATGGTACGCAGACAGGGAGGGCTGGGCCGGCTCTGCGATATCGTCATAGTGACCGTCGTCATAGTGATGGGAGTCCTTGTAAGGCACTGGTCTGGAATGGGCATCAATATAGAGTTTGATATTTCAGAAAAGATGAAAAATTTAAATTGTAAATCACTTTAAATTTGGTGAAGTAAAATTTTGCTGTCTGATAATAATGGAAATTTTTGCAGATTCATCGCTGGCTGCAGGTACAGAAGAAAGGAAGTCAGCAAAGTTTTCTTTGCGGTAATGATAAATTCGCGGTACAGAAGTGACCGTGAAAACCGTGAATATAAAACTACCCCAAATATACAGTGCGAATATAAAACTACCACAAATATAAAGTGATTTACAGTATCTAGTCATCTTGTATTTTGATAATCATGGAAAGCCCTGTTCATGTGAATATCCTCTGAAATATGACTGACAAGTAATGTACAATGCACTTTTTGCTATCATTTTCATTAAAGGGATTCAGTATATCTACCTCTTTGGTTGATCTCTTTGTCTTCCTCCATGTTGCCATGGCTTTGCATATAAGTCCTCCGGTGATTGGTGATTGGACGATGGCTTTTGTGAGGGGCCACCTGATTGGTCAAACGACCTGCTACTGGACCTGTCCCCTGATTGGTCCAATGACCTGTTGCTCGACCTGTCGTGTGACCTGTCGCTCCTTTGTGAATACGGTCTTTCCCCTGACCTGTCGTTTGACCTTTGCCCTATTGACCTGTCACTCCTCTGGTCATGTGACCTATTAGACTCTGGCCTGCTGGGAGGCCTAAAATCCACCTCCTCGTATTGCATGTCATCTGCTCTCTCATTGGTCCTTCTCTGGTCACGTGACCTCTGAGGCTGTGGAATGTCTAGTCTATTATTCGCTGGTCTGTATGAGGGGCCCATGGCTTGGAATGGTGCGTCAAAGTCGCTGGTGATGCTTTCGTCGAGCGGAATTCCGTTCTGGCTTGGGTCGTAACTGATGGAATCGTCTGCTTCTGGAATGCTGTAGGAGATGGAGGCTTCCATGGGGTCGAAGGTCGCCGAGTACACAGAATCGTTCACAGAGATACTCTCCAAAGGGTAGTCTGGGAGGCAACATGAAATTTCTGTTATAGACAAAAAAAGGCCTTTTTATTCTTAATACATGGAGAAAACTCTTATACTTTTTAGCTTAAAAACTAACTGTATCATTCTACTTAACAGAATTCACTTGTATCGAAACAAAATTCATGCATTAAGTCACAAGTGTGTCCAACATAGCCAGTCTAGGAAGCCATTAATCTACAAAGCAATGTGGCATTCAATGGTTTAGTGGCTATGCCGATTGACAAGGATGAGAAGTCGTGGGTGGTTCTATTCCTTGCATTCCTGGCTGGACATTGTGCCCTTAGGAAAGACACTTAACACGACTTTCCTCACTAAATGCAGAATCTGATGTAAAATGGGTACTACCTGATTTTGGCTGGGGAGGTAAAAGGCAGTGGAAGGGGAGGGATGGGCTCTGACTTCCAATATGATGTCCTAAACACAGTGGATTAACACCACACTGCCCCTACATGGCCTCAAAGCTGCTAGGAGACTGCCTTTACTTTTAACTACAAAGTAAAAAGCAGGTTAAGGAAGAAGTCCCACCTTGGCGGAAGGCATGAGAAGCGTTGAGTCTGGACCTCATCCTGATGTGAAACTTGTGCTGAGAGGTGCACATGCCCAGTAGGTACCGGCCCCTGTAATCATCATCATCATTTCAGTCATCATTATCATCACGATCATTTCAATCATCATTATCATGACCATCATTTCAATCATCATTATCATGACCATCATTTCAATCATCATTATCATCACCATCATTTCAATCATCATTATCATCACCATCATTTCAATCATCATTATCATCACCATCATTTCAATCATCATTATCATGACCATCATTTCAATCATCATTATCATCACCATCATTTCAATCAACATCATCATCACCATCATTTCAATCAACATCATCATCATTTCAATCATCATCATCATCATCATTTCAAACATCATTGTTCCAATCATCATCATCATTTCAATGAACATGAAGTACAACCAGGTACAACATACTTCTTGTAGCTGTCAGTGAAGAAAGTGAGTTTGTTCAGGGAGTTGTTGTCAGCTGGTGTGGACTCCAGGACAAACTTTCTTCTCTGAAAATTGAAGAAAACAAGTTCCTTCAGAATACAAAATTGATGCAATGTAATCTGGAAGCAAGAACGCTATGTTGACTTGCTACATGTAGCTGATTAGAAACTTATTTGGTATACTATCAGAGTTTGGACATGTGAAATGACTGTTGCTTAATTCCTCCTTAACTTGCTAAAAATGGTACAGTAATAATAGGAAAATTTCTTTTAACATTTCAATTGTTGGCAAGCAACTAAAGCCAAAGAAACTGTGGTGGAGGTAAAACTTGTCTGGTGCAAGCAGTTCTGAATGTTACATGTACCTGCACCAGAGCACTAGTGGAAGTATGCAAAAAATGTATTTTGAGCCAGAATTTTTATTTATACAAACTACATGTCGCTTACATTGAAAGAGATTTTCCTGGTGCCCCTCCAGGCAAACTTGTCCCGGGACACTCTGACCGTGTTCCTCAGCTCGTAGATGGCCACTCCTTTTGCATTGATGCCGACCAATACTGTGTTGCTGGGAATGTACTTCTTCTCCTGTGGTAGAGATTGTAACAAGAAAGGTGTTAAAAACACCTACTGTAGTCGACATCATGATGATATTTTAACTATTAAGTATATTAAGTGCTTGAAGATATTTTTACTGCAACATACCCTAGGTATGTACATTTGATGTGTGAATGAGTGCATATATATATATACCAAAAGTATGTTGCAGTAAAAATATCTTTAAGCACACTGTTTCTCAAGGTGGCGATATTATGGACCCTCACGCTCGTCCCCAGCGCCCGTGGAGAAGCCATAGGTTATAGATCGTGGCTTAGCCCAGGCTATGGAAAATAAACTTTCTTTAATGCAAATCTGTCGTTTTTGTTTTCTTTGCGCTTTCTAAAGGGTTATGATAACCTACTCTACTCTGGCGGTATTGTCGTGCGCGCTCGCTAGTACGTAACGTTACACGGCGGCCATCTGAATACATGTACATGTACACTGCATTCTTTCTACTATCGGGACCTAAAACAAGACGCAAGACTCCTATTTTGGGGTATAAAATGCTGTCACAATGGTAATATATACCAAATGAAACGGACCTTTACAAAGTACCTCATTTGGTGACGCTATGAGGGTGTACCGTTATCCCTCTACATTTGCCCAGAAGGGAGTTAGTCGCGGAAGGAACTTAGCCACGGAGGGAGTTTTGGCATTCTGCCCGCGCCACAAACTCTCGTCCCCAGGACAGTTCACTCTGCTACCCAGCATGCTTTGCGCAAAATGCGTTCTTGGCCCCAGGACACAAATACACGCTAATGCTTCCGCATTGTTGCTCTGGGGACCCCGCCGCGCGCCCAGATGTGGATTTAATTATAGCGCGCTAGCGGACGCTGCGGAGGAGCGTGATGGACCCTGGTGATATTATGGACACAGATGTTACATATATGTATGACATGTTCAGGAATTGAAGTTTCCCTCGTTCAACATATACATGTACTATTAGACATAATTACATTTGCAGACTGGGAATAAACTACTGTCCTAATTCTAATGAAATTGCACATTCAACCTTCTACATGTATTTACGCTCAGTTCAGTACTTACCCTGTACACCTTGTGAAACATGACACCGTACTCTGGAAGTTTCTGAGCTCCCAAAAGGAACTCCATCTCAGCTGTAGGTTCCATCATGCCCCTGTGCTGGCTGTGCATTCTGGGTAAGTCCTGCCTGATGGGGGCCACGCCCGAACTGTCAATCACCCTGGCGGGGAGGTAGTGCTCCACCAGGAAGTAGTTGTGACCATGGGCGTCTTGGCTGTAGTCTCCAAACTCAGCCTGGAACACATTAGAGGGTTTACAGTCAGCTTTTTGCCTTTGTGTGAAAAGATCAAACTGAGGACCTCAGACTGATGGAGGAAGCATCACACTTTTTTGTAAGCTAGTAGCGCAAAGCAGCATTTTGTGGATTAAGCCACACACAATTGCAGCTAATATTAAAGTGCACACAATTTCCACACTTTTAACAGCATGTTACACATCATCACATTTCCGACCTCTAGAAAGTCAACGAGTGTATCACACATCTGACAGAGGTTGAAGACATCGACTGAAAATTGCTTTCTTGTGTTGGAACAAAGCTTGAACTTTACACCTACATGTTACGTGTTACACAGCTTTTACAGGGCTTTCAATCCCGATTTACACACGATTTACAAGGCTTTTGCAGGAAAAAAATAAACAACTTAAAACCATGCGTAAAATTTGTAAATTGAGATCTCTACTGCAATTATCTATAATTTCTATTCACATATTTATTACAGTGTATAAGACAAAAAGCACAGATTGCTTAATGTGACGTCTTCTACTCAAAAACATAAAACTCAAAACATTTCCTCTACTGCACTTGTGATCTTCCTTATTTTTTCTACCAGTCCCTCTGCCTAACCTGCAGTGCCAGAGCTGCCAGACTGACAGCAGAGTCGCTGGGACAGTGTGTCCGCTCCTCTAACACATCCCTCCTCAGCTGCAGGTAAAACTGGTGCCGGGTCAGCTGGTGTCTGCAGAGGTTAAAGGGCAAAGGTTACAAGTGTCAAAAGGTCATTTATGTTCTAAGTAATTATGTTATACCTTTTAAGTCCTATAATTATACTTTTGTTACCAAAATTATGTTATGAAATGGTACCTCAGTTTATTTCTGACTACACCCTTAGATATTTTCTATAAGGATTTTACTTTGCCTATCACTTGGTTCGTTGCACACAGCTATGCTGTTAGTGCCACCGGTATAAAGGTGAATAAAGTTCAAAGTTCACAAGGACCAGGTCAAAGAGTGAGATTTTCAACCGACATACTTTATCAATATGCAAATATCATAATCTTGCATAATAGAAAAGATTACAAGAGACGTACTTGAGGCTGGAAACATTCTCCACATAGTACTTGACCCTGAAGAAGACGGTGAACTTGACCTCCGACCCAGGCCGACCTTTGCCCTCCTCCTTCCAGCCAGCCGGGGCGACCTTGGCCAGTTTTTCCTCAGGGTCAAGGAAGAACAGCTCTCCATCTGTGGGGTATTGTACAGCATGAGGCCAGGATAAACAACACTGACCATTTCAAGCAGAGCTCGAAATACTGGGTGCATGTGCACCTTAGTGCACCCAATTTTTTTCTGTGGGTGCACTGGTGTACCCAAATATTTTTAATTTGTAGGAATTTCTAACATTAGAAATGTATAACTTATAAAAGTATACCAGATATTCTTGGTCTCTAAGTATCAGAAAAGTAATAAAAGTAATAAAATCTTTGTTGTAATTGTAGTACTTGTTTCAGATTTTGAAGTAAGCTCTTTTTTATAGATTCAAGCTCAGAAGAGGAGCAGTAAGACCTGCAATTAGGTTTTGCTTTATATGGTGCACCCATGCCAAAAAATTTTTGTGCACCTAATTTTTTTGGTTGGGTGCACCAGTGCAACTATTTCCAAAAATGGAAATGGAATTTTGAGCCTGTTAAGTAAAGAGACTCTTTTTACACAACCAATTCTTTTATTCAGCCGACGTTTTGGTGACCGTCTGTCACCTTCCTCAGGGCAATTGCAAGACGTTGGCTGAATAAAAGACTAAGGTTGTGTAAAAAGAGTCTCTTTATTCAGTGTCTTACCAACCTGATGAAACTATTCACGGACTGACCATTCTAGAAACGGTATGGAAAGTCCACATTCAAGCAAGTAGCAGTCACTATGGCCACTGACAAAAAGTAGTGGATGCTACATGAAACGTCCATAACCAGTTTTCAAAATCTATCCAGTTGTTTGAGACCTATACTTAAACGTCAACACATGTAAGGAAATCTCATTCTATTTTGATGTGTCAGGTTGGCAGGAGTGTGTTGGTGGGAGCACTTGGACTGTCACAGTAACCTGTCGTGGGTAGCTTGACACATCCTTTTTCTGTCTTCTTTCCTTTGTCTATGCTTGGTAACATCGAAAAGTTACACAAAAAAAGAAAGTAGTTAAAAAAACTTGTCTCTCCTGTCTATTTTTCTGTCTTTCTGATTTTGTTATACCTCAATTAAAAACGAGTATAAAGATAATCTCAGGCACCTTTAAGATGAGCAAGTCCGAAGAAGAAGTGTTCCACCAGCCCCAGCTGTGCCACGATCATGTCAAACAGTTCCTTAGCAACCGTGGTGACGTCACACATCACGCTGAGCCGCTGGCCGTTCAGCATCACCACGATGACCTTCCTACGACCTTGGGGAAGCTTGCTGCCCTTCGCCTACAGGTACATGTGTACAAAAGCCCCCGTCAGACATAGTCAACTACATTTGTATGACCTCCCAACCTTCTTCTGGTGGTCATGGGAAGGTCATGGTCATGGGAAAGTCATGGGAAGGTCATGGGTAGGTCACGGGAAGGTCATGGGAAGGTCATGGGAAGGTCACGGGAAGGTCATGGGAAGGTCATGGGAAGGTCATGAATATGTAACTGTACATCAACTGTAATAATTCTGCCCGATATGACCGCCACATTTAAAAACAACTGAATTATACTAAATGATAAATTAAAATCCCTGAGGTACAAAATTTTATACAGTGACTTTAAATATCCAGCTTTCCAAGACATTCTTGTGAAGGCTTTGACAATAAGGATTTTTTTTTCAAGGGGCAGTCTTAGGGTACAGAATTAAACAAGTTGATATTACACTTTTTTGTCTGTTGCAGAAGGAAAATATTATTTTAAAATTAAAATACATAATTATTGAACTTATTCTGATATTGATGAACATACGTCATGCATAACTAATCATAGGGATATTAATGGATATTAAATATGTCTGTGAGAAGCATTACCCATGCAGAGAAGACTGTTACAGAAGACAGGGCTCGAAATACTGAGTGCATGTGCACCTTAGTGCACCCAAAATTGGAGCTGTGCACCCAATTTTTTTCTGTGGGTGCACCAGTGCACCCAAATATTTTTGTAGGTAATTTTGTAAATGACTGACATAATAGTATGTAGGATGTTCTTGGCATACAAGTGTCAGAAAAATAATAAAATCTTTGTTGTAAGTTAGCCCCCATTTCAGATTCAAGCTCAGAAGAGGAGCAGTAAGAGTTAGGTGTTGTTTTATATGGTGCACGCAAAAATTTTTGTGTGCACTAATATTTTAGGTTGGTTGCACCAGTGCACCTACATGTATTCCCAAAAATGAATTTCGAGCCCTGCAGAAGAGAGGAGGGAATAGGAGAAACCATTACCATGGGTTTTTTCATCCACTTTGGTACCTTTGTGTGTGCCTTCCTTTGCTGCGGTATGGATGGAGGGAAGGATAGAGACAGTAAATGAAGAGGTATGCTACATCTACAGGTAATAGCCACACCTGGTCAGTTCCTGAAAAGGCTTAAAGAAGCTCATTTAGATACAGGAAGATGCAAACCATTCCAGGAGTAAAATACCTTGAAGTTTCTAAGCATTAAAAATCTTAAGACTTACTTCTAAAAAGTATAATAGAGAGAAAAGCATGCTAGTCCAATATTGACAGTTGTGAACCCTTACCATTATCCATAGTATGTTAGAATGTATTCCTACCACAAACTTATTTCTGAAAGTTTGAAAATGATTTTTCATAGTAAACTACAAATGTATAAGTGGCATGATAAAAAGGTCATTTATAACACTGTCTAAAACTTAAAAGGTCCTCCAATGAGAAACTACATTGTACATGTACATTGTACTTGTACAGTGTACATTGTTTTGTATATGTACTACATATACATGTAAAATACAACACGGTGTATTCCACATCACCTGAGGTATACTATTCCAACCTGTACGTGTAATTTACTTCATATTCATAATATCCATCCAAGAAAATGCACATTTCAATGCAAAATGTCTCTAAAGATGTAAACAGAAATTGTTAAAACATGAAATTGAATCCAATCCAGTATTCATATTTTAAAGAGCGGTGTACATACATTTGTAGTGCGAAACGTGTTCAAATTATTCTATGGAACTTGTGGAAGCCCATATGTGATAACCACTTGAAGCCTGTGTGATTACACCCATATCAAACGTATCGTGGCCCAGGTATGTACATTGTATATATATATATAACATAAATGTACGTACCGCAGGACTTGGAGGGACCTCCAGTGAGATCGCTGGCTCGCTACTCATCTTTACAAACTCTGGACCAAAAAACGTCTGCAGAAATAGGGAACATGAAAAATCAGTATTTTGCATTGTAAATATAAAGAAATTTGCAATGCCCAAAATGTTACCGGTATGATTATCTATGTGTATGTGTGCTGATGGTATTCCTGGCAAGATGTTGTGTCCTTAGGTAAGGCACATATTTAGAACGGATTTCCTCTCCACCCTGGTGTAAAAAGTGTAACTTCAGTTGGCAAGGTAAAATGTGTAATGTAAAGTGACTAGCATAATTTTGATGATAGCAGCCTAAGCATGGAGATTATTTTGTAGCAACAAAGAAGGATGACCTTCAGTTTGCGCTGTGTCGTGCTACGTGCCATCGGCACCTCGGCCAGCGGGTCCCGACTCATGTCCATCTCCGCAGGGGGTCTCGCCCCGCTACCCTCCGACACAGGGGGGCTGCTCACGTCTCCCATCATCCTTTGCTCCCGGCGACCCATGACCCTGGGGTTTTCCTGGGAATCCCTAAAAGCAGGTCGAAAAGTAGTTCTGGTTGTCAAAAAAGTTTTCATTTACATGAAAATTAGCAACAAAGCAATAAAAGTACAATCATTTCTTGTGTTGGAAATTGCAGTTCAAACTTGTTTCATAATGACTTCTACCAACACAGATGAACTTCCAAGACAATAACAGTACAGACCTCCACTACAACAGCCAAGTTTTCTCTACCCCAACCTCTATTCTCTTTATAGTGTAAGTTACATAATGCCTTGTAATTTGAAGCTGGAAGCATTATGGGAAAATTGCACTATCTTTTAAAAATCAAAATCCTAGGTTGAGTTTTTTATTCTCAGGGAGTTTTTTTTTTTTGCTGCTGAATTTGCCTCTTATTGGTTTCAAATTTGTATTGTTCAAAATGAATTGTTAAATGATCACCTTCTTTGGTCGTAGCCATTTCCCCCTGGGCTGTGGTGACTGGCAGCTTGGCTCCCATCATCCCCCATTCTCAAGGCGACCCTTGACCCATACTGAGGGTAAAGGTCAGGACGGTAGCTCCCTAAAAGGAAAATGAAAATGACTACTGTAACTGAAAATGCTGCATATGTGACTAGACAATATTTCAATCAACTGTGGAATGAATAATCATGATTTATAAGTAAATAAGTGAGCCAAGTTTATCTTAAATCTAAGAGTTTTCAACAGTCAACTGTTAATGTTTTTAAATTTTTGTTGTTTTTACATGACTTCACCCCATCACTCCAATGAAATTCAACCTCAAATAACTCATCGATTCCCCGGGTCCCAGTGCTGACTCGACACAAACACACAAACTATCAAATATCACAACCCAAAACAATACTTCTGCCCCAGAAGTAACAAAGCAGGTCTGATTAAAAGCGAGATGGTTCACCCTGCGTGAAGGTGTTGTCGGAGGGAATGGACGTGGTGCTGTCATCGCTGGAAAACTCGCTGAACGAGCCGTCGCTATGGTAACCAACGTTGTCTTGGATGGCGTCGGGTCGGTCTGAGGGACAACATAAAGTGGAATGGTACAGTCATGGGATGGAAAAAAACCAGGGGGGGAAGAACAAAGACGGGTGGAAATGTTGGGATCGATGTAGCTTGAAATTTATCTCATCATTCTGCTAGTATTCATTTCAATATTTCTCAAGCTCATAATTAAGGAATTTTGCTCATCTTTTTATTCCATTATTTCTCAAGCTCATAAGGGGATTACTACTTATCAAGACATCTTCCCAGCCCGAAATACTGGGTGCATGTGCACCTTGGTGCACCCAAATTCGGAGCTGTGCACCCAATTCTTTTCTGTGGGTGCACCAATGCATCCAAGAATTTTGTAGGTATTTTTGTACATATCAAATCTATAATAGTATACAGGATATTCTTGGCATCTAAGTGTCAGAAAAATAATAAAATCTTTGTTGTAGTACTTGTTTAGATATTGAAATTAGCTCCCAGTAAGACCTGTAAATAGGTTTTCTTTTATATGGTGCACCAAAAAAAATTTTTGTGCGCCCAATGTTTTTGGTTGGGTGCACCTGTGCACCTATTCCCATAAATGACTTTCTAGCCCTGTCTACACACATGTCTTACATGGTGGTATATCTCACCTCCTCCACCCTTTTAAATCTAATAGCATATTCCATTCACCTATGGGAATAAACACAGTTTGGATTGTAACACTCTCTTACAGGGGTGCACATCTCACCTCTGTCGCTGTCAGCCTTTGCAGAACTCAGCCTGCTCCTCCTTTGCTTCAGACGTTTGTACGCATCGCTCTGTAAATCTGGTGCCGCTTCCGAGCTTAAGTCATCTACGGGCGCGGGGAGGGCCCTCCGGGATGGTACGGTCCGATTGTCGTGTCTGGGTTTGGAGCGTGGTCTAGTCAATGGTTCAGTAAGGTAGGAGCTTGTTACACCATTCCTGGACAGGAGGAAAATCAACTATCTGTCACTAATTCATGATAATTCAAAATGTACACTGCAGTTTTTTCTAAATCTAATGACCTAATATGGATAAGCAGGATTTGAAATACCTACTTTTTTGCTATACCTAATTTTTTGAAATACCTAATTTTTTGCTTTTTTCTTTTTAAAGTTTAAAGTGGCCGAGCTTACAGCTGTGTCCCACCTCAGCCAGATTACAAGTGATAAAGTATATTTACAGGTGTCGTGGCTTATGGCTTGCCTTCTAAAATAAACAGCCAGGTTGATTGCAACCTAAAATATTGATGGGCAACCTAGCTTTTGGCTTAGGTACTTGTAATGTCCAGTGAGCAAACTCAGAAAAAATTATTCTGACCCTGCTGCTCAGAAACATTCCTACATTAGCTTTTACTTCTGAGCAACATACTTGTCCCAGATACCAACCTGCTCTCGTACGAGCTGGAGCTGATGACAGAGTATCTCTCCGGGTCTCGTGACCGTCTGCGCGACCGCCTGTCCGACGGCAGGTCTATCAGGCTGCGCGGCCGCTGCACTTGCGGTCTCCCCGCCTCAACTTTCCTGTGGTAACTTTGGAGACTGAAGAGGAAAATTTCATAGGTATTAGTCCACACCACTTTGATTTGTTGGTGCTCAAATCATTTAACCCTTGTCCTGCGGAGCCCAACAATTGTTGTTGTGCACATACATGTACAGTACCATCCATATAGCAACCTGTACATGCATAGGTACGATTTGGCAGTTTTTCTTGTGCAACACATCACACCGCAGCAAAATGCAACGTATGCGGATTCCGAAGTAACTATGCCACCGCAGGGCAAAAAAGTCAGGGGTCTATGACCTGATTAAGACATGAAATTATTAAAAAATATTGTGTAAGTAATGCCAGCAGGACAAAACTTCAATAAAGTGGGCAGGGGAAAAACGAAAAAAATAAAAACAGGGGCATCATGTAAAAGCCCTGAATCTGATGAAATTACCTATACCAGCTATATAGACAAGTACTTAATGTATTTATTGTTTCTCACTAGTATTGAGCTTTAGTTTATTTTACAAGTCATAAATTTTAACGTGAGCATTCCCAGGAACTCTGAAAATGAAAAATAGCCTGGTTACCAGACCTACTATAGCTCCCGAGTCCTACGTCCTCTCTTTGCGGAGGGGATGTAGGACTCGGGAGCTATAATAGATCTGGTAACCAGGCTACTGAAAAACAGGGTTTTGCCCTGAGCGGATGTGAACATGTATCTCCGGGTAAAAAAAATAAACGAAATGAAATGGAGTACCTTTTTCTGTCTGGTTTGAGGCTCTCTCTGTAAGCCACTAAGTCCCGAGTGGTGACAGGTGGGCTCCCATACCTGGCTGGGAAATTGTTTCTTCCTGGTAAACAAAGGGAAAACAATAGAGGTCCTATAAGAGTATGATTTTTAAATCTTGGTTAGGCCACACCAATTTAATTTGTTGCTTCTCGGATCGCCCTGTCCATTTTTTTCTGATTTTGTCCATTTTGTTCTAAATTAAGTGCAAAATGCTCAATGAAAGACATATTTTGGCCCTAACGGTTGATAAAAGTCCTTTTCTTCCTAGTTCTTAAGTTTTTCAATGTAACAATGCAATTTTGTTTCATTAAAAGTTCAAAATCTATCGTTTTAATTATGAGCCAGCGTAGTATGTTCACTTCATGGCTCATATTGTAACATTTCCGGCTATCATGGGGTGCCTTGGCCTGTTCTTTTTTTAATTTCACCCTGTTGCTCCTGATTTTTTTCTGAAAAAATTCAAAAAGCAACAAATTAAATTGGTGCGGCCTTAACATGGAGCTTGCTTTGAATGTAAAAGCTGATGTACTACATGTATATAGGAGTTGTTTGTCGTGGAAGTAAAACTTTGATGCTCATTTTAGTAGAAGTGGGTACACTACTTTTGACTGTATACATTTCTTACTACATTTTCTATATTTGCCAACAATTACAACTAAACTTGAAAGTTCATCTGTGTTGGTAGTTACATGTTTAAAGTTAAGACTTTTGGTCCAACACAAAAAGTTGTCTCACCTAGACCTTTCGACCAGTCACTCTGGTCTTCCTCAGTAGACTGACCCAGTGAAGCTTGTCACGTGGCTTCTTTGAAGTGTGACGTCAACACTGGGTCAAAGGTATCTGGAGGTAGACGATGTTGGCCCTCATTGCGGTTCATTGAACAAGCTTCACTGGGTCAGTCTACTGAGGAAGACCAGAGTGACTGGTCAAAAGCTCTAGGTGAGAGAACTTTTTGTGTTGGACCAAAAGTCTTAACTTTAAACAAATTACAACTAAAGCCCCTGTCACACATATATCAAACACAGGAAAGTTTGTACTGTGATCCTTGTGTCTTGTCGCAGGCTGCCCTGGTCTGGAGAGCTTGTTTCTGATGGGAGACCGGGACCGAGAGCGACTGTTGTGCTGTGACCTTTGCCGACCTCTGTCCCCCGGCCTGGTGGGTTCATCTTCTACCAACTTGTCAAGCTGTAAATAACAAACAATTGTTTTTGTTTATCAGTTCTTCATGATTTTTGCTATACTAACCAAAAGACAACTTGACACCAATGACACTGAAATATAACTTACAGTTCCTCAGAATATTCAGATGAGATTGGTTACAATGAACAATGATGTTAAGAAAAAAATACATTCTTCTGAACATTGAACCTTGCAAATCATCCTCCCAGTTCTTGTTTGCCAGATAATCCAATCAAATGATTTCATGGTATTCATAAGCATATTGGCAACAGATTTAGTTTTTATCTATTTATCTATTGCAATTTTTCACATACATGGAAGGCATGGTGGAGCAGGTGGATATACATTGTAAGGAGACCTTTGCAAAAGCCACCATGCCAACAAGGTCATAATAATACATAGAATCAGACATACATTACCGCATTACAATAACTTTACATTACATTTCAATTATGTAATATATATTGTATACATACACCTATCTTGGCCTAGTAGCATAGCAGGTGGCACAACAATTCAGAGCCTGGTGGCACTGCTAGCAAATAATATTCTTTTGAGAAGCAAAAGATAATACACAAAACTACAATGTCATGTACAGTGACTACACAAAATAGCAAGTATGCTTTTGTTTGCTTCTCAAAAATTTTTCACTGTAACAAAACTGAAATAAGTGTTATTAAATGAATGAATAAAATAAGATCCACCCGTACCTCCGGCAGACTGCCCAGCACCAGTTTGGCCAGCTGGATGACCTGTGAGAAGGCAGAGACAGCGCGGCCCTTCTGGTGACGTGATGAGCAGGACTGAGGAAACAAGAAAGGCTTTTAAAAAAAGCTACTGGCGACCAAGATGGGAACAACTGGTTGGGTGGCGTGAATGTGATGACAATGTGTGACTCAAATAATTGGTCACCTTGGTGATTTGAATTGACCGATGGCTAGTAAGACAGGACAGTAATGCATCATATAACTCCAACTTTCTAACAGAGATGAGATCTTGTAATTATAGTTTATTAGAAGGTATATGAGGACGGTAAAGAATATGGGTCAGTTCTTGTTTCATTCGACCAGTCTTTCATTCCTGACATCTGCTTGGTTTTCATTCATATGGTAATGTCTCCAACACCCAACCACGGAAGGAAAAAACATGATAATCAGTAAAAACATGGGTTCAAGTTACCTACCAAGACTAGTCAGAGCCTCTGATCAGAGACAACTCAAGAGAGATAGGAAGAAGCGAGAAGAAGACTCACTGGGAAAGAAAAGAAAAAAAATGGAGAGAAAGAATGAGTTTACATGTCCACAGTTGGGAAGAAACACAGGATATGAAAGGAAACACAGGCTGGAAGAAAAGAAAATGAAAGAAAAGGAATAAGAATGCTTACTAATAGGAGTACGTCGGGATGAACCCAAATTTTTGCCTGATCCTTCATTAAAAATCGGCATGTAAAGATATGGAAAGAGATGTCAATCGACATCAACAAGCTTAGTCTACTGGTCAGTAAAATTTGCCAAGTAGGAAATAGCATTTTGGAGCATGAAGATTGCAGAATTTTTCAGAGGGAGCACTCCCCTAGGATTGTCGTGCCTCCTTTCAGCATTCAACACGTCATGATGTTACTTCAGACAAAATTGAGATGATAGAAAAAATTTCAGGCTGGCTAGAACACTGGTATGCTATGAGGTCTCCAAATTCTTGTTCCTTCTGTGCGTCCGTACCTCCAGTACTTGCATGAGAGACATCCTCCTGCTGGAGTTCTCCTCACACATTCCCAGCAGCACTTTCTCCAGCTCAGCTCCGAGGCGCGCCCGGCCCTTGGGGTGCTCGTGGTCTGCTCCCCAGTACAGGGTCATGCCCAGGGAGTACACATACATCTGTGGGAAGAGTTCAAAGATAACGTTTCAACACAAAAAAGGTTCTCACCTAGAGCTTTCAACCAGTCCCTCAGTAGACTGACTCAGTAAGACTTGGCATGTGGCTTCTCTGAAGTGTGACGTCAACCAGGCCTCAAAATTAACTTTTCTTCCTATTGTCCCAGCACTGTCCCAAAATAAATTTCAATTGTCCTGAAGTGAGGATGAACTGTCCCAACCTGTTCTTCGGGAAGTATTGTATGACTTCAACTTGAAGTCAACTTTATTTTGCTTATAAATAGTTATATGTTCACTCCAGGGCCACTATAGGCACACTATAAATAGTATAATTGCATATAGTAGACAGGAAATTCAAGGTGATTTTTCCGGATCCAAAAACCGGGACGTGTGCCTGATAAACAAAAGAAGGGCTGACATTCTGATGTTGATAATTTTTCTATTGTCCCAAAAATGTCCCAAAGTGTCTTTTTAGTTCTCCCAGCCTAAATTTTAGTAGTCAGTGGCCATTGGACCACCTTTAATTTCGAGCCCTGGTCAACACTGGGTCACTTTGTTTTTGGTAACGTTCTCTTAGTGTTGTGCTGGTCCATTCTCTGATGTTATGATTGCTCCTCCCCCCCAAAATTTCAAAATGGAATAATCCTTGACCTTCTCAGCTGCTGTCTCAAGGTCGGTGTTGATTGGCTGGAACATCTCCGGGGCAACATATGAGTTCCCATCATTCCCTGTGGTCTCCATGGAGTCAGCAAACTGCACATGCCCAGTAGGCGTCAGCAGCAGGGACTGTGGAGTGATGATGAAGGTGGGCCCATCTGTGAGGTCCCTGTCACCTAGGAACAGTAGAACGTGTGAGTTCAAATGACTTTTTTATTTTTTGAAAAACTATGGTAACACAGCTTTGAATAGCATTAGCTCAACCAGATTGCGTTTTACATACATTTGAATGTTTAAAACCGTTCACCAACTATTCATGTAAAACTAAACACCATTTCCTTTGTGTGTTAGAAAATGTATGTATAGCTTGGAGACTTTTAATAGCCTCTGTTACAAACTGTGAGTCCTGGTTTGAACTGTCTGGTCTTGAGTTTGGAATCCCTGAGTTTTCCTATTCTAACAAATGCTGATTTTGCTAAAGATAAAGATTAGCAGTTAATATTTAAATAAGGATGGGATATATTTAAATAAGGATGTTCTACAGTCATGAAAATCATGACTACAGTCATGAAAATCATAATAACAAATTTCCATGATTATCAACTTTGGTGGTGTATATGTCAGTTGGCAAAAACTAAAGTATATTGTACCTTTTAGGAATAGGTCTTGTAGAGCCTCGGCACTCTGACACAGAACACCCCACACCTCCCCCTCCTGAAGTGGACCGGCCCGCACCTGTAGTGCCTCCTCCAGAGACACCTGGAGGCTCACCGACACCGGCATGGTCTGTTACCTAGGCAACGGCAGAGAGGAATGCCAGTCACACAAAAATTATGGTTCAAGTTAACACAAAATATTGGCGCAATGGCCAAGTGGATATAGCCTCTACCAGGCTTGGGGAGGCGGCTGGAAAGAGTAGAAATTGGCCAAAATACATGTAGAGAGATAAGCATGCCAAGGGAGTTTGTCCATTGAGAGAACATTTCGCCGCACCCCACAAACTGTTCTCTCAACGGACAAACTCCCTTGGCATGATTAAATCTCTCTATTTGGCCGATTTCTACTTTTTCCAGCCGCCTCCCCAAGCCTGGTAGAGGCTAAAGTGGATAGAGTGTTCACTTTCGGTGGGTTGTGAGTTCGATGCCTGGCCAAGTCATACCATAAACTTTAAAAATGGTAAACGTACACCACCATCAGTAGACTAGCCCATTGCTGTAAAAATGTGATTGAACAACAGTGCGGCCCAAAAGCTACAGAAACAGAAATGCATGGTAATACATGTTGGTGCAGAAAGCAATTTTGAACATTTTGGTAATTGTAAAGTAAGATGTCTGAAAAAAAAACACTAACAAGACATCAGAGAATTCAGAGTTTTATATATCTGGGCTCATTATATTGGGTATCTATAGCACGTCGGCAGAACGTACTGCACCTGCGCAAAACCCGTAATGTATTGTACATGGTACTTTGGCAGAATGTCTCATATAAGGTTGTATTAGCTCATATAAGGTTAGCATTTCGACAGTCGTTTCCAAATGTTGTGTTGGAAAGAATATCCTCTGCAACAGGCAAAATTTTGATGCAACGTTGACCAAAAACCCAATGAAAAACGCGAAAATATGGGGTTCTGCGCAGGCGCAGTACGTTCTGTCGACGTGCTGGTATCTATGAATGTTTTGGAACACATGATGTACAGGATCAGAAGGAAATACATGTACCTGAATTACATCACACAATAGATAATACTACTATTAATAACTATTATTAGTACTAATATGACTGTATGACTGTATGACTTCCGTCAATTACACCATCAGTAACATTTTGTTGTCACACATTTCTGGCCACCCCCAAAACCAACTTTTGGTCAGCTGTTGGTGTGGTCACCGGAAAAATTTTGAAATCTTGACCCTTCAAAACGCTGTTTTCTGCATTTTGAAGGGCAAATTTTGCTGGCAGACTACTAAGCTTGAGTTTAATGATGCATCTCTTTCAGATTTTTGTCTTTCAAAGACGACAGATTAGGCAAAACTTTTGTCTGTGGTGAGAGGCAAAATTCCTTCAAATAACGGAAAGAACAACGCTTAAGCTAGAACACTACTACAGTTTTCATGCTTTATTTTGAGATTATATTCTACAGACATTGTTTTTTCTATGAACTCTTGTCTTGTTCTTCTTTAATGTTCACTGTTCACTTTAATTGTCTGCCAAACTGAATGTATATGTATGTTTCAACATGATACATGTATAATCATGTATTGAAAAAGTGAATTGAAAAATGATGCCTCAATTATTGACAGGAACTGTAAGATAATTACATTGTGTGTACAATTAGGCCATACCAATTCAATGTTGTTTTTAGACAAAAAAAATAATCTGACGTCGGTTAAAAGTCAGAGCGAATATCGTTGGTTAGACTAAACTTTAAGGTTTGAATTGTCCTCAAACTCCCCGGGCCTTCTAGATCTGTTTTCCTAATTTATTCTCTTGCTTGAGAACAGTGTTCTACCCAGTGTCTGTCTGTTTTTCTTTATTTGACAGAACCTTGCAGCTCACATTAGACAAGGATTTTGCCCAACCCATCATCTTTGATATACAAAAAACGGACAAGGAAAGAGATATCATTAAAGTTTAAACTATGCTTAGTCTACACCAACAAAATTTGCCCCTCAAAGTGAAACAAATAGCAATTTAGAATGTCAAGATTTCCAAAAATTCCAGTGGAGCAATGCTCAACAATGATGTTACGTCAAAGAAAATTGAGATGATGGGGAAAAAAATCAGGCTAGCTAGAAACACGAAAATATTTTAGGATGGCCTGTAGATTTGTAATGATTACTGGGGCCAGCCACACGTGTTGGTACACATGTACATGTACAAATGTATAATGTAGCACACGTACATGTTATATACTATTATATAGTTTTCAGTTCAGCGACAGTCATTATTAAAGTTACAGCTCGCTGATTGAGGTAAGGTGTTCCTGAAGTTTATATATATATAGCAAACCTAGCTTCTGCAAATCTAGAGTTTTAAGCTTGGCTCATTGGAAGTAAGTATGCGGCTCTTAGTTTGCTTCATCCTTTGTGGACTTGCCTGGGAAGCAGGCAGTGCCCTGCCTCGGGGCTGCAAAGTGTCTGCAGAAGGGAAATTCTTGTTCCCAGGTTTACGTATCGTCTGTTGGCGTTCCAAGATGACTACACTACCCAAGGTGCCAGCTAACACCAGTCGCTTGAGCATCCACTACAGCGGCCTAAAAAATCTCACGGAGGTGCCGTCCCTCGAAAGTCTCCAGTCGCTGAGCTTGCGATGGAATGACATCGAAACGGTGGACTGGATGTCGCTGCGTAACCTGCCCGCGTTAGAATTCCTCCATCTTACCAACAACAAACTCACGAGCGTGAGTATGAACGTTGTCATGCCGTATCTGCCCAAGATGACGTACCTGAACCTGGCGAGTAACAAACTAGCGACCTTCACGTCGGAGGAGCTGGGTTTCCCCGCCTTGCCCTCGGCTAGTGTGGAACACAACCCGATCGCCTGCGACTGTGCCATGGCGTGGTTGATCATCAAAGTCAAGTGCATGCAGGACAAGGAAAAGGGTGGGACCTACCGCTGCCCGTACTGTCCGTACTGCGTCATGATCGCGAGCGACATCGGCACGAGCTACGTCTGCGACAGTCCGCACCGGTTGAAGGGGGTGCCGCTGAAGACCGTCCCGGAAAACGAGACAGAATGCGCCGCGCCAGCACTGACGAATTCCACGCTGTCGTCCACTTTGCCGACAGGGCATGGGGAGAAAGAGGCTATGACTACAGGCAGCGCTGTGGAAAAACCAATCCGACAAGGGATCGAACTGTTTACGTGGCTCGACTTTCCCAACACAACCACATCATCGAATCCCACCGAAGGCACCACTACCAGTCCTACCAACGGAGCCACCAGCCCACCCTTAACCTCCGCAGCATCGACAAGCAAACCAGCTGAAACTGATACTATTGACGTCACCGCCACCAAACCATGGCTGGAGAGCCACTACATCACCGTCATAACCTCTTGTATCAGTGTGGTGGCCATGATTCTGCTTTCCGCCATGGTTAAATGGCTGGTGTGTCCAAACCAGTGCTATAGCGATGGTGACGATGATACAGCAGCTAACAATGACATCCCCCTCCAACAGGTAAACTAATTAACCACTATGTGTAACGAGCCAAGGGGTTGGTGATTCTGCTTTTTTGACCAGAGGGTTGAGTCAAACTTTGAAATTGGCATCATAAATTGTCCCAAACTTTCTCAGATTTTATAAATTTTATCGTTTGCTTATAAAGCAGAGTACAGAATTGTGTCTTTACATGTGAATATATACATGTACTGCATAACCAAATCATATACATGTATATATACAGATCATACATTTTTCATTGAATGATAACCAAATCATAATTCATATACATGTTCATGTATCCAGGTCATACATTTTTTTCATTTCTACATACAATGTATCTTACACTTGTTGTTTTACCATGCTTGAGTATTATTGCATTGAGATCTATTGATCATACTAGTATTAAACATTTTGCCAAAAATATAAAAAAAATGTTGGTCGTACTAGACAGGAAAATGATTTATCATGATATATAGTAGGAGTTGAATTTGCACAATATCTGTAAATACACATCCAGTCATACTAATGGAGCAAGAGATGTGATTCAAAAGACAAAAGAAAAGTAGTATGTACATATCTGTGAGTCATTTACAAATGAATATCATACATGTAGTTGAACCCCTGTGAATATTACACTATATTGTATATGTATCAAGATGTGCACAATTAGCTGAATTTCTTTATTCAAAGTTTATGTGTATCTTTAACTTTGGCCAAAAAGTACATGTATACAACTTCTGTGCAGTCTACATGTCTTAAAGTATTGACATGGATATTCACGATAAAAGGAACTACGTAATTATGCTGTTTACAGTGTTATAAATAGAAACTTTGTGGTAGAAAATTTGTAATCTATGGCTTGTGCAGGTAGCGACTACAGGGCTGGAAATACCACCTGAATATGCAGGTTACTGCAGGTAAAATTGGAGCTGTGCAGGTGTTTCTTCAGAAAATATAATGTATTTCTACAGACAGTAGGAAAAGCTGTTACACCTGTAAAACAAACATAGTCACCTGGACAGGTAAACATTAACCACAGTGTATGTGGTGTCAAACAGGGCTGGGTGTTTTGTTAACATTTATCTCCAACAATTGCAAGCTTTGCCAGGTAAACATTGCTAACCATCCTGGTAAAATCTTTATTACATTCCCTATGAATATTACTGCGCTATGTCTATAGTGCAGGGACTTGATAAAATGCTTTTTTTCTGCCTAGATGCAATGGTGCAGGTAACATTGAGAATTACCTGCACTGGACAAATTTCACCTGCACCATTCAGAATTTAGGAAGTGTGGATCATACTAAAAACTGTTCAGAAATTATTTCTTTTATACTTCATAGGTGGTGACAGTCAATGCAGCAAATAAACTCCTATTAAATAAATAACAATAAACTCCTACATGGGCCTTTGCGGGTTAGTTGCAAGTGAACATCAGAAATACCTGGACCTGCACAGCTCCTATTTTACCTATATATGTACATTGTACACTGCAGTAGAAGGCAAATCAGGGCTGGAAATATATGCAAGTAGTTATTTCCAGCCCTGTTTTGCCTTCTACTGCAATTTAAACTGAAGTAACAAAATGAGGTAGAACTAAGAAGTGATGAAATCATTGCATGTACTTACAAAATGTATATAAAAAATTATGCATGTTTTATTACACCCAATACACCCAAATGTCAGTCTGAGTTAGTAACTCCCAAAGTCCCACAAGTTAAATACCAGATGTCAGCATGTCAACACTGGGTACCTAGTGACCAACCTACTCACATCTGTAAGTTACAGTAACTGTAATCCCTGATTTTTTTCACGATACTATAATGTTCATGGTCACTTCTGTACTGAAAACTTTATCATTTGTCTTTTGCCACGCCAAAGTATTTCCCATTGAAGTCTTATACAAGTACAAATGTAATGTCTTCTACCGTAAGCATTGCTGGCCTTTCTGAATTTAGTACAGTTGCAAACTCTCCAATATAAATCATATGTCAAGATTCCCCATGCAGACCCTCATATCCTCTATCAACAGCCTTGTCTGGAAATGTGATGTATTTCCTCTCAACAACTCCCTGTATATGGAGACCTCCTGTCCAAACACATACTAGTACATGTGCTGTATACTGCTGAACTTTCAAATTACAAGAGATGCCTTGGAATTTAAAACAACTCTTATTTAGTAACGTTACATACTACACATACTAAATTGAATTCTTACTTTCTATAGGGTCTACCTACCAACTTACAATGTATTTATACATGTATTACCATGACCTTGTTTAGAAATACAAGTAAGTCTGTTCTACTTTGGCCTGAAGAAGACACTATTTTCTTGGACTGGCAACTTGCTCTCCAAAACTTGTAGCTGGTATGTATTGCGCAAAACAATTACATTGTCCATCAGTTTTTGGGGCCATTTTTTTTTTCGGAGGGGGGGGGCTGAAAGAAATCCTGGTCACCTGTCGAGCCAGACACCTTGCAAGGTATCCAGACTCAGTGACTAGACCTGTTTGAAGATTACAGAACTGGAACAGTTAGTGTAGTTACTGTGGTGTGGAAAGGTACAGAATTATAACAACAAAAAATTTGGGATATCTGTTAACAAGTCAGAGAACTGGGCCAGCTAAAGTAGTGGCTTTGATGTCTGCAGCTGTGAATGATAATAAATCAATGATTCTCCAGAAATAGACGGGGTGAAAGTTTACAGCACTTTTGTTATAGTGTGTCTGCTGGGAAACCACAGCTGGGGGACCTGGAGCTTCACAATGTTACAATACAATTCAAACATTACTCGTCTCGAAATCCTTTTTTTTACTGTATCCATTATCCTAGTATTACTATAAGTATTAATTAGTATACACTGCCAAACCTAGCAATATTCTATTCTTGTATACTTACTTGACTTATAAAAAAAATCATTTCTTCACACACTATCAACCGAAATATCAACTTTGGCAAAGACACAGGAATCTTTCAGTAGATTATATCTTGCATTCTTTGTTACAAACGACAATACTTCAACACTGCCCCCCCCCACACACACACACACACTATATAGGCATAACAATAACAAGGTGTCATATCAATAATTAATTAGCTTTATCTCTGTTCTTTGTCAAAATATCTGTAACGGTGGCTTTGATAGATTGGTTACAGCACTGAGCAAAGCAGCCAATATTTTGTTTGCCTGTTCAAACGTCAAGTGAAAATGTTACATACAATTTGTGTAGTTTTCTGGATGTTTTTTGAGTGTATCAATTGGCTAGATTTTGTACGTCATTTCGATGGTACGATTCTTCAATGTTCGCGGGCAAGATGCACACGAAAATAAGAAACATCGGTCTATTTGTGGATCAAAAAATAACCTGAAAAGGAAAAGAAAACAAACATATAAGAGAAGAAGAAAGGGTAGTTTATTTTGTTTACCTCGTTGTTGAATCCCGTTCCTTCCGTGACTCACATGATCGGCATCTCCTTTCCTTCTGCAAGCTCCGTTCACGTCTTCTTTTGATGCATACCTCACGACAAGAGGCTACAAACACGTACAAAATCCTCAAGAGACCGAAATAACTCCTAAAAGTTTGGTTCTAGCCGAGTTTTTTGCAGTATCCCAGCCTCTCTGGTTGAAGTGCCCTCCGGTTCCGTTGCTATCTCAACCAAAAGCCGCCAGATTTCCACTTGAGAGGACGCAGCTATCGCCGAAATACTCCCGTTTTCTCGACTCTGTACAGCTTCGCGTTCCTCTAACCTGGGTTGAACTTGTTGATTTAATGATTAAATGTCTCAAAAGCGCCGAGGGAAATTGTAAATACGGCGGAGCCACTTGGAACTTTCAAAAGTCAGCTGCCCTCCCACCTGCGTATTGATCGCAGGAAGCGGTGACGTAGTCCACATATTTTTGTAGTGATCGATAAACCTGCACTTTTAAAGAAAGTCGCTAGATGTCACTGCTGCACGTGGCACTCCAGGGTTGAACTTGGAAAGTTAGCGGTGCAATATTAAACATGGATTTTGTCACCAGATGGCTAACATGGCTCATGCCATTGCACGAATACAAAGGCATCGTGTATCCCTTCTTCGTGAGCAGGGAGAACCTGGAAGCGATGCCCAACTTCCGGATGAGAGACGACGATATAGTCATCGCCAGCTACCCGAAAACAGGCAAAGCCGATTTGATTTTAACAGATATGTGTGTTTCCGACTTGTTTTACTCGTTTTGTAGCGGTGCAGGTGTGCCTGGTGGATCTAGGGAATCCTTCAAAACCCACAGAAGCCACAGTACTTTCTCCTTTTTGGCAACGCCATAGGGGCGAGCGTAAGGGTCGCACAATAACTCAATAAGCTGTGGATGGATAGGAATTAAGGTCTCATTCTTGAGTTTTTGTTAACTATGGCCGCCTATGGCAAAATACGTAACTTTACATAGGCCAAAACCCTATAATTTGAATGACAGCCATCTAGTCTATCCAATCAATTTTGAGCACAATGGCCCTACATTACGTCAAAAAATTCCCAACCAGATCTAACCCAACAATCTCTTTTTATTTAATTATAAACTGCACTTGGCCACTCTCCGCCAGAGGTCCTCCAGCGCTGCTACCTCCTGACCGCATTACCCATCACAACAGCGTGTAAACATCCGACCTGTCGCGCGGATGTCAACACTTACCCACTAATTTTAGCACATACAAACAACCTCTCATATCACAAGCGGTTTACGCCAACTGACTTAGCTAAAATGCAATTTCTGGCGGATATAAACACACATCCATACACGCATTTAATTTTTAGTACGATCTACTTTAGAGTACCCACGCGGAAGAATACCGGAATGAGACCTTAAACGTTGGGTTGGTGGGTAGGTCTTGAGAACCAGAAGCCGGATCGTCATGATTATGGGTTCACCACACCACGAAGTGGTGTGGTGAAACCATATTGCTTTTTCTGATGTTTCTTCTCCTCCTCCTTCTCCTCCTTCTCCTCCTCCTCCTGCCATATCTTTAAATGGATTCAGCTTCTTCATTTTAGGGCCTAAGGTCCTGAAATTTGGTATGGAGGTACAGTGGGCAAATACCCCTAGGCGTTTTTTAAATTATTGTGATACAGGCTTTTAGAATGGTTTTATTTGAGTTTTTTGGCTGTGTTATAGCAAATGTATTACTGTGTTAGTCTGCCTTGTTTACCACGTTTGGGCATGAGTCATCAGAATGGAATGCAGGGCATCAACCAATAGGCATGCAGCTTTCCTCTATACTTCTTGCTGATTGGCTGTTGGGATTTAACTTGATTAACACCTGCACAGAAGCATTTCCATACTGACAGTATGTCTGTATTCAAGTGTTTTGGTAGGTATTTCAAGCTTTCCTGCTCCAGCATTGGAATGCCGGGCATGGACGTTTTTTTTTATTTGAAAATCAACAGTTTGCATTATGCAATTAAAAATCCTAACCAATAAAGTAGGGAATAGCTATCCAACTGTTGTTTTAGTTGTATTTTACTTCATATTATAGTTATATCAATGTAAATCATTGTTTTCCCTTGTGTTTCCCATTCTTTCCCTGCCATGTCGTAAAATGTGGTGAACCCATCGCTGTATTTGCTCCAAAGCAAATATTGGCCTTTCTAGTTTTATCTTATATTGCTACATGTAGCTTAAGTGATGCTTGGCATAATTAGATTTTTAGAAAATTTCATACATACTGCATTTGGAAGTTAGGCCACACCAATTTAATTTGTTGGTTCTCAGATTTTTTCAGAAAAAATATGAAGCGAAAGGGCGAAAAAAAAAATAAAAACAGGTCTAGGCATCCTATTATAGGCTTAAATGGTACGAAATGAGTCATGAAGTCAACACAAAAGGCTGGGTTAAAATTTAAACATTGAATTTTGAACTTTTAATCAAACCACTGCAATGATAGATGAGAAAACTGTAACAACTAGGAAGAAAAGGACTTTCCTCAACTGTTGGGGGCAAAACATGAGCATTTTTCACTTGATTCAGGATAAGAATCAATTTTTTTTTTTTCAAATCAGAAAAAAACGAAGAGGCGAATCCGAGAACCAACAAATTAAATTGGTGTGGCCTTAAGTGAGGGTGAATATCATTAACATGTCATTACCTCATTTGCATAATTTATGAGGAAATGCTAGAATACCTTTCTGTCAGTTGAATGGATGATATGACCAAGGATAAATACCTAAAAATAAACAAACAAATGAAACAAACAACTGCCAACAGGAACCAACTGGATTCTGGAGATGGTCAGCAGAGTCCTGCAGGCTGCTGGGAGGAGTGAGATGACATCAGAAGACCGCGCTTTCGCTAAGCTGGAGTTCCACCATCCCGAGCTTCCCCAGACGACACACGTCCTGCTTGAGGATAGCCCCTCCCTGCGGGTCATCCTCACCCACCTGGGTCCTGATGCAGCACCCCCGGGGATAGCCCACCCTCAGGGCAATGTAACAAATGATATAAATTTTTATTGCATGTTCTTGCCCAGATGGGCAAAGCCGGACTCCTCTAACAGTTTCCTATAGATAACCAGCAGGGTGGTTTTTTGGCAATCTAGCTCTTGTTGTACCATATAGGCTTAGCTCTTGTTGTACCATATAGGCTTCATGTTGAAGACTACTTGTATGTACTTCGTTAAAGCTAATCTCAAATAGTAACTGTACATTCTGCATTGAGCCTCTATCAGTATCTCCAAGCAGATTCTGGAGGGCAAAGAGAGTCTATATTGGCCGCCAATGGATACAGGCAGCCAATATCTATTATATGACTCCCCTTGCCCCACAGAGTCTGCATGGAGATTAAATGCAAAGTCTTCACTAAACACATAATTCTGCCAGGTCTTATGAATCTTTCACCCTAGTTGGAAAAATGTGTCCTAAAGGAGGGCCTGCATGCCCTTTTTCGTAAGGCGTAATCAGGCCTTTTTAGACTTCGTAATTCGTAGGCGGCCTCCACAAAAAAATCAACGTAATTCATAATAGAACATAGTAGCCACAAATTGTAAAGTCGTAATCAGCTCTGAGACTTTAACGTAATTCGTAATCGGCGGCGAAAATTTTGCGTAATTCGTAATAACTACCCCCCATGCAGGCCCCCCTAAAGCTGCCTTACGTAACATTAGGATCATACTTAATGTAAAATCTTCTTTACAAAGTGTCAGTAAGTTGAATCAACCCTACTCATGGGGGTGGTATTGGATTCATTCCTCAAGCTACATGTAACTGAAATCTTTCACACTGCAGTTGTCCCTCAGTAAGACATCTGGAGCCACATTGTTGCTCTTTAGAACTTTTATTCAGCCTGTCATGACTGGTTTCCCCCTGTCGGTTTCATGAAAGGTCAAGAACTATGAGGCTCCACTGGTGACTTACTGAGGGACGACTACTGTATCCACTGTACTAAATATACCTCATAATCAGTGGTACTTATCCAGTTGTCCTCTAATCTCCAGGTGAAGGTCATAGTGATAATGAGGAATCCGAAGGACGTCGCCGTGTCCTACTATCACTTCAGCCTGGATATCATGAGGAATTACTTCTATTTCGGTCGCATCGCAGCTTATTTTGTTACTTGGGACAGATTTTTCAACCTCTTCTTGTCTGGAGAAGGTACTTTGGCACACTGAAGTCATCATCATCAAATCCCATTTATTTCAACATAATTGTTATATTGCAAATTCATAACTGAGGACTAATTGCAAGTACAGAAGGTATAACAAGTAACGTTACATTTGGTATAACAACAGGCAATTAATACACTGATAAACTATACTAATAACTCCTAAAACTACTGGGTTTGACTTCTTTTTTGAAGACAGAGGAAGACAACTGCAAAGATGTATAATAATTAACTTGGATTCATTATTGACATTTCATCATAACAAATAAGTTGCCTGAATTGCACTGATATTTACAAATATATGACACAAATTTTAAAGAACAAGAAATTGCAGTAAATGTCAATATCAGACAGATTTAATTTCCTCATCCAGAATATTTTTTGTTTTGCCGTCCTGAAATTGCATTGGTTGCCTTTAATATTGATTTCATAATGTGGACTAATTGCTACATTGTATTACAAAAATATTAGACTAGGGAAGTTGTTCTGCCTTACATTAAAGATAACAATTACCGTGCCACATGTTTTATTGCCATATGATAATTATCCTTTTCATTCTGTAATTAAAGTTGTTTTTGGTGACTTCTTTGATCACGTGTTGTCCTGGTGGGAGAAGAGACACGACCCCCACTTCCTGTTTCTTAAGTACGAGGATGTTCAGAGGGTGAGGAACACTTTCTTCACTCTAGATCTGTATCTCAGTGTGTATAGTTGGTATAACTGCCCCTCGGTATAACATATCTGATTCAGCTTCTGCATCTGTATATCAATGTGTACAGCCAGTATAACCTTCCCTCAGAGTAACATGCCGGCTTCTGTATCTGTATATCAGTGTGTATAGTTGGTATAACTGCCCCTCAGTATAACGTATCAGCTTCTGTATCTGTATATGACTGTGTATAGTTGGTATACTTGACCCTCAGTATAACATATCAGCTTCTGTTTCTGTATATGAGTGTGTATTGTGTGTATTGTATGAGTGTCGGCATAACCGCCCCTCGGTGTAACACACCAGCTTCTGTATCCGAATAGCCGGAATAACTGCCCTTTAGTGTAACACACCCTAAGCTTCTGTATCTGTATAGCCGGTATAACCGCCCTTCGGTGTAACACACCAGCTTCTGTATCTGTATAGCCAGTATAACCATGCAGCCTTCAGCATAACACACCGGCTTCTGTATCTAAATAGCAAGTTACTGCCTTTTGCCATGCGTATCTGTATCGCATAAGGTTTGTTAAGCTTTAAGATACAGAATCGCATTCCCAGAATATTCAAAGGAGCATGTCCTTCTACTTTCCTTTAAGAACCCGACAGATGCTGTGAAGACTGTGATGGAGTTTCTTGAGGTGGACCTTGATGATGTCACCATCAGACGTATTGCCGAGGAAAGCTCATTCCACAACATGAAAGAAACGTTGGGTGACTCCCACCTCAAGCACAGGACCGTGATGGCCAGAAAAGGTCTTAATTAGATCCCATAAGCCTGCCTGAATACCTGCTTAAAAAGTCTTAAAGTTTATTATGTTTACGGAAGGAAAACATATTGTTTTTACTCAGTTTCTTCCTCCTCTTCTGTTCCAAATACTAACCTCTGACCTGGCCAATGACATGATTTGTTGACGTCTGTCACCATGGTGACTGGTGTTGGGTTACATAATGTTGCAATTTCAAGGTCTGCTCTACTCCTGTCACCATATACTCGTAGTACATGTACATGTATGTGAATGTGTTTGAGTAAAAATTAACAGGGCAGACCATGTCCAAAGGTAAACATAAATTATAAATGCATTTGCTTTGCAAATGTTACTTCTCTAGTTGTCTTTATATTGATACCCTTTGGCCAAAACAGGCTAGTCTTCCAGGGTTCATACAAAAATAAAAACATGCAGTATATGATAAAAATGATTATGAACAGATAACATTGTAAAAGAACACACATATGGCACGAAAGGAAATTAACATCATACAAACGAAAGGAACAAATGCTCAGGCCCTAGCCCCTAATGCTCCTCTCCTTAAGGTACTTCCAAATAGCACATATGGTCCCTAACCATGTCTTCTGCTCTGTATCTTGAAAACAAAAGATGATTCTCAACATAAAAAGATTCTGTTGATTGCTAAGTATGATATATAATGTACAATTAACTTAGAATTTGAAAAATCAACCTTATTCAACTTATTGCAGAGATGTAAGTTGTGAAGAACATTTGAAGAGCAAAGCTTTCAGGAGTTACTTTTTTATGTATTAAATGGTATTTTATTTATATCTTAGTCATACATGTATGATTATGAATCATTTTAGCTTTTAACAGACATCTTACATTGTTAACTCAGGTGTTGTTGGTGACTGGAAAAACTATTTCACACCGGAACAGAGCCGGGCTTTTGATGCCAAGTACAGGGAGAAACTGGAGGGAACCGGTCTGGAGTTTGAGTTTGAGGGATCCATTTTATAATGCGCCATCAGGCCATGTTGATTTGATTATATGGATGACATCCTTATTGAAGCTGGAGTGTTACACCAAAGGGCAATTATACCGGCTATACAGATACAGATCCTCTGGGAACCCCAAGACTGATGCCAGTGTGTGATTAAAAAAAGTTTGGCAAAAAAAGTTGCCTTCATTCTGAAATACAGGTGTCAAGTCACTAATTCAGTATTGAAAGACCAAGGTGCAATTCCTTGCTTTGTCACAAGGTGGCGTAACAGTATTGTCCAATCTGATATCTTTCTGTACAGAGTGTTACAGATGATAACTGTAATAATCACTGCCATTCAGTTTATACTTGTATATGTATACAAACACACATGGACCAATTCTTTCTTTTCCAGGGAAATGTCTATCTTTTAGCTAGCTTAGTTTTACCAGTAAAATGTGGACATACATGTACTTAATGAAAATCCACACTAAAATCTTATTTGATAAGGCAACATCAGCATATAGGTCATGTTGAGGGAACAAAGGTAATGATGATGTATACATAGCCATTACTGGTAGATTTGGTCCCAGTGATATGATTTCTATTAATTATTCCCTGTAAAAATTTATCTTTAATAAAGCAACATTTTTATAAAGATGCACTCTTTGTTGGTAAAATGTGCTTATTAAGTCCATTTTTTACTTTAAGTATATTTTTGGACACCTTAATTGCAATACAGTAACATTATACCAGGTAGGTCTGTAGTTCCAATATACATGTATATATATATATCATACTCATTACAAATGTGGAAATGGACAGAGAAAGACTTTACAATTACACATTTTACTGTATTATCTCAACATTGTTTCACGAAAGCTATAACATCCGCAATCAAGTTTAAATACGCCACTATTGTTGCTCATCAGTCGTGCAACTGACTAACAACTGTTCCCTCGGCTGTTGAACTCCTCACCCCTGCAGCCTTTCCGATCGTTCACCTTTCTGATAACCCCAGGTTCTATTTAAACACGTCGTTCTTGTTGCACCGAGTCTGTCGTACGTCTGTGGTAGAACAACTGTTCCCCAGGCTGTTGAACTTTTCACCCCTGTAGCCTTTCCGATCATTCCCCTTTCTGATAACCCCAGGTTCTTGTTGCACATCTGTCGTACAACTCTTCTAAGACGGTATACGACAGACTAACAACTGTTCCCTAGCTAGATAGGCTGTTGAACTTTTAACCCCTGCAGCCTTTCCGATCGTTCACCTTTCTGATAACCCCAGGTTCTATTTAAACACGCCGTTCATGTTACACACTCCAGTCTGTCGTACGTCTGTGGTAGGACGGATGTACGACGGACTAACAACTGTTCCCTAGGCTGTTGAACTTCTCACCCCTTTAGCCCTTCCGGTTAGTCACCTTTCTGATAACCCCTGTGTTCAAACACGTCATTCTTGTTGCCCCACACTGATGTCCAGTGACTGGACCTTAACTGCCTTAAGAGAAAAGAGACGTTCGTGCCACAGGTGGGAACGGACCAGGTGAAAACACTTCAGGATGGCACCTCTTATCGGGGCTACTTTATCTGTTGACGGCAGAGACATGACACGAACCCGCGCGACTCGCCTGTCATCACGTACCAGGTGTTGATGTTGTTAATCCGCCGTGAGGGGCAACGGACCCAAACAATAACCCCGCCGCCGGAGATGATATAACCGCTAAGCCCCTGTCACACATTCGGACCCTTCTCCTGACCACCAACCAAACAAGTTTGACCGAGCAATCTGACCACCAGACTATAAGCCACGCATTTATGAACGAAATGAATAAATTCCTTCTTCGAAATCTTTTTACAGTGACAGTTTCTTTCCCCGTACGGCCAAGCTTTTCCCTCCCTGACAAGTGTTTCCCACCAACCTACAATCTACAGGCTTTCAGATCAAATATTCACCGCCATCTCTTGACATAGCCATGTTTCTCTCATATTTCTAGTGCAATGCCGAGAAGTGGTCGTATAGGCCTTGCACTGAACTACTCCTTTAAAAAAATCGAATTTGAGTTCAATTTGAGTCAAATTTGACTCCCGAATACTACTGACCTACTGCCGCCCGAATACAAGTCAAGTCAATGAGTCCCCAACCATGGCCGAACTTCCCGTCCACACACGAATGTTTTAAATTTTGCCATGTTGAAACATTCGGCTAGTGCAGCCGGACAGTAGCCGACCTCTCACAACACCAGCCAACTATAGCCGACCTTGCTCCCGACCTATACCATGGTTGGGGGGAGTTTGGGAGGCCATATTCGGCTATGTGTGATAGGAGCTTTAAAGGCATCCAATGCGATTTTAGAGCAGCAAAACTGGAAATATTCTGAATAAGGCAATTTTTGTGATATTGACACATACTGCTTCACATTAGCACATTTGAGTCAGCATTTCATACTCTGGGCATTTAAAACTGCAGAAACAAGCCACAAGATGATTCCTTTATTTTTTGGGTGGTACCTAAAAACTGCGCTGGATGCCTTTAAAGTAGCCTCTACCAGGCACCGCGGATCGCTGGAAAAATAGTAGAAGTTGGCCGAAATAAAGGAATAGTATACCAGAGAAGATCCGGATTTCCGTGGGTCGCAAATTGGAGCTTCTATGGCCCTGGATTATTTCGGCCAATTTCTACTATTTTTCCAGCGATCCGCGGTGCCTGGTAGAGGCTACCTTTAAAGCGTCTTTAAAGAATGATGTAACCGGTACGTACAGTTGCACAAGCCATGTTCCATACACGCCACAATTAGCCAAGACGAAAGATCAATCACAATGCGGCAGCGCTTCAAGGCCAACACAAAAACTTTTGTGTACAACCGGTTTTCACCCAGAATAGAACTCATGACGACATTCTCAATGTCCATTTCCCGCACCGATCGTTATGTGATGTAGATGGATCGGGTTCTGATTCTATTTCCACAATGTGGCTTTCCAAATGTAGACCTGAACGAACAATCATACCTCCGCCCAAATGTTTGTTCCTGTTCAGGATAATAGGCAGGGATTTCTCCTACAGAAACTTTTTGTTGCCCCATGACGTCAATGTTGTTACCGAGCACGTTAAAATGGCAAATCTCAGCAAATAATGAAAACGCCTTGAGAGGTAACACATGACCTTACACATGAAAGGTGATCTGTACTGATGAAATATACTATAGAAAAAAGTAAATGTCACTTGTTGGAAGAAAAGATAAACTTGTTCAACTTTGATCGACATGTGTAGATGTGAACTTCAAGTGTTTGTAAACTTGAGTACTTGGCTCGTTCATAATCATTCACTGTGTTCTAACCTCTGCAGCCATTGAAACGTACAGTAGTTGCCAAGAGCGCCGTTGTTCCAAGTGCAAAGAAATGTTGACGATGAAGTTCACTTCCTACTAACAAAATCTCCCACCAATTGAAGACAGACAGAAGTTGATGAATATAATCTGTTGTAAAACCAATGTTATTTTACCGAAGACGAGTTTGGCCGGGGTATGTTCCGATTCGATTTTCTAGGCCAGTAACATTATGTATATACATATATTTCTAGAGCTCTACGGTACAAAGATTGTATGGTATTAGATCGACATAAAATTTATTGTCTCTTGTGCATTCTTATCGTAATACTTTTAGTTTGACTCAAATTTAACTCAAATTCGATACGATTCGTATAGAAATCTGGTCAGACTGCTCCCGGACTACAGACAACCTTGGTTGGTTTGAGGTCGACGGAATGTTCTGAATGTGTGACAGTGGTTTTAACAAACACACATGAACTTCTCGTTCTCACATATGTCGATCAAAGTTGAACAAGTCTATCGTTCCTTCCGACAAAATGTTCTGTAAGAGAAATTTACTTTTTGCAATCGTATAATTCATCAGTACAGATCAACTTTCATCTGTAAGGTCAAGGCGTGGTACCTCTCAAGGCGTCTTTGCCGAGATTTATCCCTTTAACATACTCGGTATTGACGTCATGGGGCAAAAAGGTTCTATAAAAGAAACCACCGACTATTGTCCTACACAGGAACAAACGGAGATATTATTGTTCGTTCAGGTCTACATTTGGAAAGCGACATTGTCAAAACCCGATTCATCTACATCAGATAACGATTGGTGTAGGAAATGGACACTGAGAATGTCGTCATGAGTTCTATTGTGGATAAAAAAAACGCTGTACACAAAAGTCTTAATGTTGGCCTTGAAGCATTAAGAAGCCGCTACGTTCATGAGAAGTTGCGCTGCCGGCAGCATTTTTCTATAAAATAAGATTTGAGATATAATTCAGGGCGGACAAAAGATGTCCTAATACAAAAGTATCCTGAAGTGCCCGTGTACACTCATGAAGTACATTAGCATCATTAATGGGCATTAAACCAGAAAAGACTCAAATGATGTGTGTTTTCATTGACTCTTAAGGTGGCCACAGCTGTTCTAGTGGTCTGATATTCCCCAATCTGACAGAAACGATCAAACGAAAGCGCGCGTGCTTGTGTGCCGACTGAATCTCAAGTGATGGACAGTCAGAGGTCGGTAAGCACGACAACACATGTTTGGTCAAAATATTCCCAGTTGTCTTGGCGACCATTCTGTCACCACCCCTAATATTTTACTTCAAGAAAGCGGAGAACAGTTGAAGAATGGATCGTATTATTCTTCCAATAAAAGGTGGAGAGATTGCAAGCTTTACACTTTATTTGTTGAATGGGGGCATTCTTTGCCGGGTTTGTTTAGCATATCCGCTAAGCTGTAGGTGAAACAGTGCACATTCCGGCCTCACCACGTGCATGTATGATAACCCGTAACCAACCAGAGTTTTCATTCAAAAGCCCGGGAAATTTATCAACTTGTGAAGTGACCAGTGGGTTTATAAAGGACAGGGCTTTATAGTCGGACAGCTTTCACAGACCGAGCTCAGAAAAAAAGACGATCAGTGGACGATAGGACGACTTCGTCGCAGCAGCAAACTTAGAGAGCAAGATGAAGACCGTTTGTATCCTTCTTTGCTTCGTTTACAGGTAGGTGTTTGCGCTAATACTACACAGAGACATATCACTGCATGAAATTCGACGTTTAAGCAAAGCTTAAAACTCGCGTAAAGGCTCCGTTTTCTTCAGCCAACTGGGACAACGGAACATTTACGAATGCTTTTTCGGCATGCTTAAATATCGAATCTTATGCGGAGAGAATACGTCACATCCATGCATGAATTACCTAGGTTACGTGTGTACGTTTTTAGTAGGACAGTTACTGAAGGTTGTGAGAAAAATGTCGGACGATATTGCCGAGCAGTCAACTAGAACTTCCTGACGCGGCAGATATGGCAATAAATCTACACAGACTGAACACACACCAGCTGCCTTCTCGTCACGGAGAAGAAGTAATTTCAAGGTTAAATCACTACACGGACACGGAATCCCACCTTGAAGCATAGCTTAAAGCATGTCTAAAGGTAAACGCAGGGAAAGAAATGAATTTTTTTTCCGTGCGTAAAGAAAGGATTTTGTCTAGTGAATGTTGCTACTTTAAGAGATAGTGCAAAGTCATGGTGAACTTTTACGAATAATGTATGTGTATTGGCCAACTCGTTTAACAAGTTGATAACTACATGTAGAAGTACCTGTTAATACAGTATCACGTCGAGCACCTTGTCACAAATTGAATAGGCCCTACATATCTGCCCCCGGGTGGCATTTGAAATAATATCTGATACAAATAGTAAGAGGGCCATATTGTTGTTGATGATATAAAATTCTACCCCGAACAATTCTATAAAAAAGGTAATAAAATAAAGGTAGTCCCGTAGCTTTTTTGGTTGTTAGTACAAGTTGTGTCTAGGGGCACAGTATTGACTGGTGCCTCCCTCTCCTTCCACCGCCTTCAGAGTCAGGTACCCATTTTACACCTGGGCGGAGTATTAAATGCCTTTCCAAAGGACACAAGTCTATAGCCAGCATAATATCCGGGATCGAACCCCTGACCTCCCAATCTCGAGTCCGCTGGCCAGGCTATAGCCAATCGGTCAGTCAATGACACATGGAAAGATTCTATATGGAAAACGAATTCGTGTACACTTTGAACTAAAATTGGGCAGTAAGTCCGAGACTTTGTTGTATGACAGCATCACAAGACAAAATCCATCCTTACTCACATATTAATTAAAGTATGCATAAAGATTCCTTTTCTTCGTTTGCGTATACATGTAGCTTTAGCTTTTACGCTTAAAGATAGTGCTTCATGCAGTGCATAGCTTTACTTGTTGCTTGATGTTCTCCCTTATGCCTGAAGCGCATACATGTATATTTAGCTTTTAGCTAGGGTTTCATGCAGTTCATGGCGTTACTTCTTGGTTGATATTCTCCCCTGTGCTTGTAGCGTCTATGGCCTGTCGTGCGTGTGTGACTACGACAACCTGGCGCAGTTCTGCGGCCCGGCCCCCACCAACTGTCCGGCGGGCACCGTCCGGGACCCGTGCGGCTGCTGCGACGTCTGCGCCAAGGTTCGTGCGTTCCTAATGCTAAAGCCTCTGTCACGCACTCAAAACCTTTCCCCAATCAACCAAAGGTTGACTGAAGTTCGGTCTAGACCCAGATCTAGACCAGGCCTACCTTTCTGTAAGCGTTGAATCAAATTTCAGTTAAATTTGAATCAAATTTGACTGCCAACCACGCCCCGACCACTGCTGACCTGTATGTGATCACACCATACAGCATATGCCTGTCAGTGATCTTCTTATTAATTTAATTGCACTTATCATAAACCATATGGCCTTTTTTTCCACTCCGCGAGGGAGGTCAATGACCCCCGACAGAGTATTGTAATAAGTTGTTTCCGTGGGTTCGCAGCTGAACATAAGTACGATCCCGTTTGCTGCATTCGTACATACTAGTAGTCTGAGTCTGTCTTCGCACCTAGAAAAATTAAGATCCGTTTAATATTTATTCATGTGATGGATTTGGCTGAAATTTGGCATGTCGGTTGTAAACGAGGGCATCAAACACCTTAGTAATTATCATCATAATTCATCATAATATCAATAATAATATCATCACATCATAATTACTTCATGGAGAATTGTCTCCTATGGGCTGTTGTTCAATATGGTACTCTCCAAGCAGAGGTTGTGGGGAATGATCGTTAGCTTTTTATATATGGCCGTTTTTGTCTTTTGTTTTTGTCGCTAATCCAACCCGTCGGTGGCCGTCGACCTTCTCTGGCTAGTGGATACTGCCTTGCCAATTTGATACTGTCTTTTTGCCGCCGAAAGGGATCTGCTTGGAGATTACAATATGGAAGTTTTGTTGTTTTCCTGCCGTACCTGACAGGTCCAGGGGGAGCGGTGTGACGGGCCGTACGGGGTGTACGGGACCTGTGCGGCCGGCCTGGTGTGTGAGAAGGACGACACCGACCAGGTCATCAACGTCATCGTGGGGCCGCTCGGGGAGGACGGGCGGGTAGGGACGTGCGTCGCCCCCGCTAGTGGTACGTACACAAGCCGCTATTATGCCCTATTCATGTACCTGTTCGTGTAGGCCAACTCAAGGCCCTGACACACATTCAGAACCTTCAAATTGCCACCAGAAGGACACCTTAAACTAGTTAAAGCATCCGTAAAGGGTCCGTTGATCCAGTTAACCGAAAAAAACACACGGAGCATAGCAAAAGAAGAGCAATCGTTTTCGGTCATGAAAAATCAACCTGTACGTGATTATATTTCTGTCCCTTCCCTCAGATCCAGCCCAGGACGCCCCGACCCAGTGCGAGACACAGCGGCAAGAGTACTCCATGCTGTACGCTAACAACGCGGTAAGTTTCGCTCTCTGCATCTCTGTAGCTAGCCTGGCTATCAAACATATTTTAGCTGCCGAGTCTTTTTTATATCTTTATTCTTTATTCAAGCAATTGTCATCATGGCAGCAGTACATAAAAATTATGGACGTACCGCTGAATTGCACTGACCTTACATATACATAAAAATACAATGTAACCACGAACAGAACATACAGCTTCACCACACCGACATAATCATAATATACATACAACACATAGAAACAAAGTCTGCATTTGACTGTTGTACAGTCTCTTCCTTCCTCTCCGCAAATATTAGGTTTCGTAACCAGGCTATAAATCTACAACAGATATCAGTATCAGTAACATCAACCGCTACGGGGCCAAGTGTAAAAACTGTGTCGCTGTTTTGTTATCATTATTATTTGTCATTGTAACTGTATTTTTCTTTGACAATGGCGAGGCTAGGATTACATGTAGCTATTTGCTATACTTGCTCACCGTTATGTCTTAAGTACGTTTCTGTGTTGTTTGATAAAGAAAAACTGTAACAGAGTCAGTAAAGCAAAACATCGGACTATACAACCACAGCAGTCACTGTAACAAACACACGGATACAGACTGTACCATGGTGCGGTACCATTGTCTTCGGAGACAGACGGTTGCCAACAATATATAATTATGTACTAATGTTAACAGAGTAGTGATTTCATAGCTAGTTAATTAGATTAAGAGGACCCATTACGTCACCGCAGCCTACTGGTGGAATAGGCAGTCATCAAACGTGAACATGGATTTAGGTCAAATATCACCCCTACAATTGTATGTGTGCGGGACTGGTAAAAACCAATGGATCACCTTTTGCAAATAGGATTTTGAGTTAAAAGACACCAAAACTGAAATTACTGTATTTGTTCTTTAACGATAGTCTAGTCTTCTAGTTTTTGTGTTCTGTATGACTTACTTCGCATATTTCCATTCTGCGGTTTGTAATGGCCGGTGAAATCCAGTTTGTCCTTTCTGTGCACTATGAGTAAACACTGGAGTAAATGTGACCGTTAGGTCCCTTAAACGGACTCCAGGTCAATACAATAACAGCACGTGTGAAAGAACGTGATAGTACGTATACCGTACCTGGTACGACAAGGATGTTTATGTTTCATGCCTGCACCCGGGATATGGATCTAGAGTTAATGCGGGTCACGATTCACCCTTAACAAACAAATCAATCAACTCAGATATCTACAAGGCAAAATACAGTACGTGCTTCATTTCAATCAACAGTGCTACAAGACTAGATATGCAACACATTCAACACAAACCAAAAACAGCATCAAAACACGCTTTCACATACAGAACTATTGCAAAGTGGAACACCTTGCCATATGAAATACACACAATGTTATCACACGGGAATATCAGTGACTCTAAAAACTTGAAGCACATACACATACCTCTCGTTATTTTGACATAATGGATGAATGTTATGTAATTTTATGTTAGCTGTACGTAGATCTAATCCTAGGGTTTTTAGCCTTTTTATGTACTTGTGTCCTTTCCTTGGACTACTAGCTGTCACTTACTCAGTTTGAACAGTAATAAACTCCAGTTCCAGCTTTGGTGGAAAATAACGTTCTTAGTGTTTTTGAACGAGGATGCGGTTATAAATTTCACTGTTTTTGAACCCGTGTTGTTAGTCTGGTGGAGACTATAGTGTTGACCGTGTTTTCTTGTTTTTCCCGATAGGCCATGGCCCTCCAGACGGGCGCCTACAAGCCGACCTGCACGCCCGAAGGTTTCTACGCTCCCGTGCAGTGTGACGGTCTGACCGGGGAGTGCTGGTGCTCCCTGCCGGACGGCACGGAGATCAAGGGAACCCGCACTCAGCAGGGAGAACCCACCTGCTTCTAAAACTGGTGAGTGTCTACAGGGCATTTGCAGTCACGTGACTATGACGTAGTTTAGAGGCGGCCATATTGGTGGGTTCAAACGCTTATAAAAGCATGAAATGGGAATTTTGTAACATTTTTTCACCTAAATTATTTCAATTGTAAATATCTTCGTGTAATCTTTAATTTACTTCCATATTCCAACATATTTGTGCAATTATCTCAATGGAGCAGTGCTGACTCAAGTTACTTCGCAAAGAAATGACCAAAAAAATGACTTTTTGTATCGTCCTAATGTTACATAATGCAGCTTTATGTGTAACAGAATTTCCATCGTGATACTTTCTGCACATATGACAAATTGTAGCGAGTTTTACACATTGTTTTCGTACCTAACATTTCTGTATAGTTGACTTTAAAAATTTAACATTTTCTGACCCTGTATTTGTTGTGTTGTTTCAGTCCAGTCCTACGTCGACGCCTGGAATAGCGGCTGTGCCAATCTCTGTTAGCACCCCCTCCCTGTGATTCAACTGATGTTGTCATTTATCGATGATGATGATAGAACTTCTATTTCCCCAACTCCCTTGTTTAGAATAAAGGTTTTCTGTTAGTCTACACATGTGTGAGTGTGGTTTTCTTGTGGTTAGTTCCCACTTATCTTCTATAAGCTTCATAACATATTGTTCGCCATACATGCCTGTATTTGGAATGTTTCCATATCTACTGTTCAGTTGTATCGGGTGTATCTTAAAAACAATCAACATTATGTCTTTCAATTAAATATGAATGAAGAATGAATGAATAGAATGTTTATTGAAGGTTTGAAAGGGTGAGAAGCAAGCACATTGATGTCAAAGCCTGAATTGGGTACTTACGAGTCAAAAAGTTCTCGGCCTCTCCCAAAAGCGTGTCCGACAACACATTGTGAACTGAGCCACAACTCGCCCACAGAATCGGACAGGCACAAGTCTGTCATTCATAACTATGCGATGGATCTCCTCAACTTGATTGTCGTGGTGGCTGATTTGGGGGCCTCCCATACTCTCCAAGCAGCGGTTGGCGTGTTTTTTTTTTTTGGTTGGGTGAAAAAAATTCCAGTGCAAAAGAGAAACCCCGATAAAAAAAGTCTAAAGACACGCTAAAAATAGCCCAAACCTCTGCTTGGCGAGTATAGGCCTCCCGACCTTAAATTCACCTTTCGTGCTCTCCTTGAAGTTGGCAACCCACTTCTTGACAGTTGAATAAGGAGGGGAGTCATCATCAAGTGTCTTGACCGCGTCTTCATGGATTTCCTTGGGAAACATCCCCTTTTTATCGAGATACTTGATCACAGCATGAGCTTCTGTTGCGTCCATTTTGTGATTTTGCTATCACCTGCTCATTTTTAAGGGGCGCCACGTGATAATTGCTGAATATCAAAATTTGCATTTCTGTGAGCAGTGACTTAAGACGTCATAGTATAAGGTTATACCCCAAAATGAGAGTTTCGTCTCTTTTTTCCAGGTGTAGCCGAAACTATTTTGAACAACCCTTGTATTCTACAAATGATACTTGAAAAGAAACATGTTTACCTGTTTACCACTTGTTTTCAACACAATTAAATACACTTAAAACAATTGATTACTAGAAAAGTCACATTTGCAAAGCAAATGCATGATGTTTACCTTCGGATATGGTCTGCTCTGTTAATTTTTACTCAAACACATTCACATACATGTACATATATATGGTGACAGGAGCCTAAATGCCTACTATGAAATTGCAACATTATGTAACCCAACACCAGTTACTATGGTGACAGACGTCAACAAAAGAGGCCATTGGCCAGGTCAAAGGTTAGTGTTTGGAACAGAAGAAGAAGAGGAAGAAGAAATTGAGCAAAAACAATGTTTTCCTTCGGTAAACATAATTAAAACCGGTCATCGTAGGCTCACAGTGTGATATGGTGCCTTAATATCACCAGACAACGCATGGTGCTGCTTCAAACTACATTTATTGGTGGAAAAAGTCGAAGAAAGGGAAGAGAAGTCCTGTTATTTGTACGTTATCAGTTTAATGGTCTTGTTCTGCACTTTATTTCTCAAACCATAACGTTATATTACCTCCTGACAACGTGATCTGGAGGCAAACATGCTGAAAGTTCCTCATTCACGAGTAGAACTTACACCTCAAAATGATGATGAATAAATTCTCAAAGGAAAATATATGAGATATCTAGATGTATAGGTACATTCTTGGGGATCTGTTTAATTTTCAGCTCATTTGATAAAATACTTGGGGGTAAAAAGCGTAGGGCAATGACCTGACTAGATATGACAAAGGGCCAGAAGATATAATTTGTAAAATAACACAAACGCACACGTGCAAGTCTAAGGTATTCTAGTCCACAGATGTCTCGGCCGGTTGGCGAATCTCTCCTTCCATCTGGACCCATCTTCTTCAAGGCACTGAGGATGTGAAAATGGAAGATGTCGGTATTTTTGACATCATGCAAAGCTGGGGTATATCATTATTAGCCTTAACAATAAAAATACTAATGTCTACTAGAAAGTGGCGTACAAAATTTTCATAACATGTATATTGCACCCATCTTCTTATCAAGTCAGCACTGGCCGGAGTTCCGGAGAGGGTAGTAGTATGATATAATGTTATATGATATATGATACATTGTATATGATATATATGATATATATGATATATATGATATATATGATATATATGATATATATGATATATATGATATATATGATATATATGATATATATGATATATATGATATATATGATATATATGATATATATGATATATATGATATATATGATATATATGATATATATGATATATATGATATATATGATATATATGATATATATGATATATATGATATATATGATATATATGATATATAGGATATATATGATATATAGGATATATATGATATATAGGATATATATGATATATATGATATATAAAATATGATATATAAAATATGATATATGATATGATGTGATATACTCACCACAGATGCCACAGAAAGCGTGACAGTTGTCTCTGACGTAATCGATAGCACAGAGGTCAGAGGTCGGCCATCCGGGGTTTGCACCACACAAGTCGCTGCTGTCCTGGCAGGACTCTGATTGGACAAAAGAAAAAGAAAATCTTACCTCTTATTCGTGTTAAAACCTAAATAGGTTTAGGTATTTCAGTGAATAATTTCATCAGGTTGGTAAGACACTGAGTGAAGAGACTCTTTTTACACAACCAATTCTTTTATTCACCAGTCAGAAATGCCCTGAGGAAGGTGACAGACGGTCACCGAAACGTCGGCTGAATAAAAGACTTGGTTGTGTAAAAAGAGTCTCTTCACTCAAGTTTTGGTATTGTGCACGATGGAGGGTCAACCTTTTCTTACATGAGAGAGGGACAACACTCAGGGGTTAACGTTAACTTTTGCCCAAAACTTCAACGGTTCAAGCGGGCTCAAGTTTGTCAAACCATCTCGGGACACTGCTAGTGCTACCGCTCTTTCCCCTGTGTACTAACGGCTCAGCTAGCCTGGGTGCCATCCGATTTGCAATAGGCTCCTTACAATAGATTTTTCTTTATTCCAACATGTAATCACCAGACGTGGTGACGACACACTCAAGTTTTTTCAATTTTATATAATATATTAATGCCGCCACCAACACAGGGGACAAATACATGACAGGACAATACTCATTTACACCTGAGCTAAGTGAGGAAATTCGTGTAAAGTGCCTTTCCCAAGGGCACAAGATCGGTGGCATGTCAGGACTCGAACACGAGTCGCGCACTCTGCCGCTACGCCACATGACCCCACTGATTGTTTGGTCCAGAGAGCGTAAGGAGACCATAACAAATCGGATGGCTTCCAGGCTACGGCCCGTCGCACGCACTCATCACCAAAATGGCCTTGAGCACACATAGCAGTGACACCCCCCCCCCTTCATTTCAGTACCAAGGACATCGACCGTGGACGCGCCGCCACTTTACTCGGGCCGTAGCTAAGCGCTCTCCCGTGGCTCAGAGCTGCGAGGGGACGCTGATTTCTCGGAGATTAAGGGTCTAGTTTGTTAGGCTAGACCGTGTGAAGGTAAACATTATGTAGTTGCTTGGCAAATGTTACCTTTCTGGTACCATCATCATTTGACACTTACCGGTGCAAGTTTCCCCGTCAAACCCATCCGCACACTGACACGTGCAGGTGGACCGGTCCAACACGCCGCCATTAGCACACTGCACGTTGCATTCTGGGAAACAAAATGGCGTATTATGTAGATTGTACTAGATCAATGTAACTAGTCAGCGGTCAGAATAAAAGTTTTAAACAGGAACGATGCGGCCCAGTTATATTACAGAGGGACGATTGTCGTAGATGTCGGTTAGCTTGAGGAATGAATCCACTCTATTTTATATTGATAAATGTAACGTCATACATATTACATATTGTTTTTTTTTATTCAAACATGTAATCACCAGACGTGGTGACGGCACACTCAAGTTTTTTCAACTTATATTAATGCCGCCACCAACACAGGGGACAAATACATGACAGGACAATACTCATTTTCACCTGAGCGAAGTGAGGAAAGTCGAGTAAAGTGCCTTTCCCAAGGGCACAAGATCGGTGGCATGTCAGGACTCGAACCCGGGACCTCTAGGTTACATATTGTTGAAGCTCAAGCTAAGAATCAGTCAATAAAGATAGATGTTAAAAGTACTGTCTGATGGCTTTAGAACTGAAGGAGGATGTACCTTGGCAGGTTGGTCCGCTCCACAGGCCGGCACAGTTACAGTCGCAGGTGTTGGCGCCGTAGTTGTCCGGGTTCCCGCCGCGGGTCCCGCCGTTAGCACATGGAGTCGCACTGCAGCCTGTAGGAGCATCACGGGTTAATATTCAGAAAAGCACGAAGAATTCTAACAACCTATAGGTAATGAACGGACAACCCCATACACATGTACTTGACTTTCTAAATTCGAAGTAACCAATGTTTACAAATACCGGTACAATGACCAAGTGGGTAGAGTGTTCGCCTTGCATTTGGGAGGTCGTGAATTCGATCCCCGGCTGAGTCATACCAACGACTTTAAAATGGTACATACTGCTAGGTACTCAGCATTATGGAAATTATGAGTACTGTAGTTAACACACAACACTGCCTGCTGTAGTGATTTCACAACTGCAAAGGCTATTCAACCGGAGATTGGCGCCAACCTACATGTATGCATCATCTGCTGCGGGAAACTGACTTTGACTAAACTAAATGTCCACAGATACTTACTGCACACTCCGCAGAACTGTTGGCAGTTCTCCTTGACGTAGTCTGTGGAGCACTGGGACACGTACGGCCAGCCGGGGCTCCGGCCGCACAGGGGGCTCACGTTCTGACACGACTCTGCCGGAAGAGAGGGAGCGAGACAGAATTATGTTTTCTGAAGTTTGGGAGCAGTCTGACCAGAATGATAGAACGCAAATATAAAAAAAAAGCTGAGATTTCAGACATGATTGTATTGGGCATTCATGAATGTTTTGGAACTGTATTATATTGTATGATCAATCTAGGAAATACCCAATTGAGTTGCATCACATAATACTACTAGTATATCACTACTAATACGAGCTTCCTCCCACGATTGCACCATCAGTCAACCTCACACATTTCGACCTCACACATTTATTGCCATCCACAAGACACATCATGACCCAAAGGGTTAACCGAGTTCACGACCCCAATACTCCAGTGAAACTAGACCTCATATGGCTCAATAGGTTCCAGTGCGGACTCGACACAAACACATAAACTATCATTTAACGCGACCGAACACAATACTTCCGTCACGGAAGTAAAGGAAACATGACTGCTCGGGGTTGGGGAGATCGGAGTGGTAAAATGAGAATGGGATGACGTAAGTATAGTCAAGGAAGACATGAAATGATGGTAACCAACCTGCAGTACTGTCGTCTGCCCGTTTACCTGAGGTAGGATGGGGATAAAGAGACAGAGGGGTCACCAACGTGAGACAATTGGCTGGATTTGTGCACTCGAAGAAAGGGGCAAGCAGGCCACACAGGCGAGGTTACTGCGCACACACACGCACAGCAGAGGCTTGACAGCTTGGAAAGCTTGGAGCAGAGCAGAAAGTTGAGAATGATACCAGCTTCCGAGCCTTCCTCCGGACATAGCTAAGCCGCCTTCGCAACTAAAAGCTGCACGGCTATCGTTCAGAAAGTTGAAGGATTCTGACGGCACTCAATACCCCCTTCCCCCATATCCATATCGTGTATGCGCCAAGAGATGTATTCAGCATCGTGAATGCCAATTAAAAGCTGCATATCAAACGCTGATGGCAGCTTAACATAGCAGCAGCGATGCTGTAAGCTGTTGGGCTGCTGTTCGGGGCTGAACAAGGCAGCAGCAGCGATGCTGTAAGCTGTTGGGCTGCTGTTCGGGGCTGAACAAGGCAGCAGCGATGCTGTAAGCTGTTGGGCTGCTGTTTGGGGCTGAACAAGGCAGCAGCGATGCTGTAAGCTGTTGGACTGCTGTTCGGGGCTGAACAAGGCAGCAGCGATGCTGTAAGCTGTTGGGCTGCTGTTCGGGGCTGAACAAGGCAGCAGCGATCCTGTAAGCTGTTGGGCTGCTATTCTGGGCTGAACACAGCAGCAGCGATGCTGTAAGCTGTTGGACTGCTATTTGGGGCTAAACACAGCAGCAGCGATGCTGTAAGCTGTTGGGCTGCTGTTCGGGGCTGAACGAGGCGGCTTATAATTACCTTCACATTTCTCTCCGCTGAAGCCCGGTGGACAGCTGCAGGTACAGGTAGAACGGTCCAAGACTCCGCCATTCAGGCACTGGACATTGCACTCTGTTCGTGAAACAAAGGTTCAACATGTAAAATAATATCTACTACAACATCTAAAGTACTTAACTTATAAGGTATCAATGTGTCGTTCTTTCTATCTATTCATAATAACTTTCTTTTTGCACTACAGAAAATCCATTCTTATCTTAACGCACACGTTAAAGTATGCGTATACGTAAGTGTTTCGTTTCTTCACTCGCGTATACCTTTACGCATGCTTTAAGGTATGTCTACCTACCTTTAACTTAATAAAGGTAGGATTTCGTGCAGTGCTATTTCTTACACCAGATGATAACGCTACTTTTCGGGAACTAGGAAAACTGATGTGTCAATATGTGCTGCAACGACGATATAACTTGCCATAAATTTGTTTCACTACCACAATTTCATGACTTTACACGTTTTGTAGCTTGCTCTTAACGGATAGGTCACACCGATGGTGCTTTGTTAGAAACCATCGTGTCTTTCCTACCGTCACAAAGTTCCCCGCTCCACAGCCCCGCACAGTTACAGTCGCACGTGTGCTCCAGATAATTGTCGGGATTGCCAGCCACGGTCCCGCCATTAGCACAGGTCTTCCCACAGGCTGAAGAAGTGGGTAAGAAGACCAAAAATTTCACAGAACCGCTCGAACGTATTTTCCTATCATCTTAAGGGTTTTATTCATCCTTTCTCCATCTACCTTCAAGTACAAACGATCAAAGGTCTAATCGACCCTTTGTGAAAAAGAAGAGCAGTTTAATGGGTGTACAAAAAGTGCGGAATGGAGCGAAAATGAACGATACTGGGAACGAAATTGAACGAAATATGAAGCAAGAAACAAAGTAGATCGCCGATAGCACGAAATACAAGCAAAGGGGAATAGCGTACAAAAATCCAACCAATATCTTTATATGGGGAAAGGAGTACTCACAGCACAGTCCGCAGAATTGTGGGCAGTTCTCCCGGACATAGTCGGTCCTGCATGACTCGGTGGTGGGCCAGCCGGGGTTGGCGCCGCACAGGGGACTCTTGTTCTGACAGGCAGCTGGAACAAGAGACGATAATAATATTGAGATATTGTCTTCAATCAGACACTGCACTAAATGCATGATATAGGCACACATTCGTGAAGTGAGATGATTTGCTTAGGCTTCTTCAGGCGATGCGAGGCAAAAAGAAAACAAAGCCCAAACCAAAAACGACAGACAACACGTCACAAAAGCACGTGTGAAACAAGCCAGAGCTATGCAGATATATCATCATCAAACATCGTGTTTCCTACCTCCAGTTGGCGCAGGTGTGGGTGCGAGATCTGGAAAGAAAAAGATACAGACATGAAGATAAGTCAACAGATTGACCTACCACAGAAATTTGACTTCCAGTTTAACCCTTATAAGATGTAGGGTAGACTCGTGGATGGTGCAGAATCGTTAAAAAATATGATTCCCCAAAATGCAAATGAACACCAGTATGAAGCAAGCTGTGATTCGCAAAAGTGCAAATTTGAACACCAGTATGGCGGTGGTTAATCACGTGAATGACGAAGCTGACGTACTGCAGACACCACACATGGCGTGGCAGTTGTCCCGCACGTAGCTGTGCACGCAGGAGTCCACACTTGGCCAGCCGGGGTTCGCTCCGCACAGCTCGCTGCTGTCCCGGCAAGTTTCTGCATGGAACGACATGTAGAACTAGTTCGCGGGATATCAAAACCGGAAGTACTGCAGTACCATACCATGCCGCTAGGGAGACCCAGAATATAATAAATTTGAAGTCTCGTCAAGACCTACCAACCTACCAAGTTTCATGACAACCCATTAAAAACTTCGTATCATGCTAAACCACATACAAACACTAGTACATACAAATGCTACCAAAAACATACCCTTCTGGCAAAGCTAATTATATATTTACACGTATGCAAGGGCGATCTTTGATATGCATGAGCACATTCGTCCTCTCCAACCTTCTCTCAACCGTGACGGGGGGCGATACCGACTTCCGATCAACTTTTACCCATCGCTGACGTCACAAGTGAGCAAAACGACGTGATCATAACAAGGAAGATCGAGTGATTGAGTTTTCATTTGACATTTCAGTAACTTTTTAGCTGGAGAACAGTTTAAAGTTTCTTATATAGCACGTCATGCAGTTTCTTTTTTTCAGTGCTTTATCCATGAAAAGAAAGCAGATTTACCAGCGCAGGTTTCCCCGTCAAAGCCGTGTGGACAGAGACAGGTACAGCTGGACCGGTCCAGAACACCTCCGTTCAAACACTGCAGGTTGCAAACTGTAAAGAAAAAGAGACGAGACAGGATACAATGACTCTCAGTTTGACAAAAATTGTCACAATTGTCAGCTCAACATTCCTTTTATACCAAAACGGTTGATTATGTTTTCTGACTTTTCAGTTAAATTTGAAGGGCACGGCACTACCTTGGCACGTTGGGCCGCTCCAGTTGTCCACACAGTTACAGTCACACGTGTTCTCTCCGTAGTTGTTTGGGTTCCCTCCACGGTGGCCGCCGTTATAGCAGGGTCTGTTGTCACATGCTGGAAAATATGGATATATGTAACATAGTGGCGACAGCTAGCTATATTACACCATGGAGGTAGAATTCTACCTCCATGATTACAACCAACGACCTGTTACACCCAACCTTTGCACATCTAACTCTAAGTTGTATACAAATATCTAGTGATGATGCCCCAACTGTACTTGGTTCCACTCTACGATAGTTCGAGGGAAAAAACGAATTTTTGAACACCTCAATCCTTTGCTGATAACTCAGGTATTTGAATTCATGACTGTTTGATGGTTATATACTTAAACACAGTTAGTACTTACTGCACAGTCCGCAGAACTGTGGGCAGTTGTCCCTGACGTAGTCGGTGCTACAGGAGTCGAAGGTAGGCCAGCCGGGGTTGGCCCCACACAGGGGGCTCAGGTTCTGACAGTCGTCAACTATGGAAGCAGGAAAAACCCAACACTGTCGTCACGTTTCTTCATTACAAACACATTTCTAACATGAGATGCTATTTAGGAGCTTTATCACATGGACTAACGTAGACTAACATGCATACACAACAGGCATGATCTCAAGATGCTCTCGTAGACGAAGAGACGTCAGTCAAGGGACTTAGGGAATAAAACATCAGAAGTGCATCTAGGCATGGTGCTATTCATTGGAGGCCTACCAAGAGGTAGAAGAATCGTCCAAGATGAGACAGGACGCGTTGCAATATTCATACCTTTTTATATCATAAAACATTGACATTTAACTTGCTCAGACCACGTCATTCATTTATTATTTTTTTTAACGCTGTCGCTCAATTGGCCACTTCTAGGCATGAACACTCCTCGCAGCAGAACTGATCGTTATCAGAATAGTGCCATTCCTTTCATGATCCGCCTGCTTAATATGTAACACTGTCACTTTTTTTAACCTAAGACTTATTTTAGTGTTACCAGTGTCCGTCTGTTTTGTTATCTGCTACGATATTAATTTGCACTTGAAACGTCGTTGACAATATTTTATATACATTTTATGTAATGGTTTATCTCTATTTTAATCGCTTAATATGACGTTTTATACTAATAATGTGATGCCCCAATGTCAATTCAGCCTCTGGCTGCCATTTTTGGGACAGTGTTGTTGTGTTTTAATGCAAAATAAACCATTGATATAGGCATAGAGCTCATTCAAGATGTTTGAAGATAAAATAATAGTAGTTCATTATTCTGGTACTTCAACATTCAGTACTTTTTGTTGTTTTCGTCTTAAAGTATTCATAATGATCGCTCACCATAAGTGGTGGGGTTGGTGACTGGAGCGGGGGTGGTGGTTGTGGTAGTGACGACCGGCCTTGGAGTCGTGGCAGGCTGAGGGGTGGTTGTAGTCTGTGTGGTGGGGCGAGGGGTGGTGGTGGTCTGGGTTGTAGGGCGAGGCGTAGTGGTGGTCTGGGTTGTAGGGCGAGGAGTGGTTGTAGGCTTAGGTGTAGTGGTAGTCTGCGTTGTAGGGCGAGGTGTAGTGGTCGGACGCGTTGTAGTGGTTGGCCGAGGCGTGGTGGTCGGCTTCGGCGTGGTGGTCGTTGGTGCTGTTTTGAAAGAAACACACTCAAGACCTCGAAGCTGACTGGTACTTAAGTAGTAGTAGTAGTAGTAGTAGTAGTAGTAATAGTTTTAGTACATGTAGTATTATTAGTAGTAGAAGTAGTAGTAGTGGTAGTAGTAGTTGTAGTAGTAGTAGTAGTAGTAGTAGTAGTAGTAGTAGTAGTAGTAGTAGTGGTAGTAGTAGTGCATACTATCTATTAATTGAATCTAAACATCCACCAATTACGAGTCAAAACACCACTTAGCAGTGCTAATTTAACAATGAATGAGATCCTGGTTACCTACCCTGTGTTGGGGTTGCGACGGTGTATCTGATCCTGTAGCCGCGGCCGCTGGTCGAGTCGTCACTCTTGAAGAGGAGGAAGAGCTTGTCCCCTGATGACGTAATGGTGCCCGGTGACGTGGTGCCGCAGATGTTCCCCAGCATGACGTCAGACTCAGACGTCCCGTCATACACCTGGAGGCGTACACAAGAGCATGATGGGAAGATTAGGAACCCTCACGTGCATTTTTGTCAGTACCAATGACGATGAATGCCAGGTTACCCAGGTAATGACCGTTGCACTGGCGACATGGGTTCGCCTTGCATTCAATAGGTCATGAGTTCGATCCCTGGCCGAGACTTTAAACATACTGCTTTCTCTGCTTAGGCCACACCAAGTAAATTTTATGGATGACGTCCGCGCGCGCATTGATTTTGGCCTGTTCCTAGAAAAAAAACAAGAAATTCCGCTTCCCGTTACTATGACCAAAGAGTCACGACAGTGCTGCAAATCGTCAGATTGACGTGAAACCCGTAACGCGAAAACAGGACAGGACGACAACTGCTGTTCCACCTGATTTATTGCTGTTTTGATGATGAATAAAAGACTTCTTGCTTATTACACTGTGTCGCCTCATTCGATTTGTGTCCTAACATTTTTCGTCTCTTAGTATATTTCTAATCTAGGCATCTTGTTTTTTAGGGCCCTTCTTGTTTTTTTTCGCCCTCTCGCATTAGATTTAGGGTCTCCAAAGGACGTCATCCATAAAATTTACTTGGTGTGGCCTTAGCAGTCAGTATTTGAGGAAGTATGTGGCAGTACTTACTATTAACAAACGTGACGAACACGCGTTACATTGCAGTACCTAACTCAGTAGAACTACAGTAACATGACATTAACATGTGTTTTCTGTTGAAAGCACTGATGGCCTTTTCAGTACCATGGACAGCATGGAGGATAATAGAACGTAGATAATTGTACGTAGGATAGACGCTTATTGTAAATTTTGAATTCTATACCCACGGACTAGGGGGCTTTCATAAGAAGCCAAAAAATCCAATCTCAATTTTTCAACAATTGCTGACAAAAAGAAAACTCCTCTCCCCACAAAACGCACTCATTACAGCAAAACGGAGGACCTGTCGTCTTCCACTACTCTGGGAAAAAGAATTCAAGCCCAACAAAGACAATTTAGATCTTTTGAGCATCGAATGTTTGTTCAGATTACAGAATAGCTACGTAAAAAAAACTATGCATAGCAACAAGGCGTTGGTTTCTTAGTACTGGGTTACGTCTGGTCTCATACAGATTCGGAATGTGTTCCAAGAAGACAAGTGTTTATTAATACATGCGTGAGTAGAAAAGCACTTAGTAGTTGATGAACTTGTTATTTCTGGCGTTTTACCTTGAGGTAGTCGTAAACACATCTGGAGGCGTACTCGATGTCCAGGTCCAGGAACTCCAGGGTGATGGGCAGCCCCTGGCCGTCAATGTTGTACCGGCAGTTCAGGAAGGGTTCGTACGGGGCGGGGAACGTGGTAAGCCTGATCTCCCCGCTCGGGCCCACCCGGTCGGACGGACCGCACACGGGGTTGGCTAAAAGGGCGATATAGAGGCCCGCTTTACACACACCATTTCTAAGTCGACTCAGCGAAGTTGACTTGAAAAATTTCTGTTCACACACGAGGCTGCAAAGCAACTTGGCACTCCCGTTGTGCCACCCTCCCCCCAAGTCAACTTGGTGGCTCGGTCTTGTCTGACTACTACGCAGAGACACTCAAGTCGACTTCGCCCGTTTACACACGCGAAGCTAGCGGACTCGGCACCCCGCTGGCCGACTTAAGTCTGGTTTGGATACGACTCAAGTCGTCTTTATTAGAATGCGACTTGAGTTGAATTATTTCTCTCTACACAGAGAGATTTTCTCTCAAGTCGACTAGCTCAAGTCGTCTTGAGTTCTAGTTGACTTGAAAAAGTTATGTGTAAAGCAGGCCAGAGTCTACATGAAGACACGTTTTACCTACTCGTTTTCTGAGGCAACTACAACTTGCGCGCTGTCGACTTCTTTCCAAGCACAAGTTTTAGACTTCGACTGATTTTTGACGTGTTTTTTGTAACCTTTTATATGGCTTTCTTTTTTGTACTGGTATCTTTTTACGCCAGTTCCTATGGCAAATAACGACAACTGTCTGGCAAATGGTAACTGCCTGGTCATTTGGTATCTTCTTTTCAACCACCAAAATACTTGCAAGTATACTTAGCTGAGTCGACTCGGGACACATTTGCCTTGTGTAAACAGAACTATCAAAATGCGACTCAAGTAGCGTTTTCCTCACGTTGGCTTGAATCACCTCTAGTTTCGATCAACGGGAGGGCCATGTAGTGATTTTCATGTGTGTAAACACATGGAGTCGATCCTAGCCAAGACACAGCCTCAATAATATTATTCTTGGTATTTGGCTAAATTTTATTGTTTTCGAACCTACGTTGTGTACGTGGAGGCTAAAATATAACCCTCTCGACTCTGACTATTAACCATTGCGATGTTTTTTTTCTGATGCAAGCAGCTTTGGAGGGGTCTTAGGTGCAAGCAAATACATTTTGGTTTACATGTGCGATAGTCTATGCGATTCGTTTGATATAGTTCAAATTAATTGTCGGGTCAGCGATCACGCGTTCAATCATGCCTTTCCAGACCGGCACGTGTACTGTGACTGCCGTGAAAAATAACATGCTTTTAGCCCCTAGCAAAGGGCACAAACACCGGCCGTTTAAGAACAAAGCTTCGTGTGATTAAGCATGACCTCCTTGGCACGCCATGGCGCAAACAACGTCAAACATTATGATGTTGATCTGTTGTAATCTCTGTTGCCCGGAAGGCGATTATACAAGTTACACTCACTGTGCAGAGAGCTGTAAATAATGGTACCTTGTACGTAAACAGGTGTGATAAATTGTACACTGTAAGAGTACGTGGCCACAGACGCGTGGACTTTAATAGAACGTGATTATTCCCCATAGTGACAGTGGCTACGAGGTACCCGTTTACTGACAGATCTAGGTCAGTGTTCAGCTGTTTATAAGGCATCCAATGCAATTTTAGGGCCGCAAAACTAGCAAAAATAGCCAGGGTGAGAAAATCTGCACATTTTCATCATCAGGCATACTCGAAGCGTTTGAAGTAGTCTAGAAACAAGCTATGCGAGGAGTCCCTTTACTTTGGTACCACAAAAAATAGCTAGAACCTTGGCAGACGATATGAAACGAGCAAAACGTTTGCTATCAGCGACATTGCATTTTATGCTACGAAAAAGGGTTGATTTTACTTACGCCAAAAAAATTACCTAGATGGCAAACCTTCATAGACGTATATGATTCAACTTATTACATTGAAAATGAAAGTTGAGAAAATGGAGTTTGAAAATCCAGTTTTGCTGCCCTGAAATCGCTTTGGCTGCCTAAAATAGAACGTAAAGGCTTACCTGGGCACTCATCAGTGTTGCAGAACTGCACTTCAAAATTGTTCCCTTGGCAGTCGGCTCCGCCGTTCGCAGGGATCGGGTTGTTGCACTGCCGGTAGCGGTGCTGAGTGCCGACGCCACAGGACTTGGTGCACGTGCCCCACGGTCCCCACTCACCCCACTGCCCGTCGATCGATCCTAGAGCAGAAAGATAAAATTTCTCTTTCATCCGTAATACATAAAACATAATCTCCAAGCAAATTCATTCGGGGAGCAAGGGAAAATCAAATTGGCCACCAAAGTTACCATTTGACGTATTAATATACTGTATTGCGGCCACCAAAGATCTACTTGGAGATTACAAAAAAAATACATGAACAGGACAAAGTGATTACGAATTCAAGTGATGCAACTTTTATACACACCGCTACTTGTACAGAACAATAAAAAAGTTACAAGGCAATTATAGACAATCGAAAATGCTCTATACACAGAAGTACAGAAGGTGGGACAAAATTAATGTACAAGTATCTCGAATTGGAAATAGCTTATCATCATGACCTGTACTAAGCTTGTAACAGCATAAACGTACATTAAAGGTCTTTCATTCGATGTAAAAACAAAGCATTGGTGACACTCCAAAGTACGGACCTGAAGAGAACGAATAGGCGTTGATGGCGTTGGTTCCTCCCCTGCCGTTCGCGCTGCAGCCGCCGGACGGACCGAGGGACATGTACGTGGTGTGGGCGGTGGAGCTGGAGTAACACTTGCCGTTGTCACCGATCGCGAACACCTGGAACCACAACCATGGATATTATCGAGATGAATATTAGCACCTCTTCGTTGTATGGTTTGCAGGTACTACTTCTACAACTACGGCTACTACTACTACTGCTGCTGCTGCTCTGCTGCTATTACTTCTACTACTATTGCTAGTACTACAACTACTGATGCTACTACTACTACTACATGTACTACCACCACCACTACTACTGCTGCTGCTGCTGCTGCTGCTGCTAGTACTATAACTACTGATGCTACTACTACTTCTTCTACTACTACTTCTTCTACTACAACTACTGATTCTACTACTACTACTGATGCTACTACTAGTACAACTATTACTACTACTACTACTACGACTATTACGGCTACTACTACCTAAGAAAGGGCCACTATCTGCGAAACATTGCCAGAACTCCTCTCTCCACATGGTTGGACGTACCTGGTAGCCACGTGCATTAGCGACGTCGGCGCATTTCCTGATAGCGCTGGTGCGGGTTCTGTAGTTGTCGGCCAGGCTAGCATCAGAGTTCTCCATGGAAGGTACCGGAGGGGAACTCAGGTTGTCCACCCAGCAGCCGATAGCTGTCACGGCTACAACACAGGGGAAAGAAGCAATAGTCATCAGACTTTCCTGTTCAGGGTTTTATAAATTAAAATGAAAAAAAAAAAACATATCCAGAAGACTGTCCTTTGCTATATGTTGAGTTCTAAGCAGAAAAAGTTTTTAAAGCCTTTGGTATGACTCGGCCGGGGAACGAACTCAGGACCTACCGAATGCTGGGCGAATACTCTACCCACTTGGCCATTTCACCAGTATTTTGTATATGCATGAAAGCTATTGGAGTAGTAAAGTATCAAAGTCTACAGGGCCGTACTCACGAGAGCAAGGCAGTGGGCACTGCGCCACCTCAGTGGAGTCTCCCACACAACCGACGTTGTTTGCGTCGGTGCAGAAACGCTGGCGGGTCTTCTGACAGTCCAGGCTACACTCGCTCCAACTGGACCAGCTGGACCAGTTGTTGGGGGTAACGGTAGGGGCCGCAGTGCCGGTTGTTCCCGAGCCAGAAGAACCTGTCAGAAGAGAAATGTAGATTCGTTTAGGTGAAGTTTAGCTATAGTTTAGATCCATTTAAATATGGTCTTCTGCTCGTAACAAAACCGGATACAGGTACAATGTACCAGAGGGCATTTCCTTTCAACAAACACACCTGTTTCAGATACAGCACTTTAGCCACTTCATCCTTGAACGACATCACTACATGTATCTTCCCTGCTCTGAACTCCTATTAAAAGTAGGACTTTGTTGTCCATCATAATCATCAGTTCAACCAATGAGAGAATGGCAATTAGCGGTTCGACCAATGGGAGAGCGGCTGCATGTCCGTCAAATATTTTGCATTTCTACGGTTTGACGGAGGTGGGCGGGGCTACTGGATCCAAGGGAAGGTTGAGAATGCCCTAAACGTATAATAGGCTCCGCCTCTTAGGCGTCGCCAAAACACTGACCTCCTGAGCAGCTGTAGAGCAGCTGGATCTTCTGCACGTCCGTGTCGCTGAGCCCGTTCCTCTGGCCGAGGGCGTCAGGGGTGGACTGTTTGGGGGTGATGGTGGGCTGGCCGTTCTTGGAGAAGGCGTACTGCGAGTAGTGCATGATGGAGCCGTAGTCGTAGGGCATGCCCAGGGTGTCCACCTGGTCCTGAGAGTACTTGTTGAAGTTGTGCTCCTTCCCTGGGGGTGCATGGACACAACGTAGGTATATAAGGACGTTCACAAATAAGACTGAGCATGCGCAATGTGGTGCATTGTGGGTAATTTGTCAAAGATGAAGTTGTATTCCTCTGGGGCGTGGGGGTATAAGGAGGTAAGTTTGGTAATGGTTAACGTTACTTTTATGTGGTAGTGTGTTAGCCGCTATTGGCACATCAACCTTTTGTGGAGTGAGCCCTGTATATCTATATACCACTCTGTCAGATACAGTAACGGTTGACCATATATGTAGCATTATGATAGACGCATGCCAACTAGTAACCTTATCATTTGCCATACATTGTACCCGTGACAATCGTTGTACATTAAACATTGACGTGACTTTATCTAACTCCCTGTGTTATTCTAGCTATTGTGGGATTGTGTCCTAGGTCAATCTGGCAGGTACGTCTGGGAATGTTTGCCTCAACAACAATAGCAATTCATGTCAATTAAGTCTTACAATGGTTACATTAATCATCAAATGCCAAACCATACTTACTTGGCTTTTATCGAAATTGGAAAATACTACCTTTCATGCAGTGTTAGAAACACTGACAGTACGATATGAGTAACGGGATGTCCTCACACAGTATATAATGTATATAATGAATGATATTTTATGGCAGTGTATTCATTGTATTGTATTTTAATGACTATTGTATGTTATTGTAGGAATTTGTATTTCATGTCAACAATTGTTCGACTTTGTAATTTGTATTGCACTGTATTTATATTGTTGTGTTTGGGAGGACAACTTGTAAAGGTGTCAATGCACCTGTTTTGTCCTCCCTTCCACTTGTATGTTTGTACTTGTGGTGAATTCTACATTTTGTTAGCCAGTGTCCTCACTATGAGACCGAAAGAAACAGATTATTTCAGACAGTTACAACAATTTCTCCATCCTTTTGTCATTTAGAAGATCACCAAAAAACTGCATTTCTACTAAGATCACAAAACCCACTAATTATGCAGAATGTGGGACTATTCATTATCCACTGCCTTCAAAGAAGAAGTCGAACCCCACAATAGATAGCGTAGTAGTAGAAGTAGAAGTTTTTTTTTCCAGACAGTTGTTACCTGTCTCCTGTTACTGTGTGATGAGTATTATACTTGATTGTAAAAGCAATTAGCCTTCGGGCATGATTTTGCGAATAAAGTTATTAATAAACAGATAAACAGTACCCACCGTCCTGAATGTTCTGCCACATGACGTTGATGTAGTTGTCCCTGTCCGTCCGCGACTGCTCGTGCCAGAAGCCCAGAGCGTGCATCATCTCGTGAGCCACCGTGCCCTTAAACTCGCACCCGTCCCCCACAGACAACTCCTGCATTCCGCCCGTCCGGCCAACGTTAGACCAGCAGCTACGGACAGAAGCAACATTTTTAAAATCTATTTCTCAACATGAAAAGGTACAGGGCGCAGAGTAAAGAGACTCTTTTTACACAACCAAGTGGTTTATTCACAGCCGACAGGTTGTGAAAAAAGGGTCTCTTTACTCAGTGACTTTCCAACATGATGAAACTATTCACGGAGGTACAGGGCACAATTTCGTGCAACTCTAGCGTTTGCTACTACAGTGTATTAGCCTCGACAAAGAAAGAAAGTATAACTGACAGAGACGAATACAAGTTCTATACGAATAACATTACAGCATAGCGGTTGAGCAGTCCGAGATGCAAAGACAACATATAAAACTATATCGTTCTATAATGTAAAATTGTAAAATTTTGTGTTTTTCAGCGTACAGGCAGGCTCAGTAAAGACAAAAACATTCGGTCACATTGGGCGAAGTAAGAATCTTGGATACGGAACCAGACTTGTATGCAAGAGGCATTACAGAAGCTATGAGTGACGGGGGGCGCCACAAACTTGATCACGTGTGCTATCTACATAACGTGGCGTTTACGGATGGTTTACGGCCTATACCGGTATGCTTAAATATCGAGTTTTATACAGTGTCACGTAGCCCATTCATACCCACCCGCCGATTTTCTTGAAGAGGATGTAGTCTGTCTCCGTGGTTCTCTGTCTGAACCTCAGACACGTCTTGGAGTGGAACTCCTGGATAGCCTCCTGGATGGCTGCCTGCGCCTCGGGAGCTAAAGGACAAGACACAGAGTCTTACTAAAAGAAAGGTCTACTAGTAGACGATGTAATAAGTCTAATTTCATCACAATGCAATCCTAAGAAGAGTTTTTATAAGAATATACAAATTTATCTGAGATAATTTTATTGTTGTAACGTACATATGCTTCTATGCTATGTCACAATTCAATTCAGCTACTGTAAACCGACATAGCTGCTTATTTGTGACAACTGTAAGCTAAGTGTACTTTTTAAAGGTTGCAAAAATTGCGTGTAAATAAAACCATTCTATCTCTGTCTGTCTGTCTGTCTGTCTGTCTGTCTGTCTGTCTGTCTCTCTCTCTGTCTGTCTGTCTCTCTCTCTCTCTCTCTGTCTCTCTCTCTCTCTCTCCATGTATTCCAAAGCTATTATCGGACTATCGTTTCTTATATCGTTTATCCTTTTAGTAACACAGCATAACAAGTTGCACTAATCTCGCAAGTAGCACTAATCTCATTTTTGATGATTAAGCAAGACATCCATACAGATACAGATACAGATACACGTCCAGTGTGGACTCGGTACTCACAGACTGAGGGGTCTATGATGTACGGCACCTCCCTGGTCTGCCAGATCTTAGTCCTGTCACGGATAGCATTCCTCGTAGTCTGGGGAATAAAGTTGATGTTTTATTATCATTGATAGCAGAGATGGCCAAAAATCACCTAGCATTAACAAGAGGTACTACAGTATGTTTCTTTAGGCGCCATTCCAAGAAAGTATAGCAAGCAATAACTAGAGTTCCCCGATCTCATACCTTCGCCAAATGATGTTAATCTTTATGACTGACAAATTATACATTAGATTATTCCCCCCTGATTTAAGAAATAGGAACCTAATTTTCATGAATTATATCATTTTATCATAATCTCAACCAAAAAACAGTCTTATACTAACAAACAATGCATTCTAGCATTTCCTCATAAATTATGCAAATGAGGTCCTGATTTGAATAAATTATGTTTAATGATGTTCACCTCAATTTAACTTTCAAATACCACAAGTATGAAATTCCAGGCAGTTATCATTACATAATTATAAAATTTTCTCATTAATTATGCAAATTAGGTCATTATTAACATAATCAATATTTTCCTGTGTTTCTTTCGTTGTCAATTACCAATGTCACAAGCTTTAATTGTCCTATCATGGAATACAGCTGATTTATAGAATTTCCCCATAAATTATACAAATTACATCCATATTTGCATAATTGTCACATAATTATATTGAGCAGCACGTAAGCTAGCTACATACCAAAAATCACGACGATCCGTCAACCGGTTCTTGAGTTATCCCTTTTTGAATATTTTCAAGAATATATCGCTGCAGTTCCAGAGCAAGCCGCTAGGGGGCCTAAACTCACGTCACTTCTTCCCCAGCACAAGAGCTACCTACCATCTAAATTTCATCACCATAGCATGTCTAGATCATGAGATATCAAAACCGGAAGTTCAGCTGCAGTACCATAACAAGCCGCTAGGGGGTCCAAAATCTAATCATTTTGAGGTCTCATCAAGACCTACCCACCTACCAAGTATCAAGACAATCCATCAAGGCCTTCTCAAGTTATCGTGTTTACAGACAGACAGACAGACACACACATACACGAACGCCCCTGAAAACATAACCTTCTTGGCGAAGGTAATAACAGGTCTGATTAGAATGGCTAGATTAATAAGAATCTTTTTAATACCTCTTTGGAGCCACGCACACATCATTCAATATTTGGTGAGATTTCAGAGTACCTACGTAGGCCTAGCAACAAGGCGTGTGCGTACGCGGTGGTTTCTGAGTACTGGGTTACGTCTGGTCTCATACAGATTCAGGATGTGTTCCAAGAAGACTTGTGTTTATTAATACACGCGTAAGTAGAAAAGCACTTAGTAGTTAATGGATAGGTCATATTACATGTTCAAACAGGAAATCGAAGATTTTAGGCTTCCGGTATTGTACTGGTTATCGGTGAATGTTTTGGAACTGTGCTGTATGATCAAGGGGAAATATACGATTGAGTTACATCACACAATGGATTGTTACTCATACAATCGTATTAAGAACAAATGAATCGATTTCCCATGTCCCAGTGCGGACTCGACACAAACACACAAACTATCAATTAACGTGACCGAAAACAAAACTTCCGTCCCGGGTGTGATATCAACATTGTCCCACGTATAGACCCCCAGCTCAGTACTTACGCGATTCCTATGTGTGGTTCTCTCCTAACAAGTGAGCGTTGTTAGAACAGAGGAGAAGTAGCATGAAGATTAGTGAGCAGATTTCATTCGGAGAAGACAGTTATTGGAGACATATGATGAGTGGTAGGTAGATAGAAACTCTCCAAGCAGAAGTTGGGCTTGGTTTGGACGTTTTGGGTTTTGTCAGGCTTTCTTTTATTCTTCTTTTCGTCGGGTTTATAGGCCAGTTTAAACTAAGAAAAGATAATAAAAAAACGATAATCGCCCGAAAAACGCCCTAAAACGCCCGAAACAGGTCCAACCTCTGATTGAAAAGTAGTAGATAGAAGCAGAGATAGATAGATCGAAAGTCTTAATTACTTGTTAATGATTCAAATAGGGACAATTGAACTTGAAGTTGAAGATCATGCGAGAGCATTTACAAAATGATGTTTGGTTATGACGTCACTGTATAAGCATGTGGGCATATTATTTTGTGTATCACGTGACGTTAAAATTTACCCGGCAACTTTTAGGTTTGACCGTCAAATATGGCGGATAATGTTGACGTCATAGTCACGTGAATGCAAAGACCGCAAACTTACCCAATCAACGCCCTTGATATCACCCTCAAACAGGTCCATGCCTGTGGACGGGCAAACACAACATAATAATCTTTATTGAACAACAACTGTACAATGTACAAAATATGGCATCTATATATTGCTACATAACATACATAGTAGTACCCTGAGACTAATACACCTTACAAAGACTATGTAGTTTGGGATAAGAATGTGCTTTTAATTTGAAGTTAATTATTGTCCACTTTGTTATTTGGGTCTATTGGTAGAAATCGTGGTGGTTAGTACGTGTACATAGAAGATTGAGCATATCAACATATGTACAATCAAAAGTGATTTTAAGTAACATTATATTTCCAGCACAATTCAATGCGATTCTCCAAACGCCAATTCTCGTATGACTGTTGTGTAATATAACAACTGTGCAAACGGCATTTTGAGTAACCCATTCTATACAATGTTACGAATGATCATCAATGTGTCAAAGTCGTCCTACCTTCATTTTCGTTCACTTGTAAGATTTGGTCCATGATCATCATGATGTACTCAGACAAAAGACTGCCGCCTAATGAGATAGAATTAAAAGGTCATTAGCTCTTAGACGGGGGGGCGCCACAGACTTTCTGCAACCTATGATCCACTGCTCGCCGAGTCACGTGTGTCATCTGCATAACGTGACGTCACAGAAGCGGTGGATTGTGCATTCCTTGACAAAGACTTGAGTTGTACAGTCTAAGATTTGGGTAAGTCCAATTTCTTGTGTTGGTCGAAATAAGAGTTTAAACGTACTTCACTATATAATGTGTTTCTCTTCAATAAACATCTTCACATATATGTTACTTGTATGTGTCTCAATGTGACGTTTAGTATAGATGTACATGTTTTTAGTGTTTTTATTCTAAACTATATCACCATATCATAAAGCTAAACACATTCGTTATGCTCGTATGTAGTACTATATTTAGTGCAGAATGAAAACTAGACCACCTAGAAAATGAGACACGATTGAATTTCACCATGTCGGGGCTTCCAAGAAAAGAAAGACGCCTCCTCATCTTTGATGGAAAATTGAAGCTATAGGTCAAATATAGCTCCTAGTCACAGTCCAGTGAATAGCTGATGCATTATTTGACAAGCATTTAAGCATTGTCAACATAGGCAATACATCGGCCATTAGACACCATTATTCCTGGTGTGTTTGCATCTCTTTCCGTTCTGATAAATAAAAAGTTCAGGACTCAGATTTTACACACGATATCTTCTGTCACCACGCCTGAGTTTGCTCATCACTTAAACTCTAAGAAGTGTGGGCGTGCGTATCTTAGCAACGTGTCGAAGACAGTGTGAGACATAAGACCAGAAGATCCGGTCGGTTTCTTCTACAGGGCGGTTTGCGTCTGGTCTGAAATTTACACTGCAAACTCCCGCTCATGTACATAGCTTATCGAGGACGAGTGGACAGTGTTTGTTTTATAATTACTGTGACGGAACGCCGCGGAGGCAAGCACAACTTAGGCATTAGAGCGGCCCGCTTCGCTAGTCTCTTAATCCCGAGTCATGGCTCCAGTGTCTACTATTCTGCTATTAGCAAAGGCAAGATTGACAGGTCTGAACCTTGTATCACGTGAAATGGCAGGGAAGTCATAAACAAGGCTTTCGTAACACATGGGGAGGTTCTTGTCTTTCAAAGGTTATGTCTGGCCATGGATGCTGTACGGACATTGACACGGCTAACCATATATTCTAAGGTTAACCAGGGAGGTTAAAAATCAAGATTATTTTAAACCTCATTGGGTTAAAGTACAGAAAATATTGTATTTACAATGAATGCATATGTCACGGATTGTTGGACGTCCCGGCTGTGTTGTATTGCGTCCAGAACCGAATGGGTTAGGATTAGCTATAGGATCAGGCACGGTTCTGGATAGCCTCCGCGTATCCATGAACATGGACTCTCCAAAACCGTGCTTGAGTGTATTTCTGGATAAAGCACGGTTCTGGATACACTGACAAGGTGTGTTTATATATAGGTGTTGGCAAATTTGGCTCTAAGAATTCCAGACAATACATAAAGACACTACTGCCATCAGCGAAAATTGCGTCATATATTTGTAGCCTTTGAACTCTAAACACAGCGCAGAACACTTGGTGGCTGAACAACAGGGAAATCAGCCAGAACGTATGTGTTGACATTAGCTTGGTATCCAAACTTATTTCAGCTGCCGAGTCTCGAAAAAGACTCGGCAGCTACAGCTAAAGTAGGCTTGGCTACCAGAACACGTTGACATGACTATGGATATGGGCACTTAGCCGTATAAAGTAGCAACAGCGGCGACGTCGTCTGTAACCAGAATGCGCTAAAACGTCCCAAAAAAAAAACAACAACCCGGAGTACATACAGGGATGTAACACAGCGATAGTTAACACTGTATCAATCTGCACAGTATACTGTACTTTAATGGATTAGCTTGCTAGTTGGTTAGTTATCCTTGTAATTGAAATGTTGTTGTGCCAGCTTACGGCAGACCAAGAAGGCGGTAGACATTGAACGCAGTGGATCCAGAAGAACAGTTGAATTCAGTAAGGTCTAAATATCGCCAGTTTTCAACACGGCGTACAAAGTTATAATTTACTACACAAAATCTATCCTTTACGCACACCTTAAAGCCTTCGTAAAGATTGCGTTTCTTCACTCGCGTATACCTTTACGCGTGCTTTCAGTTATGTTTAAAAGATGCAGTGGTTGACCCAAGCGACAGCGTATGATTTATGAACATACGGAAAAAGCGCCGAATAGGGAAAGTCAATACTTAGGCAAAGCGCACTCCCATTATAAATGCCAGTACAGTAAAAAGTGTTTGCTCTAGTGTAGGCGGTTGTCCTGAGTCTACACACATTCTGACAATGGAAAGTACGCGTCAAAATGCTCTTGCGTTGATCATTCGAGTGGTAAGACATTTTTCGCCAAGGAAATACATTTTCAGGTACCTAAAAAATGTAGCGAATGCTGCTTATAGCTTCTATCTCGTTTATTATGAAGTAGAGTCAGATCTAAGACGAGAATACAACCACTGCACGAAATCCCACCTTAAGCATGCCTTAAAGTATGTGCAAAGGTAGACGCAAGTGAAGATACCAAAATCTTTACGCATATATGCACACTTAAATGTGTACGTGAAGAATGGATTTTGCGTAGTGAACAAAATCAGGAAAACAACAACAGCGGACTTACTTTGTAACAGATTATTCGGTAGTTGTACTTGTACTTGTCTTTTCTGTAGAAGGGAAAAAAAGATATACATGTTAGACATCCTCTAAAACTTTTGGTTACCAAACCTGAACAAAAAACAAGTCTAACGAAGAATTGACAAATGTAGCAAAAACACCTCAAAGCGCTGAGTTCCCGGGTAGATGATATGTTGTTTAACTGATGGCTAGGTGTTTATTTTCCAAATGTTGTCCGGTTAAAACAAGGAGGTTACAGGTAGAATAACCTCCGAGATTAAAACAAGCTGACAGCAGGCTGCCAGAAAGGGGCATATTTTCATATTAAAAAACGCTCAAACGAAAATTATTTTCCACACTAAGTTTCTAACTACCTTTCTCTCGCATATGCTTACCTCGACTGGCGATCCCTCGCAAACTACCACCAGAAATGCGACCAGCGCTACTTTGATGCCCTCCATTTTGCAGCGACGTTTGAGTCAACACAGCTCTCTGTCTGGTCTGATTCCCCGAGTCCCTAGCTTGCACCTGTGCGTGTGCAGTTGTCGATATCAAGATAAATCTGCTAAGGAAAATAAATAGACTGAACTCATCGACCTTTGCTCTTGTTTCTACTCTTCTTTGGCGAATATCACACCAGCAGTCACTACGGAAAAAAAGAAAACAACGTCGCTTCAGTTTTCAACCGTCCGACTCAACGTCTGTCCTGTTCTTGTCTTCTTGTCGTCTCTTTCTGGTTTGTAGGATTTATTTTAGAGCTTTTATACCACACCTGCAGTCTTACCACGTTCCTTTTGTTAGTTTTACCCATAATCCACCTTGATGTATGACAGATGCGCGCACGTAAAATGAAATCGCAAAGGCTGCCGGGAGGAATTATGTATCCCAGGGCAAGGGTAATCATTCTTTCTCTGGGAAGATGCGTGGAGATCGTGTAGGAATGCAGGATCCAGTCAACACGCCAATATTGTTCCAATTGACTCAAAAACAAACCCAAACAGTGTCAGTTCCATGACGACGATACACAAAATAAAACTTTGCGAAGATCAGAATTAATATCGTAGCTATCTTTAGCTCTAAACTAGTTCAAAGGAGCCAGTCATTTGGTTCAAACTGAATTGAGAAGAAATTAATTACAACATCAGTTCCATGACTACGATATGTGAGCTTAAGCATTGAGAAAAAAAAAAGATAAGGATATATACATAGCTTTAGCCGTTCAAACGTTTTCTATTTGGGTAAAGAAAATTGCTTCCTCTGATTTCTTTTTATAGCGATACGGGTTAGACTTGTACCTTTAGCTCTACAATTTAGCCCTCCACAGGAAAATGTATGTGGAAGCTATACAGGAATTAAATAATATCAGCACATTCCGCTGAACTTCGATACGTATGGTGGTTATCTTAACTGGTTAATCGTGGGTTGATAGAAGTTGCCGCGGATGCGTGCGTTGCCAGTTTAGCGGAACACGCCAGAAATATAAATGACCCGTTCTGACGTCCCTAACGTCAAAATCGGCGTCTCCAGAAATGTGCGATCTGACCCGAAATTCTCACCTTTAACTTTCCGAAGGCCTCAGGCATTAAGGTGTCAAGGACGGTGGAATGCCGGAGCTATCCCCCGTCTTTTGTTCCTTTTATTTTGCTTACACAGCAATTAATTATATAAGATCAATCGGCTCTTATCCAAAATTAGTTTTACCGTAAGACTAATTTCGGTATAATTTGAGTATGTATGGAATGGACACACTTTCATGGTGAGGACTGCACTTTCTTTGATACCAGAGAGAGTTTCTCCCTGCAAAAAAAAGTATTCGCCCCCCTCCCCTTTAAGTGTTTATCAATTGAGGTAGAGTTCAACTTAGAACGACCTCAGCGACCTCAGGTAAACCCGTACAGTGCATGCTGCACTGGCAGTATCTGTCTCCTTGACTCTGAGCTAATGTTTCGAGATGGCTGTACGATATGAGGCGATTAAACAGCAACGGCCCATAACAACAACTCCAAATACACCCCGCACTGGCGTCATGGGCAGCGAGCTTCCTGTGGTCTGGCGTCAGGCTATGGCATCACTGATAACTATGTCTAGCCTCTACCAGGCTTCAGAAGCGGCTGGAAAGAGTAGAAATTGGCCAAATAGACAGAAAACATGCCGGGGGAGTAAGTCCTCTAAAAGAGTCAGTTTGCCCCTACCAGGCTTCACTAGAAGCGACTGGAAAGACCAGAATTGATTCTGGCAAATGGACAGAAAACATGCCAGGGGAGTTGTTCCACTTCAAGAGTACAGCTTTAAGAAGCGGCTGGAAAGAGTAGAAATTGGTCAAATAGACAGATAACATGCAAGGGACAGGGGAGTTCGTCCGCTATCGAAGCGGCATACTGTACTCTTTTTGCGGGCGAACTCCATTGGCATGTTATCGGTATGTTTGGCCTATTTCTACTTTTTCTAGCCGCTTCTGAAGCCTGGTATAGGCAGGCTGTGCTCTTTTACTAAGTGGGCTAGCTCCCCTGGCATGTTTTCTGTCTATTTGGCCAATTTCTACTACTCTTTCTAGCCGCTTCTGAAGCCTGGTAGAGGCAGGCTGTACTCTTGTACCAAGTGGACCAGCTCCCCTGGCATGTTTTCTGTCTATTTGGCCCAATTTCTATCCTTTCCAACCGCTTCTGAAGCCTGGTAGAGGCTAAAGTTTGTCGGTGGATTTGGTTCAAACAAGGAGTTCCTTGGTTCAAAACATCCTCACAAACCAGCTCATTAAAACAGCTTCTCTGATTCGCCATGACGTCATCAAACACTGATGCCCTGTATATCTGCACGTTAACAATAAACACAAACAAATCGGGGCAATTAGACCGTTTGCTCTTCTTATCAATTGCTACTTGTGTCAGTGATGCTCTCAGAAGTACTATAGAAACCGCGAGATTGTCCGAAGTGTTGTTACGTATTTACTTGTAGTTTTAACTGTTGCCAGGGGGAGGGGCAGCTGACGCCCATATGCTACAGTGATTTTTTTTTTATTTACTTCATCGGTCACCACAAAACAAGGCTCATGGGAGCCACTTAAAATGCTTTGGGTTACAGAACAGCCAGTGTCAGTGGACAGATGTTTGTTGACCTTAGACTTGAAGAGTTTAAGGTTATACTCATAGGGGAAGCAATCACGAGGTAGCTTATTCCAAAGTGATGTTGTTCTTGGAAAGAAGCTTTCCGTCTATACATGTTGTATCTCTACTGTAGTCAAAAGAATGACTCCTGTTCTTGTTGCCATCTCTCCACAACAGTACAACACTAGATAGGCTTGAACAACGATATTGCAGTTAGATGTGCAAAGGTTAGGTGTGGCAGGTGGTTGTGTAATATGACCAGCTGTCAATTGTCGCAGTACCGCGCTACACAGATGCATGCAGATACAGAACAAAGACACATGTACTGTCATGGAGATGCTTTCTGATTCGGGGAATAGGGCCAAATTTCATAGCTGTACTTCCATATTGTCTGAAACAGCTGTGTCTTCTTTAGCAAAATGACGATATTGCGTACAGTTGACACCTGCATGTACGCAAACGCCGTTGAAACACGGGAAAACCCCCTCTTTACGACCTATGGACAAGTGATGATGTAACATCCATGTCCATAATATCACCAGTGTCCATAATATCGCCACCTTGAGAAATAGTTACTGCAACATACCCTAGGTATGTACATTTGAGGTGTGCAGGAACGCATACCAAAAGTATGTTGCAGTAAAAATATCTTGAAGCACACTGTTTTTGAAGGTGGCGATATTATGGACCCTGGTAATATTATGGACATGGATGTTACATGTAATCTTTATTCGGACAATTGAGAATCTAAAGGGACAAACCATGTGAGTCTCCACTGCTCAAAAGCCGATCTTTAAGCATACCTTAAAGCGTGCGTAAATCTTGCATTTTCACTCGAGTGAAAACGTAAACCATTACGCATGCTTTAAGCTATTCGTAAAGGTAGATTTTCATTCTCGTGCTCCCCTGGCCCCTTAACCTTTAGTCCTCATTAGTTTGGGTTAGTGGCATAGACAGGGAATACATGTCAAGCCGGACTGTAAGTTGTAAATCGTATCAGAATATACTACTAGTAAATCAAAATCAGAGAAAAGCATATACATGCCATATACAGCAACTAAAGGTGTTTGTTTCCTAATCCCTTTTACGAATGTTTACTGTGGGGGTAAATAGTGTAAAATGAATGTCTTATGTAAGATTGGCTTGTCCCTTTGAACCTCTTACAACAGCAAACGGTCACTCTGCGGGTCTCTGACTACCTCGTGGTCGTACATGTGACCAGTGATAAGTTTGGTGGTCACTTAGGGAACAGAGAAATGGTCAGCCAGGGGATTTCTGCTTACACAATAGGATTAATACATAAAACATTGTGTTGTATGTATCTTAAGCCCCTGTCACAAATAGGCGAATATAACCTCCCGAACACTAGCCGAACTCCTCCCAACCATGGTGAGAAGTAGGTCGGGAACAAGGTCGGTAGTGGTCGGCTGGTGTTGGACGAAGTCGGCTATTGTTCGGTTGTGCCAGCCAAATGTTTCAGAATGTTTAAAACATTCGTCAGTGGACGGGAGGTTGGGTCATTGTTGGGGGATGGTTGGCTGGTGGTTGGGAGTAGGTCGGCAGTGGTTGGGCGTGGTTGGAGGTGCAAATTTGTCTCAAATTTAACTCAAATTCGTTTCGTACAGAAAGGTAGGCGTGGCATAAGTCTGGTCAGATCTAGACTGCTCCAGAACTTCAGCAAACCTTGGTTGGTTGGTTGGTTGGTTGGTTGGTTGGTTGGTTGGTTGGTTGGTTGGTTGGTTGGTTGGTTGGTTGGTTGGTTGGTTGGTTGGTTGGTGGTCGGGGGAACTTTCTCAATATATGACAGGAACTTTTCGGTATGGTTACTATGTATGGTAAGATAAGGTGTGGTGTAGTATGGTATGGTATATCTTTCAGTGAATTCTATTGTTGCGTAAATGCTAATTCGTAATAAAAAAAATCGCAAATTTCAACATTTTGTTTTCATATATTAAGTTCATTGATACGCCTACAAATTGCCGATCAAAGTAGCAAATTATTCGCGGATAACCCATGTAAAATGGAGCATTATAGTCGATCTTCAACACTAGAACAGGGAAGCACTAGCCATCGCTTAACCTTAAAAAAGGAACTGCTATGTATTTCGTATGTAGACGTAACATTTCGATATTGACGAAGCTTTTTCCTGTATCTATATGTAAGACTTTGATCTCAGAACGTGACTACAGCGAGAAGACTACACCTACGCACTTCCACTGGGGAGGTAGAGAGTACTTTAAAGACTTTCGTCACCCAATTTTTTTGCCTGTGTCAGCACCAACTGATATTTGTTCTGGAATGAACATCTTTACATAAGGACCCGGTGACGACGGAAAGTGCAGATACTAAATGGGTTTTCTGGCTGTTGTCAACAGAGAGTAAATCCGTTAAGGATGAATGAAAGGGCAGTGACGAGGTGTGTGGCCTTCCATCAACACATGGTCTAGCCAGTACAAACAACGCTACATAGGTCAAGTTGATTCTGTCTTACACAGCAGCGACAGTTCTGAGAAAATCGGCTTAAACTCTCAAGAGTCGGGGCAGGGGTACTTTGTCTTCTTTTGGTAGACCATAACCTGACGTTTGTGCAAATTTTACGACATTTGCTAAAGCTATTTTTTGTTGAAATCTAATCTTCCAAAAAATTGCCATGTTAATCATGTCCGAATATTGTTTTTGCTCTGTTTCTTCTTCTCAAAAAATGGCATGGTCAGTGTCCGGACCAGACAGCTGTCACCATGATAACTGGTGCTGTAGCAGACACCTTGCGGTGTTGGATTACATTATGTAGCAAGTTGCAGGGGCTGGCACATACGGATGTGTTTGAGTAAGAATAAACAGGGCGGTAGTTTGCTAGGTTAGATCATGCGAAGGCAACCATTATGCATTTGCAAATGTTACTTTTCTAGTTCTCAAAGTTTAATATGTGAATCAGTTTAGAATTGATATAGAACATTTCTATTGCCACAATTTTAGACGCGTTAATACAAGATAAAAAATGATTCAATTCTCTTCGATGGTTTGGCGAATCCATTCGTATACAGAGGAGACCTCGGTGTATACGCCAGGGATGTCCTCTTGACCGCATCCCTCGCCGTAGCTGACCACCCCCGCCTGGTAGTACGTTCCGTCCGGGGCCTGGCACGTCAGCGGACCGCCGCTGTCACCCTGGATAGGATAGGGCAATCAGCAAGAAAGTTCATCTGATGAACAACTTAAACTGTTCTCCAACTCAAAATTTGACTCACCAGAAATTTTCGACTGAATCACTCAGTCTTATGTGTAGCTGAGGCTATCGCTCTTGACAGAACTGGTTGGAGGAACCTGACGGAGGGGAGCAAGGGGCCAGTACCTGGCCTGGGCACTTAGGCAGGTAGGCACTCAGTCTTCCTCAGCTATCTGACCCAAATGCTGTGGACACGTGATTTTTCCCACGTGTGACGTCAGCAAAGGGTCAAAGGTTGTCTGAAGTCGATATCACCCCCCGTCCTGGTTGAGCGATGGTTGAAGTGCCCTGATCTATATGGCCTCTTTTATGCCTCTCTTGAAGTAATCCTGTTCGGTATCCAATCTGGGTCAGATAGCTAAGGAAGACTGAGTGTTTCAGTCGAAAATTTCTGGTGAGTCAAATTTTGAGTTGGAGAACAGTTTAAGTTGTTCATGATGTAATTTACCAACTCAGATGAACTTTCATGCTAAAGTTCATCTGAGCTGGTTAAATATATTATGAGAAACTTTGATGTGATCTCCAACTCAAAGAATAGCGCAACGAAATTTTGATCTTTCCTTACAAAAAGTTTTCTTGGTCTTCCTCAGCTTTCTGCTATGTGATCATCACGTGGCTTTGTTCATTTACATCAAGGCGTACCAACCTTCTCTCAATCGTGACGGGGGGCGATGTCGACTACCTGCGAACTTTGACCCATTGATGACATAATGCGTTCAGAAAACCACGTGATCAGAGCACTTAGGCCATATGCCAAAAAGCTGAGGAAGACCTAGTGATTCGGTCGAAAATTTTGGTGTTATTCGTTGGAGTATAGCTTTAAATCTAGGATAGAACATAAGGATAGAACAATATTTACATTAAAAATCAACGGAAAAACTACAGCAATGAAATTTTTTAATTTCATGGTTTTTGCAGAAAATTTAAATTCAGTTACATATACATAAAGATACAAATATTTGAGGGTATTTCATTCTCTCATTGGCTGAGCTGCTAGTGTAATGAACAGCCAGTATTGGACTATGACAGTCCCTCATTGGCTGAGCTGCTAGTGTAATGAACAGCCAGTATTGGACTATGACAGTCCCTCATTGGCTGAGCTGCTAGTGTAATGAACAGCCAGGATTGGACTATGACAGTCCCTCATTGGCTGAGCTGCTAGTGTAATGAACAGCCAGGATTGGACTATGACAGTCCCTCATTGGCTGAGCTGCTAGTGTAATGAACAGCCAGGATTGGACTATGACAGTTCCTAGTTTTCGGCCAATCAGAGTCTGACCTGGCAGCTGTCCACGCCCCCTTCGGTGTAGCCCGCGCAGATGTGCTTCGCCGGGCGCATCCTGGGGACCAGTCCGAGGGACTGCCTGAAGAGCCTCTGGTACGTGTTCTCGCAGTGGTCGTCCTCTACTATCGGCACGTCCGCCTGCTGAAGCTTGTTGGGACAGCAGTCTCCACCTGTGTGATACAAGAAATGCTTTTTAAATAAGAGTTCCGAGATCTCATACCTCCATGAAATATGGGCTTTACATGTAAATGTAAATTTCTTCTTTAATTATGCAAATGACCTCTACATTAACATAATATATGCATCCTGATGTTTACTTTTTATCAACTCACACATGTCCCAAGTACGAAATTCACATCATTTACCACTAAGGAGTCATATAATTTTCAGATTAATTATGCAAATTAAGTCCAAATTTGCATAATTGGTATCTGGTGATATTCCACCTGCCATAGATTATACACATTACATGCATCAAAGTCCCATGATGTAAAACACTGGAAGTCGGAAAAAGTTGAGATCTTTACTTCCAATATCTGCTTGGAGTTGTTTATTTTTTTCCTTACCCTCGGCCATGGTGCCCCACCCTGTGATAGTGCAGAAAGTGGTTGGTGACGTCACCATGCTGGTATCTGACAGGCAAACTGGAGACACGCGGTCGCTGGGATGGGGTGGAGAAAGATAGCAAACTGTAGAACGAACAAACTACACAAAATCCACTTTAGTGACCAGGCTACTTTAAATGGGTGATGACAATAGCGTCCATGCTCTGTACCGTACATTATACATACTAGCAAAATAACACGGTCAATGAATAGCTCAACATGTTTTATATTATAATGTTCTGTCCTTTTAGTCCCAACTGACCGCCAAAATATCTGCTTGGAGATTAAGAACGGGTTCCACGGAAGTGGGATACCTAAAGGTCAGCGGAGAGGCGAGCTTGAGTAAGGCTATGTCATTGACCATGGTCCACCAGACGAAGCCGGGATGGTTGATGGTTTTGGCGGTGGCCACCACGGCTCTCTCCGGGTCGTCCCCCGGGTCTGTCCGGCTGTGTTCTCCCACCACAACCAGCGGCTTGTAATCACTGCGGTACAGTAGACACACGTACGACACAAAAAAAGATATTTAAGTCAACTTTCCGCACTACGTAAAGCTATGAAATGTTTCAGCAGACTTTATTATGTCGGAAATCTGACCTTTCCGTAAACCTTTCTACATTTGAAACGACCTGTTGTACGGTTTTCGGGGACATAACGTTATTTCGGGCAATGGATTACCCTGGATGCCAAACTAGAATCGGGCCGTTAGCCGTTTTCCTTCGCCAGCCAAGAGCCCTTCGTCCGCCCATCTAAATTAACGCTACGGGGGAGTAGAGCTCGAGGGGTTTGAAAGGGCCAGCCAAACTCCCCCCCGGGCTAGTCTCCCCGTAGCGGTAATTTAGACCCGCGGGCGAAGGGGCTCTTTGCTGCCGAAGGAAATTGCTAGCGGCCCGAAACGAGTTTGGCATGTAGGGTAGCGATGGATTGACACAAATCTATCTTCTGCAATACTGTAGATTTATTTTACAAGCCTTGCTGTGAGAAACTTCGTCTTAGCTGCAGGTATGGTCTATTGGCATTACATTTTAAGGATTCTTTTTAAACTACTTATTCACCCGTCCACACAGTGGGCTGCCGTCACCACCCACTCCTCATTGATGATGGAACCTCCACAGAAGTGCCAGGTCTCGTCATCAACTGGGCGAAGAGACACCTGGCGGCAAGACAACAAACGGCAAGTACATACCACTTTACAACTCCAAGCAGATGATGCATTTTCCATCCTTTGGCCAAGTTTGAAATAACTCCAAAACACGCCACGTGAGGCGTCTCTTTATTTTTTGCCACCATACAATGTTGGTGCCTGTTTTCCTGTCATTTCCGCATATATTACCGAGAAAAAAAAGACACTTACCTACCATTTAGTAAAAAAAATGATCTGACAGGGGGGACATCGCGAGCGCAAGCCGCTCAACGTCAGCGTTCTAGAACGACGTTCTTTCGAAATGTCCCCCCTGTGATGTAGGCAGTTTATGCGGTCCGTGAAAGTCGAATGGGTCTATTGACTTCGACAATCCAGCATTGCTACCCTGAAATTGCATTGGATGCCTCTAGCTCTGTGAGATCTTTGGTATTGAGCGCCTTAATATTTCAAATTCCTTTGATCGTCTTGCAGTATAACTGTATTCATGGGATAGTCAATAGAAAGAATATACTTTTTTTACCAAAAGCATAAGAGAAGACCTACCTGCCACGGCCAGCTGCCAGGCTCAGCTTCAGTCCCTCCCACAACCCGGGATCCGGGAACGACCCACTGCACTCTGGGAATGGCAGGGTTTCCACAGCCGCTCGCTGGAGGAACACAGCGCAAGTATGATGACGTTTGTTGCAAATAAATCAACAAACTAACTAACCAACCAACCAACCAACCAACCAACCAACCAACCAACCAACCAACCAACCAACTAACTAACTAACTAACCAATCAACAAACCAACCAACAAACACTAATTTTCCCCTGCAGTAACGTAAGAACCCGCCATAAGTCCGATTCTCGAACTTCACCTTCGTCTTCCCAACAGTAACTTGCCTACCAAATATTATGAACATCCATCCATGGCTCAAAGGGTTATGCCGCCTACATCCACAGTCACGCTGCCTTTAATGGTCAAACCGAAAACATAACCTTCTGACGAAGGTAATAAATGCATGTAGGGTATTCCAAGGTGTCTATAATGTGGCAATGAGCTTTTGTGAATAATAGTACACAAATAGCATCATTGAAAACAAATGGCTATTAAACTAATGTACCTGTATGTAGCCTCCAAAGAACCATCGTAAGAATCTTGTGGATCCGCGCGGTTTTGTGAAAATTGAATACTAGTAATAAAAGCGCAGCTAACCTATGCCTCTAGCGGAATACAGGTGAAGTGCACGTGCAGTTCAAACCTACCTGTGTACGTGATGTTGAAGCCGTTCCGCTGCACAGAGCCGTCACTACGGAACACCAGCACCAACTCGTGACCCGATGACGTAAATGGATCCATAGAGGTACTTCCACATGTCTCTGTGAAAGGTATGGAAATAGAGAAGTAGATGCAAAACCGCCATTTATCAAACAGTGAAAACAAGAAACATGACATCATGTATATATTGCCCCTACCACCTACCTCCCTTTTTTGCACTCCCCGGTCCTCCATCGTATAAAGTAAGCCCGTCAGTGCACCTCCCAGTCTTCTTCTTCTTCTTCCTCTTTCCCCTCCTCTTCTTCCTGTCCTGTAGATCCAGGGTGTTGAACGTGAGCGTGACCGTCCTCCCCGGGGTGACCGTCACGTGGTACACACAGTACCGGTTGTTTGGGTAGACCTGAGGCCAGTCTGGAGACAGGATGCTGCCGACATCTCCCCTGTAGACTCCGCTACATTCTTCATCTCCTGCAGGGTGAAGAGATACACAGTCAAACTTGCCCAAGGTCACCCAAGGGACTGAAGTACATAGGTCTTCTTGACAGGTGGTCATCTTGTGCAGGTCGGCTTTTCTCAGTAGTAATAATAAGGCCATGTTGATTTGAATGTATGGATGACATCCGCGCGCGCATGAATTTTCGGCCGTTTCCAAAAAAAAAAAGTTTTCAACCATACTGTAAATCGTACAAAACAGTTGCAAAATGAGCAAAAACATACCATAAGTTACAAAAAAAATTAATAAAAACTATACCAATGTCGTAGAATGCCAAAATTAAACGAAAATTGTAAAGAAATGAACTTGAAGACTAGATTATTCGCCAAACCATATTCTGTGCCATTTGCTCAACCCTCATGACCACGTAGATTTCATAATGAAAAGAACTTTTTTTTTTGCAAAACTTTTTTTTATTCGCACGCGCGCATCAGTTTTGGGGCTCCCGGAGGATGTCATCCATATAATCAAATCAACATGGCCTAAGTTGCCATCTAGAAATTAGTACAACCCCAGGCTGTTCTTTATTTTTCGGTCACATTGACAGAAGACATCGAGAGCGAGCTTGGGTGGGAACGTGAGTACACTGCACGAAATCCTACTTTAAAGCATACTTAAAGCAAGCGTAAAAGTATGTGAGAGTGAAGAAACGAAATCTATCATATCTATTCATGCTTTATGGTGCGTAAAAAAGAATGGATTGTGTGTAATGCACATTCTTGCAGTATTGTATTCAAGAGACAGTCAATTAAAAAAAAAACATATACAGAATAGAGCGAATGGAGACGGACAAAACCGGGTAAACGTTGAAACCGTTGTTATCTTTGGTTACATTCCCGAAAACATTCCTGGAAGACAAGAACAGATAATGACGGCACCTTCACTTCCCCTTGGTCACGGACACGACATGAGCCGTCATGTAGATATAGGAGCCTCCACCGGGCTAGGCTTCAGAGCCGGTGGCTGGCCAAAAAGTAGCAATTGGCCAAACTAGACAAATTGTCAAATACTGGCATTCTAGGGGAGTTGGTCCGCTAAAGGAGTATACGCATGCAGATTGTCATAGCATCAAACTGTGCTTCTTTGATAACGGACTAACTCCCCTGGTATGTTTTCTGTCTATATTTGGCCAAATTCTATTCTTTCTAGCCACCTCCGACGCCTGGCAGAGGCTATTAGTGGAGCTTGGTAGAGGGCTAAGTTCCCAGGCATGAAATAGTTTCGTCCTTATTTTGCATCCTAAATTATACATCACTGATTTTTTATTTTATATTTCAGCTTCTTTATCCCCAAATCATTACAACTACACATAAAAGAAATGCTGAAGTAGATAATCAACTTTCCAGACCCTGGCTGCTCTTGCAATACTCGTATCATTCTTCACAACCGTTTCCAATATTCAGGACTAAAATGTCTCGGATGTCTCCTTCTATCTAGACGTTCTGGTTCTATGTGATACCGCACAAGGCCCTTGGTGACTTAGTGCGACCGGTGGTGAGTGAAAAATAACCGAAACACACTCACCGTGACACAAAATTGGTGCCAGAAAAAACAAAATTATTACAGTGAAATGCTAATGTTCTTTCTTTTTCTCTTTTAAATTCCTCGATTTAACCTCCGTCGGATCATGGACATGGTTATGTGCAAAGTTGCCAATCTCCAATACAGTATCAAAATTGGCTATAGGCAAATACGCCACCCAAGATCTGCCAATGGTTAATACAGGCGGCCAATTTGCCTTGGAGAATACAGATTACATTACAAGTTGTGACACACTATTGGGTCTCAGAAGGCTTGGAACAAAGAATAACATTTTGTAGAAATGTACCCTTTTAGTACTAGTAGTAATGAGCAGTGGTGGGTGAGCCGGAAGAAAAGACGGAAGCAAACCTGAATCGACTCCCGGAGCCTGTCTGGGGGACCCGCGGCGCTGTGACAACACCAGTACCGCCGACGCCGCAGCGAACCACAGGTGTAGAGCACGACACTTCATGGCGGCTGACTGCCGTGTACACCAACTTCTCTACTTACACTGGATCACACACCTTCACCGTTGAGCTACATTCGTTGAAATGGTCTCAGGCTACATACTGGGCGTCAAGTTTATCTCGTGTTTTCATGCAGTCTCAACACGACCGACATCTTTCAACCCTAAAAGATAAAACAGGGAAGTTCCACACACAAGGGAGTTCGTGTTTGGGTCTTTGTTTCTTGTTTTCTTCCGTTCTATGTCTGTTATGACATACTAGTTGGCTAATCTCCAAGCAGATCAGGTGGCGCAAAAGACGCATCAGATTGGCCAGGCAGTATCCGTTTGCCAGACTGTAACCATTAGCCACCCTGGCCAATTTGATACTGTCTTTTGCGGCATTGGTTGGTTCCACCCCAAAGCGATCTCAAGGCGCTCAAATTGGATTTAGACTGAAGTCAATTTTCATATTCTGGTCATAATTCTTTTTATGTTGCAGTATGTTAAAATCAACCCTATCCCACAACATCCTGATATCTGTGAGGCAAAAATATCATGACAGAAAACGGTTCCTTGTTTCATCAAGGACATTCTATACCTTGTTGATGGAAGCTCCTTGGTTTCATCGACTTCGGTAGGCTGAAGTCCTATCTATTGATGGTGCCTATAGATACAGGGATCCTCACGTGCTGAACTTGTTTGGGGCTATTGTAAACGTTTCAAGTAAGAAATGCTGTCAAAAAACGCAACTATCCACTAAATATCACGATGCTAAAAAGTAAGCACTATGTTAGTCCTAAAACGTGCAATACAACGACACGATTGTATTATCAGGCCGCCGGTGACCCTGAGCGCATCAAATCGCAACAAAGTCTCATGTTGAAAACACCGCATTATTTCGCACATAATCACCAATGAATATGCTGACAACCATAATATAAATATGATATAAATTTTTGCACTTTACAAATATTAAATTGAAATATGATGAGCGACCTGTCGTGTTTTAATTGTGTAGGATCTGTTACGTTTGCTGCGGTGCCCGTGACCTGACGGGTAGATTTGTCACGAGATGCTCGGCAGTGAAACACGACGACTCTGACAACACAACAAAAATGCCAAGAAGTTTTGGCGCCAACCGGAGGTAGTGCAGGCACGGGACGACAGCGAAAATGGTCCAGTGCACGTGGATGTGGACGTATTACACCCTGGTGACGAGAATATTCGGCATCCTGACCGCGATAGGTGAGTAGAAGGGAAGGCGATTTGACCTAGCTTCAATGACAAGTCGGATCATGGTTTGTGTGGCCACCACACGAGGTTTGGTTGTGCCATATTTTTTATATCGCCCTCCCTCCCCTATCTCACACGACGTAGTGTTTACATTTCGTAGGTCCCTAAATCATCCATGTTACACACTATTTTGGTGCTATAAATTATGAACAAACTGCATATTTTCACTCAACCGTGACGGGGCATGGAAACAGACCGCGGGCAGTTTTATTTTAGAAACCTCGCCTTTTCTCCCTCCCCCACTGCATTCGGAACCGTCGTCGTCAAAATTAGGATCGTCACATGTCCCACATGTCCACTGTCGTCACTACACCCTACGCCACACCCTAGCCTAAATTTCCCTTACACCAAGCTGAATCCAGCTTTGACATGTTATATTTTACGTTACCACGTAGTTTGACGTGCCGCCATCTTCGATAAACATGCACTTACAGTTGAATTAAAGGGCTTTACCTCAAGCCGTGTGTATATACACTATTTGCGCAGGTGAAAAATGTAAATATTCAGTGTTGACAGCTCGCTCTTAATTGTTTTACCGGATGTTTAGCTTGGTAAATTGCCGGCACGTGCCTGGGCCAGGTTTTTATAGTCCAGTTTGTTTACATTTGGTATCCTAATTGTCCCCAAGGGAAGTGTATTAAGATGGAGAGATAATGCTTACTGGAACCACAAGTTTGTAAAGGGACATTGTGTGACATTTATGAGGAAAATTCTTAATGTGATTGTCATTTACATGTACTTCCATTTTTCAATATTTTTCCACCATTATTCTTACATTTCTGATATTTATGATTGGCAATAAAACAGCATACATGAGGGACACTCAATTTGTGGTGCCACTACAAAATACCAGAAGGTAAACAAACATGGTCGTAAGGTGTCATATTTTAGCTCGATTTTCTGAATGATACCCCTCCTATTTTACGTGCACAAAGGCAATTCGACTTTCGAGCCTTGAAAAACACCAGAAAGTAATTGTCTGTGTCTGAGTTTCAGATTGCATTTCAACACCTAGATCAGAAACATTTCTTCTTTGATCCTGTTCTTTCTTGTCATTGCCCTTTGGCATGCACAACATCAAATAAAGACTTACAGGATTTTGTAGGCAAAACAAATTTACAAACCTTTCTGTCCTCTTCAGACCTGGAATCTGAAATTGTGTAGCTAACTCCAAAATTTTTAACATGTACTGCAGTTGCATACAGCAGATTTTTTTCCTATACAAATATCTATACATTTTGTACCTAACTGTAGTTGCGCCATTGTATCCACAATTTAAAAAAAATTAGGTGCAATTTTGGGTGCACGGAAGACAAAGTGCATACCACATTATATAATTCTGTAATAATTCTTGTATTGAAGATGAATCGCATTTTATGCTTGACTACATATATTATATGATAACGAACGTAAATCACTGTTCAGTTCAATTAAGTTCGACAAAAAATGTAAAACATTATCAAAGGAAGACACTTTTAAATATATCATATCATGTACGAATATAGACGTCATCAATGAAGTATGTAAGTATATTTCAAAATGTTTCAAAAAGAGAGAAGAAGTCATTAGACCTTAGATCTGTATCCCTTTATATATGTATATTTCTTTTTTAGCATTGTATACCTTAGACCCGATGTTAGCCTTTCTATATCACTATTGTTGTAGTACTCTCTAGTACATTGTACTCTGTACATCTGTGCATTTATCCCCCCGGGGAATGAACATGCAATAAAGTTTCATTATATATATATTTACCAGTATTTGGAGACAGTACTGAGATAAAGTCTGCCTCTACTTCAAAATTTGGCCTCCTACCAACTTCAGTTATTTTTAGTCACAAGGGCAGATTTATATCGTACTATGTGTCCTTTTGGCATCTTCAACCATATCCCAAAAGAAATTATAGCTTTGACGTCATGATGTACTTTTGAGGTTTCTACTAGCAACAACAGAATTTTGTTTGTGCTCATAGGATTGCCAATGTGCTCATTTTTTCTCTCAAATCCCGGGCTGAAAATTTCAACAGTATCAGAAGCATGTTTTAAAATCCCTCTGAGCAGTTGGGAAAATGTCATCTTTTCCCAACTGGTGAACAATCATTTAAAATAACATACTATGAAACACACGGGAGCTTCCATCACCTGATGAAACAAGGAACCGTTTTCTGTCATGATATTTTTGCCTCACGAATGTTGTGGGATAGGGTTGATTTTAACATACTACAACATTAAAACTGAGGAGAACAGATGGTTGCAAGTCGGTATAGAGTCCTGGCAGAAGACACATTTTTAACCTTCTCCATGCTGCCTAACCTGTAACCAATAGAGAAGTGGTAGCCAAACGGCAACTTAAGTGTGCTGAGGGTTAAGTCCTGATCCAGAGTCTCCCAGGAATGTTTGCTAAGTGGTTGGAGGGTACATGTATTTTCCACCTGTGTGTGCAGAACACAGGTCAATACCTCAGGATCGATGAGGCTATAGAAAGTCCTCCAACAAGCTTGTTGTAAGTCTCTTCAAAGGTAAGGGTGGGTTCCGGTTTGGCTACACTGCATCTGACTCAGACTAACATCCAAGAAGTTCAAGATGTGTGAAAAATATATTTATGTTTGCCAAAGGAAAACATATTGTTTTTGCTCCATTTCTTCCTCTTCTTCTTCTCCAAACAGTGACCTATGACATGACCAATGCCATGATTTGTTGACATCTGTCACCATGGTGACTGGTGTTGGGTTACATAATGTTGCAATTTCATGGTCTGCTCTGCTCCTGTCACCATATGCTAGTGGTACATGAGTATGTGAATGTGTTTGAGTAAGAATTAACAGAGCAGACCAAGTCCGAAGGTAAACATTATGCATTTGCTTTTCAAATGTTACTTCTCTAGTTGTAATTGACTTGTAAACATATTTTTTTCTCACCAACAGTACTATGGGGTGTTGGAGTTGAGACGATAACATCAATAAATATAGGCATCGGCCTGTACCTGATGTGAGTAGACGTTCTTTTCTAATGAAACTTGTTTGATATTCAGGCTCCTGTTACACTACGTATACTTTGTACCTGTGCAGGGCTCGAAATATGTTCTTTCTACGCAGGTAGGTAACATTAAAAAGTACTTGCACTATTTAGAATTTAGGACCTATGGATCACAATGAAACTGTTCAGAAACCATTGCCATTATTTCTTTTATGGTCATGACAGTCAATACAGCAAAAAAAAAACCCAGGTTAGGTGCAGGTAGACACCAGAAATACCTCCACAGCCCAATTTTACCTGCATTTTTCAAAACCTGCATATGCAGGTGGTATTTTGAGCTCTTCAAATGTTTGTTGGTCTTTTGTATATTGCAAAACTTGTGTATGTACATTGTACTTACCAGATACCTTTTTGCAAGGAGGTACTAGTAGTTTATGATTGGATCAAAAGTATGACTAGTATTTTTTTTTCCCAGAATTGTAGCTATTGTCACATCTTTCTTGGAAGCCACATTTCTGCTGGACAAATGTGCATGTTGTGGGTAAGTCACATACATTTCATGTACTTCATTGATCTGTAGTAACTAGTTTGAAGTACGATATATACTTAAATAATCCCTATCGAGAAGCATTATATTGTTATTGAGACAATGTTATGCCAGTATGATTTATAATTTCATTAACATATAAGATGATGATAAGACAGCAGCATGTATTAGAGTGACCTATGCTCTGTGAACCTGTAGGGAGGGGACAGCATGCCACAAGGTGTGGCGAGTGGTGATGTGGATCGACAACTGGAAGAAAGCCATCCTCTACATCCTGTTGTCTATCGTCTGTTTCCTCAACCCTGTGTCCAGCTGGATGGCAGTCATACCAGGTACTGGGCTGTTGGAAGTATTGTTTTTGGTTGTGTTGATTGATAGTTTGTGTGTTTGTGTTGAGTCAAACATGCCAGTGGAATGTGATTGAATCATTTAAGTAAGTCTGTTTCCTCAACTGTCTCCAGCTGGATGGCAGTCATATACCTGGTAGTGGGCTGTTGGAAGTATTGTTTATGGTCGTGTGAATTGATAGTTTGTGTGTTTGTGTTGAGTCAAACATGCCAGTAGAAAGTGATTAAATCATTTTATGTCAAAGTCTGTTTCCTCAACCCTCCAACCCTGTGTCCAGCTGGATGGCAGTCATACCAGGTACTGGGAGCTGGGCTGTTGGAAGTATTGTTTTTGGTTGTGTGAATTGATAGTTTGTGTGTTTGTGTTGAGTCAAACATGCGAGTAGAAATATTAGTAGAATGTGATTAAATGACATTTTATGTCAAAGTCTGTTTCCTCAACCCTCCAACTGTGTCCCGCTGGATGGCAGTCATACCAGGTACTGAGCTGTTGTTACTTCTGGGACAGAAGTATTGTTTTTGGTCATGTGAAATGATAGTTTGTGTGTTTTGTGTCTAGTCAAACATACCAGTGGGATGTGATTAAGTAAATTACTTATGGAATGAAAATATTGTTTTTGGTCCTTAAATAAGAGTTTGTGTTGAGTCAAACATTCCAGTGGAAATGTGATTAAATCATTTACTTCTGGTTCTTGGATAAAAATGTTGTTTTTGGTTGTGTGAAATAATAGTTTGTGTGTTTGTGTTGAGTGAAATACATGCCCATGGAGTGTGATCATATCATTTACTTCTGGGACAGAAATATTGTTTTTGGTCGCAGTAGCTGATAGTATGTGTGTTTGTGTCGAGTCTGCACTGGGACTTGGGGAATCAAGTCATTTGATTTTTACTGGAGTGATGGGGTCTTGAAATCTGTGTTCCCTGAACATGTAGGTCTGTTCTTGATCCTAAGCTCTAACCTTGTTCCTCCCTGTACATGCAGGCCTGTTCCTGATCCTGAGTGGACTGCTGTACATGGGCAGGACCTATAAGAAACACCGTGATGAGCAGACGAGAGAGTCGGCGCAGGGGGAGGCCTACAGCAGGTGGGAGGGGTACTGCACTTCGCTTCAATAGTTGTCATGTTCAGCGTCAGTCTCGCTATCTGTTTATCGTCCCTCTCTCTCTCCCCCCTTCTCTCTGGCTGTCTTGTAATCGGTTGACCAAAGCATGTTAGCAGAACATACTGCACGATATGTGCGAAACCTGTCAAGTATAGGCACAGTATATTCTGTCAACGTGTTGTTGAGGTACCACAGATAATCTGTTCTGTTCTTCTTAAACGTCTTACTTTTGTTTTTTTTATTGTCCACTTATCTGTATCTGTACACCAACTTTCTTTCTCCCAAAACAGTCCAAAGTGTTTAAAACTGTACCTACCAAATTAATACTTGTTCCCTTCATGGCTGTATCATTATTTTATAGGGCTTTCAAGGGCTAGGCTTACTTTTATTCTAGAGCGCTAGATTGATTGGTACCAGAAAAAATGTGGTACCATGCTTTTTCTGCAGACGAAAAGTAAGATGATTTGATTTCACATTATTGCCACACACAGATTTGAGGACCCAGCTGAGTTCACCCCGGGCTCCCCCGCTGATGAGATTGGGTCGGCCCAGATCTCCACCGAGCTCCCCTCAGAGGACAAGTATGATGAAGAGTTGGAGGCAGACGGAGACATCGACGCCACAGACGAAACTGCACCTGCCATTCCTAACAGACAGTAACAAACGCCCATGCCAGAGCTCACAGAATATTTATGAGAGAAAAAGGGTCAAAAAGATAAACGTATCAAATCTACAAATTATCTGGTTTTGAAATCTTCTCAATCATGCCCTTCCTTGAAAGCTGGAGGATGCTAGAAAAGAAACGACAAGGAGGGCTGATGAAAGGATAGGGTCTGTATATTGTTGATGCGATGGTAGGAATAACAGGTGGTAGGAATAATGTCATGAATGGTGAGTCAAAATTGACTTAGACATGATAAGAGTTTGCTGTAGAAATGTAACAAATGACTTTTGAACTTATAGACATTTTGTTGTCTTATTTGGTAAAAGGATAGCTGTCTGTTTGGCTGGGAGGATAGCTGTCTGATTGGTTGAGATGATAGCTGGCTGATTGGCTGAGAGGATAGCTGTCTGATTGGCTGAGAGGTTAGCTGTCTGATTGGCTGAGAGGATAGCTGTCTGGTTAGCTGAGAGGATAGTTGTCTGATTAGCTGAGAGGATAGCTGTCTGATTGGCTGAGAGGATAGCTGTCTGATTGGCTGAGAGGATAGCTGTCTGATTGGCTGAGAGGATAGCTGTCTGATTGGCTTAGAGGATAGCTGTCTGATTGGCTGAGAGGAAAACTGCTTGGCTGAGAGGATAGCTATCTGATTGGCTGAGAGGACAGCCTTCTCTATTTAATATCAATCATGAGGCTGAGTTAAAGTCCTAGTTGCAGAAAATGAAATTGCACTGCAACAATTCTGCATCTTGTCATCGTTTTGGGTACTTAACTACAAGACTTTCAGCCAAATTCTGCAGAAACAACCTTGACTGTGACTTTCTGTTGTGTGGATGGTTTTCGAGAGGTTGGTTTGGATGTAATTATCATATCATGCCCTGCCTGTTATACCAGGTGTTTGTTGTTCTGCTATTGCTGAATTAAAGCTGCTAGAGTCAATGATACGTGTCACTTGGATCACTTGTAAATTTGAAAAGATGCTTGGACTTTGGAAAATTCACTTAACTTTTTAGGCAAACATCCCTTAAATTGTAAGTGTTATGATAGCAAGATATCACGATGCAGAAAAAAGCATGGTTTTACTGTACATCTAGCCACAGCTGAAATGTGACGATCAAAGTTTAAGTAGATTTTTTTAGGTTTCCAGTGTCTTTTGAAATTCAAAGTGACCAATGCTAGAAGTGACATCTGTCCGTGTACATGTTTATGTATATAAGTACAGTAAATCTCATATACATTTTACTTCTCGTGCAACTGTATCATATAAATGATATTGAACCAGTGAAATGTAAAGGAACATTGTAAAGGTGTTTTTTGTGAGGGGTATTTTGTGTGTCAGTAATGATTAGCTTTGTACAATACAATGCAGTGTTCTAGCCAGTATCCATCTTTCTGTCATCTGATGAAATTTTGTAGCTCATGACGGACAGAAAGTTTGCCCAATGTATCATCTTTGACAGGCAAAAATTGGCATGTAAAGATATGGAAAGAGATGTCTTTAAACTAAACTTAGTCTACCAAAAATGTCTCTCAAAATGCAGGAAATAGAGTTTCAAAGAAGATTTCAAAATTTCCTGGGGGAGCTTGGGGACCCTAGGATTGTCGCGTTTGGCACTCGACATATATTATAATTTATATCAACAACAATTATAACAAAATTGAGATGACTGGAAAAAATTCAGGCTGGCTAGAACACTACTGGTACAATTGCTGCATATGATGACAAAGAAACTGAACTTCCACATGGAGACTTTTACTTCCGTAACCAACCAAAGCGGGCAATTTCAGAAAAATGGAAAATTTGATGCATAATTATACAATGCACAAAAACAAAGTGTGAACAAACTTCTCTATTTCAAATTATGGTAGGTCAAACTCCTTAAAAAAAGTCAATAGGGCCAGGGGTATACATGTATAGGAAGACAGGAGTCTTTAACTACAATAATCTGTAACAATGTATTGCAGAACATCTTTAGAAATAACAATCTTCTCAAGAAGCAATACAGTAATTTATTTTATTCTGTTATGCGAGTTATTTTCACTGCCAACATCAGAGATGATTTCATACCAGGGAAAGTTTTATTTGTCAATCCAAACTGACAGTATCTCAATATTGTCATGTATTTCTAGGTTTGCTTTTTCTTACTTCTTACACTTTTCTAACTCCATCAGACCAATCTTTTTCTGAACTAAGTCAATTTGATGAAATGTTTTGTAAATTCTACAAAATCTCAAATGGTCTACATTTAAGTGTTCTACAAACTACTAGTACCGACTGTAACAAAATGAAAATCATCTATTGTTAAAAAAGGCTATTACATATGTAGTATGTATGTAGTAGTAGCCATATTAAGGTGTTACACATACAGGTTCTATAATGTAGATGACGCGTACATGTATTTACCAATAGCAATACAATACTGAACTGTATGTACTGTAACAAAAGATATTTTTGTGGTGAATGAGAACGTTAAAGTATGTAGGAAATATACAGTTAATGCTGCTAGGAGAAAACATGACTTGGTACAATGTAGTTGATAGGCAGCTAAATGGCATACATGTACATTATGATAGGACAAGTCACTGTTCCTTGTGTTGTCAGGTACACATTACTGTGGGTATATCCCAGTGTTCTGGCCAGCATCCTTCATTTGAAAGAATTTTGCTGCTCATTACGGACAAAATTTTGGCCATCTTTGACAAAAATTGGCATGTAGAGATATAGAAAGAGATGTCATTAAACAAAGCTTAGTCTGCCAGCAACATTTGCCCCTCAAAATGCAGGACATAGCGTTTCAACACCTTGGGCCAGAGGCACTCAATATGCTATGGCAAACAAATTTGAGATGATGGAAACAATTTTAACTTAAGGCTGGCTAGAACACTGGTATATCCTGTTACATGTATGTTCATGTCATATGGAAGTTTACGAATCAATTATGAATATGGCTTTCAGCTTCTTCAGTCTTTCTCAACCTCTGCCAGATCAACCCTTACCTTTTAATTTTACCTACCTAAATGAAAGATCGCTTTTCCTTGTTTTTTGGCTATGCCACAGGGGTGGAGCCTTTTGTTTTCACCAAACCCACCTTTCATCTCAACTCAAAGCTTATAATATGCTTCCACTGTAACTGTAACAAGCAGGAATGTACTGTATCTAAGTTGAATAGTTGATACCATTTTTGCTGCAAAATCTATTGCTATTATGACCCAGCAGTTCCAGAGTACATATCAGAAACAGAGAACATTTACATTGTTGCTGATGATCAAAATGTTGACATTATGGCCAGAGTAGTTTTGTAGAGTTACTGTGTGAATGGGATAGAAACTTATTAGGTGCTGAGTACATGGGTACAAAAACTTTTCTCGAATCATGGTTTGAAAGTTTTACTGCAAATTTAGTTGATAGGACCTTTTTTTAAATGAAAGTTGCAGTGCTGTAACTTATAACTTATTGTTTTTTTGTGTGTGTAGAATTCTACTTTAGTAATCCTTCAGATTATGTATCTTTGTTGATTTCAGTATGAGTTAACCCTGCTATCAGTTCTTTTTGATTTGCCTAACTCACCGTGAAATATTTTTGGATGCTGTTTAGAGCCACAGTTTTGGAAATTATGATATTGAGGATGTAAAGAGTAAGGGATAGTATCCAGTTTGAAAATATGTCTACAGAAAATTAACCCAACACATTGGAATCAGAAAAATCTGTTTTTCCTTATGATAACAGTTAAAACCAACATCTACTTATGATTAAGTTGCAAAGACAAGATAATACCTTTAATACTTTGTGAAAAGTGGATTTCTTCAATCTGAAACAATCAGTTTCAGATTGAAGAAATCCCCTTTTATAGAGGATATTGCATATTGTTTTATGTTTTATGAAATGTACAGGACACAATTTTTGAATTGCACAAATACAACGGAGAAAGGGAACTACCAAATTTGGTGAGTGAAATGACTGCATGTTTCTGTTAGATGAAATTGTATCATCAGTGCAGGAAACACTGTAACAAAATAACTTTACAAATCCTCTGCATGAACTGTTTGAAGTGTTAATTAAACTGAGAAGACGTATATTGTTCTTTTTGCGGTACATATCTGATTGTACATGTATTTATTTCAGTGAACATAGGTTGTTGTATAGTAAAGTGATGTTTGGAATTCCTCCACTGTTGTGTACTTTATGTAAGACTGGTGAGGTTCACAAAGACTGGTGTAAGACTATTGCAATTGTAAGACTGATGAGCTATACAAAGCTTATATCTTGAAGTTTCTTCTGGTTGATTGGGTGGGTGGGTTGGTGGATGGATGTGTGTGTGTGTGGGGGGGCAGAATGGATGGATGGATGGACATGTGGGTAGATGGATGGGTGGGCAGATGGGTGGGTGGATGGAAGCGTATGTGTGTGTGTGGAATGGATGGATGCGTGTGTGTGTGGGTGGAATGGATGGATGGATGATTGGATGGACGGGTGGGCAGATGTGTGTGTGTGTGTGGGCGGAATGAATGGATGGATGGGCAGATGGATGTGTGTGTGTGGAATGGATGGATGAATGGTTGGATGGACGGGTGGGCAGATGGATGGATGGATGGGTGGGCAGATGGGTGGGTGGGTGCATATCTGGGTGAGTAGTTGGTAGTAATGGGTGGATGGATGGGTAGTTGGATGGGTGGATGGATTAAAAGGATGGATGGATGGGTGCATGGATTGATGGATGAAAGACCCCTAAATATGATGTGAGAATGAAGTTTGTTTTGCCTATATTTTGGAAGGCTACAGTGGCTGTGAGTCAGGTATGTGAGTTTGGCTTTCACTCAGAAAACATGACAATCTTTAATCACCTCAACATCTACTTGGAGATTTGGTAGCATGCCTTTTTTCAGAAGGTGGTGTTGCAACTTCATTTTGTCCTTTCAGGGGGCAACTTTGTTTTGTTGTATCAGCCAGTCCAATTTCATAAGATGGTGTAACAAACTGGCATATCTTCCCTTTATCTTTTAGAAAACTGCCATAAATTGATCTGTGCTCAAATGTCATCCAGGTGCAATATAACCATAGGTGCTAGGGGGAGCTGCTTGAAGGCCTGAACTTCGGCAAGGTCAAAATTGTTTGTCAGGAAGTTTTCAATTATGAATTACGCAAAATTTTCGTCGCCCGTTACAAATTATGTTGAAGTCTCAGAGCTGATTATGACTAAACGCAGTTAATTCCCTATTACAAATTATGTTGATTTTTTGGGAGGCTGCCTACTTAATACGGAGACTAAAAAGGCCTGATTAGAGTCTATGCTATTTGCCTTACGAAAAAGGGCATGCAGGCCCTCTCAAATCATTTGCTAGTTTTGGACTCAATGGCCTCTTTTTTAATTCTATCATGGTTACCATGTGATGAAGGTGTATTGAATGTAACATATGATAACATTGAATATTGAAATAAAGATCAGGACCACTGGTTATATTTGCATTTTCCTTTGGAGGGTTTTATTCTGTGGAAAAGATCACAATAAAGTCCAGTATCAGATACACCTTGTAAGATAATGATTCTGCACAAAACACAAAAAATTCACCCTGCCAGCCATATATCCCTTACACAAGGTAATTATGAAACCTATGCTGTACATCCCCGTGCGTGAGGTGCTGTGGTCCCAGATTACATTGCGGGACCGTACCAAGGTGGTTCCACGGGGGGTGGAAGGTTTAGGCTAGGCCCACTTCAAGTTATACTGATCCCAGGTCCTTTTTAATGAATCCAGACACAGTTACAATACCAAAATGTGCCCAAGTGACTTTAAAAACTTCAAATGACTAACGTTACAGAAATGAAAACATAAATTTTACTTGATACAACTTTAAAATTAGCTACAATCAAATATTCCATAGCTAAGGAAAACTCTTGTACAGCAAATCTACGCGACGCGATGCTAAATAATGAGGCACAAACCCTATCAAGATCACCATTGGCTGCTGGCTTAAACCAATAGAATTCCTTGAATTCCTTGAAAAAGTTTCCCATTGGTCAACTCAAAAATTTCAAACAATCTTTATTAGGAAGCATTACCTCCACATTACAACAAATATAGTAGAATTGGTACATTATATCAAGTTAAAATAACCGCTAGCCTGCAGCAAATGGTAGCCAGGTTTGTGCTAATCTTTTGTTGACAAGATAACAACGTCGAATATTGTACACAGAGGGGCTGAGAGCTGTTCATACCACAAGCCATATAAATACATACATGCCTTAGAACTGATGCCAGATACTGGCACCCAATGTTGTACAATTTTGGCTTTTTTCTCCAAAAATAATTTCGTACAAATTTACATTAAAATACAACATTACATATGTATATTTTCTATGTATTTATATCTCCTTGACAAAGTTCCATCTACTTTATGGAAAAGTTGTTGCCCCTCAATGATATGGTGCGTTCTTTTTCCTTCTGTAAAAAGGCTTGCTTCAGAGTATAAGTAGAGATTTCACATATAGAATGCATCAAAAGTCAACCAAATTTCCTCCCATCCTTTGTTGTTCCATCACAAAAATCAAGTCCCTGACAATTCATCTCTTCATGACTCCGTTTTCAGTGCTGGGTAGAAACCGAACACTAACCGAAGTCTTTCCACACTTCGTCACATCTCTGTAAAACAGATAACCACATCAAATGCTTTCCAATACGCTGGGTTTGGACACAGCCAGGGCTCCAACTACAAACCCTGCGTGAACCTGTACCCAATACACGAGACTGAAACAATCCAGACTTACAATCAACATACAAAGCTGTTTCCACACTCGCATACCTGGAATTACAACTTCAACTTGACCCTGTATCACTTCAGTCTCTTGGTCTAAAATACCGTTTGACAATTCTCTTTAAAAAAACACAGCTCCCATTCCATTTCGGTAAACTTAGCAGGTGGTCCATAGGTTTTTAGAGTATTCAATCTAATTACTTCATATTGCTACAGGAACTTAGCTTTTCCCTTGGTAATTTTCCCCACATACAAGTGGCCGTGACTATATAGACTGAGGTTGTTAAACTAAACTGTCATAATATGCATACACACTACAGTTAGTACACATGATATTGAGTTTGGGACTTTCTACTTGTTTGTTATAAAAAAGATGCTAGTAGTGTACGGTGTGGGGAAAATTACCAAGTTCACAAGATTATTAAAAGGTAAGCTTGTCACATGAAGCTGCCAGTGTCTTATTGGCAGCCATGCCCTCGGCTAAGCTCCGCCCACCAGGGAAATTTTGCGAATGACAGACACCAATCTAGTGGCTATGAAAATCTCTTGCTGTACATTTTGGTTCTTATGTTTTGCTGTTGATTTGGTGGATGAAAAGTACAATTTATGCTATACGTTGACGCAAGCGAGCGCTCTACATGCGATTGTGTCTATGAAGAAGGCTTAGAGAGCAATGTCAAAATGCTCCCTGGTGGGGGGAAGCTTGCCAAGGACTGACAATAAGTTCACAACTAAGAAAACATTCTCAGCTCTACAAGGACATACTGGGAATTATTCCCAATGAACCAAAGTCCTCCAGGCGGAAAACTGGTCCACTTCTCTGGAACATTTCCAGCAAAACCTTGTCAGTCACCAAGAAATGCTGTGTTGTTACCAATTTTGTTTCAAACACAGAACATGCTATCTTTCCATTGCTACACCTTCCTAACAAGTGCCGGAAAATTCTGTGTATTTCTTTTATAGCTGCCGTTTTCCCCTACTTTCAACATTACCACTTAATTATAGGAGTGCCAAGGTGTTGAGAAGCTAACCTTTGACCTTACAGCAAAGGATGCTGGTTGAGGTGGTTTCTTCACATTTTTTTTAGGAAATATTCAGCAATGGAAAAATTTGTCTTAATTTCATTTACACCACAAGTATAAGAATCACATCACATAGTCTAAAATTCCATCTTGACACGCAACACAACACAATCTGCGGTTACAATTACTTGGTCAAAAAGGGAGGTAAAAGTTACAAAAAGTAGAGGATTTTTTCTGAAGCATGGGGCCATGAGATTCAGCAAAGCACAAAACGCTGCTGCCTCTTCGAACATTTTTCATAAAGCAGCTTGGAACCTGTCAATAGGTGGCGACGCAATATTGCGTCATCGTGGAAGTGACAGAACTTTCACAACAATTATTTTCATGAAATGCTATGACAGAGCATGAACCGAAGGAAAATGTTTCTAGTTATATTATGGCCTGAAAAAAGCTTTAGAGGTTTGTTAAAGCCTGATATAATATAAACACGCCTTGGGGTGTCTGTGTAATACAGGCACGAAATATGAAGCTAGGATGTCGCATTGACTTCCATGACAAATTTAGAGCATTATCATATGTTCTTGATCAAGATAGCCAGAAAGAGTTGGAGAATGTCCATGGCTGTGAAAGTTCTGTTCACAAAATTTTGGCCCCACTGTGTACCTATTCGTTTTCACTCAACACAAACACAGGAAAACAAAAAGAGAAGCACCGAATCTGAATGATAGATTCACACACAGAGAGGTGGTGACAAAGGGCAGACCGCTGGGCGGTCGCGTGCCCGTGTCTAACCCTCCGATCCGTGTAAACCCCCCAAAATGCAATGCTAGTTACAGTCCAGTACAAAGTTACACCAATAAAACTACAAGATGCAAGATCACTGTACAACTGGTAACATATAGAGTGGTTCATTCAGTCAGTAAAGTTCACACACAGGAGGTCTGGGGGCAGCCACTGTCTCCCCAAAAAGGGGGAAAAAATACTAAAAGCATTTCAATCTCACAACGGGTGCCTGGATATGCAGTAAAATTCAAGCCCTTCCTAATTCCACCATTATTTGCTCTTATTTGTTATGGATATGGTGGTCTTAAATCACTGCCTTTTGATGACATCTTGAATTGATCACAGCAATAAACATTTGACCATTTCACCTTGGTCAAGGCCTTGGGGTTGACATCACAATTGCTTGTTTCGTTTGTGGAACGTGAAATTCTAATATATGAGAGCCCAGTAACGTTTTACCCGGTAAACAGCCTGGAATAAAAACAGAGCACAAAAAGGGTTGCAAACAAGAGTAGACCTTGGCAACGTCCAGCGCGCAAGGTGTAATCGAGTTCGCAGGTGAAGTGGTATTAGGAGGGGGGAATAAGACATAGGCAGGCACCTTAGGTCTTAAATTGTCCATTTTATGTTTGATAATGCAGGTTTGAGGTATTCCCAATGTTTGGTAAACATTCCAATACAATTTGGAACCCCCTGTTACAAGTGTTCATTTTAAGTACCAACAATCGTTTGTCATTTGTAACATACTAGCCATTAGAAAGAGATGGCCATTGGTTAGACTTATTTCGGAAATGTAATTTTTTTTCATGTTTGGGGTGACACGAAATGTTACGGGAAACAACGCAATGCTACTTTCATGCTGAGGGTTTACATGGGGTTATTCTGTAAACCCATTTTATGTTCAGAATGGGGTTTGACAGTGACATGGCACCCCGAGACCTCCAACACATCCCCTTTAAGATCCCAAAGTCCAGCCCACAATTGGCTTACCGCCGGTGGTGGCTGGGAAGTCAGAAGTAAAGTAAATCGGTCACATTATTATCATCCTTTCTCCTCAAAACCATATGGTACACAACCATGGATTTACATACTGGTCAAGTCCTGTCTGTACAAGTAGTACGAGCCATGAGGCAGTGGCCATTGGAGGTTATACCTGAGATATACCCGTTGTTCCTAGGTGCAGGGGAGGTGGGGGTTGGGGGGGTGTCGTTGTGACCTAGCTATTATTTACAGGTCTTCTTCCGAATTTACTGGATACAGATTGGACCAAGATTGAGCTGTTTGTTTCGGGAGAGCGGGAAAGCAATTCGTTGTGCAAAGCACAGCAGATTTTCTCAGCCAAAAAAAGGGAGACTCTGGAAAAGATCTGGCTCCGTCACGAAGGAACAACGTGTACCTTATGACATCAAAGGATGCATGCAAGCTTATTCCGTATGTACAACTAGTCATCACAGCCCACGGACAATTTCTATAGATAAACCGTAAAATATCCTCAACACGTGGTTACAGCCAATTCCTCTTATGTACACAAACATGATTCAGTGATAAAAATCACGCAAGGGCAACATGACGGCTTGCCTATGCTAAGAGCCCAAAAAGGGTCAGCTGCCTGGGCTTGGAATTCATCTATATCTACAAGTACAGCTACTGCGGTCGGTACCACATCCAAACGCCACTGCCTTGGTTCCGTGTGCTTGGGAAAGCAACGGTAAAATGCGGGTGGGGGGAGCAGTGTTATCTCCGGGCTATGTGCAGGCCGTTGGGGAGGCCGTTCGGGGGGCCGTAGGGGAGCTGCAACTCGAACTCCGAGAGCAGGGGGATGTGGTCTGATGGAATGTGTGGATGGGGGCATCCGATGATCTTGTTCTCCGAGAAGTAGTGTGGATCGTACGGGCCCAGCACACCGAGGCACGTCAGCATTTCCGAGTGGAAGATGTAGTCGATCACGCCCTTGAAGTCGAACGTGTAGTTGGTGTGGGGGAGGATGTCGCTCTCGTACGCCTGCTTCAGCTTGAAGGAATGGGTGACTTCGCTGGGCTTGTGGTCGGCGCTGCTGAAGTTCCCCAGACACTCGCTGTACGCCAACTCCTTAAAGTCCAGATGAGAGGTCGATATTCGACCTGTCGCCAGGTACTCTACCACACCTACAAGAGAAGAAAAGTGTCATGCTTTAGTGAGGTTCAAGAATAAACAGTTAGACCTACAATGTAGTTATCTGTTTACATGGTTCTAGTAGTACAGGTATACCGAAGAAATTATTCTAAGCCCTGCCTGTGTGACATTGATGTGTAAGAAATCTTGTTAGACGCCTCAGTGCTGTCCTACAAATAACAACATGAGTTTGCTGAAAAAAGTATTTTGAACCCTGCTTGCCTTTTATAAAGCAGAATCTGCGTAAACTACAGTACATATCTTGAATAACTTCCCATCTGCATGCATACAAATCGCAATCAAAAGTCGAGCATAACTCCATTAACAAGGCATGCATTCCTTGATTAAAACCTCTGCAAAAGCTGTGCACTTTTTCTTAAAACCCTTGTCATGCTGACATTCCTGGCACAATATTTTTCAATAATTTCATGTCTTAATTAGATCATAGACCCCCAAATTTTTAGTTACTTCCGCATTCGTTGCGTTTCGCTGCGGTGTGATGCGTTGCACGAGAAATACCCCCAAATCGTACCTATACAGGGTGCTATATAGATGGTACTGTATGTGCAGAACGACATATGTTGCGCTCAGCAGGACATGGGTTAAAACCATGTCCAGGTCACCCCATGTGGATTGCATTATAGATAGCCAAACACTATTGCAGCTAACTAGAGCACACAGTTAACATGAATTTTAACAGCTTTTAAGCAGAATTTAGATGCAATTTACACAACTTTTGCACAAGAAACGAACAAGATAAATCCGCTCGTAAAACGCATGGAAAGAGAAGTTAATGGAGATCTGTCCTGCAGCCTGTCCACTGCCTGTACCTGAGTCTGGTAAGGAGTTGAGATCCCCACAGAAGATGATGGGTACGTTGCTGATGTCCATCTTGTTGGAGGAGCCGGGCCTGAAGCTGTGGCAGGCCTCCTCCATGATGTTCTTCAGCGCGCTCATGAACATCATGGTCTGGATGATCTTCACGTCCGAGAACTCGGGGTCCCAGTGCATGTGGGCGTTGGCCACCAGAACCAGCTGCCTAGGGTTTACTTCGGGTGGGTAGGCTGGGGAGACAAGAAGGAAAATGTCAATCCCGTTTCAGCTAACTGAAAAACTGCTGATTAAGGATCTGGATAGGTTTTTCAAATGGTCAGATGCTTCAAGTAGCTCGGGGTCCCAGTGCATGTGGGCGTTGGCCACCAGAACCAGCTGCCTAGGGTTTACTTCAGGTGGGTAGGCTGGGGAGACAAGAAGGAAAATGTCAATCTTGTTTCAGCTAACTGAAAAACTGCTGATCAAAGATCTGGATAGGTTTTTCAAATGGTCAGTGACTTGCTAAAGGTAGTGGATGCTACATGACCGTTTCCAAATTTGAAACCCATTCAGTTGCTTGAGGAACCATCACCAACAGAAATGAAAAACTAAGAAGATTTTTGCCCTGTGGGGTAGTACGCATGCCTGGAGTTTAGGGTTAGGTTTGGGGTTATTGCTCAGGTTTGATTTATCCTTAGGAATGGAGTTTAGGTCAGGTTTTGTCTCCAGAACAAGACCAACCCCCTCCCATCCCTAGGGTATATTGGAAAAGTATTGTTGAGAGAAATATTTGGCAGGGGCAATATTTCAACAACCTGTCATTAAATTTGTGGTGAAGATTATGTTTTTAGTAGCGTTTGTTTGTTTGTTTGGAAGTATGTATGTATGTTTGTGGCAAGTTTGGGTAGTTGTAAGGTAAAGGTAATTTTAACATCATGTGCTGTAGGTATGAGATTGTGCAACTCTAGTTAACGTCTAGAGAGTGCGAGAGTGATTCTACTAATTTCTAGGCACCTGACGTTTCTGCAAAGCCATCCTTAGTTTCCAGCAGAGCGGCGATACCGATGTTATCCTTTGTCATGACCCTGTTCAGCATGTCTGCCGACCCTTCCGCGTTTTCCATCGCCATCTTGTTAAACTCCACCAGGTGTTCCTTCACCAGCTGGAACCTAGAAATCAGAATTGTAACATTTAGTATGTGGCATCTGGGCCATGATAACATTTGATACAGGTATTTCGGCCCGTGTGATAACTAGCTGTATCACAGTTCTAAAGGTTATCACACAGGCCCTTACAGGCTTATCCTGGGCCCTACTAGGGTTTGGGTTGGTGTTAGGAAGGGCATCCAGCTGTAAAAATCTTGCTCCAAAAAAGACTTGCATTTGAATGCCAACACATCTAAACTCCGTTTCTGGGAAAAATTATGTGAAAATTGGATAGACAAGCTTCCGAAATGTTCCATAGAATAATTCAAATGCATTTCGTGTGTGCCGCTCTTGAGAATTTGAATACCAGGGAATACTGGGCGCCAAATTTTGGCCATTTTCACTTTACAATGTGTGTTTTCTCAGTTGGGTATGACATAAATAAAATACAACACGGTGTATTCCATATCAACTGAGGTACCAGCCAGACTTTTGTCATCCTAAATCGATGTTAAGCACAATCCTTTTTAAAATTCAATGCAGCTTAGCTATGGCTCAGGTACTTAGCCAATTAAGCAAGCACATCAGGTCACCCCCACTCTTGTCAATGTGTTTTGGGACCTTTCAGCATTCCTGCCAAGAAGGTTATTTTTCAGAGGCGTTCGAGTGTGTGTCTGTGTGTGTGTGTGTCTGTGTGTCCCGAAACACGATAACTTCAGAAGGCTTTAATGGAAATAAGGATCCTATTTGCATAGTCAGGGGGAATAATCTATAATTCGTCAGTCACAAAGATTAACATCATTTGGCAAAGGTATGAGGTCGTGGAACTCTAGTTTCTCAAGCGATAGGACTGTGCATCTCTGTTCCAGTCATGTCCAGACTTGGGCGCAAACCCAGGCCACTGGCACCATGGACTTCGAAATTCGACCATTACTTCAGAACACTACAAACCTTTTCTTGTATGTGAATGGCATACTTACTTATTCGTCTTGAAGAAGATGGCGCAACCGTCGACATATTTCTTCTCTGTGTCGCCCATTGTCTTGGCTCGAGACTTGGGGCTGAATATCCCGTCATACCCGTGCTGTCTCAGCTCCGGAAGGAAGAACGTGTGATACTGTTCTGTTTCTACCTCCTGTCGCAACAAACACACAGGGAGTCAGAACCTTGCCAACAATAGCGTAACAGTTGCTCAAGCAACTGGATAGATTTTGAGAATGGTCAGATGTTTCAGGTAAAATCCATTGGACCACTATCCTTTGTCACTGACGAAAGGTAATGGGAAGTACCTGAAATGATCCCTATTGCTGACAAAAGGTAGTGGATGTTACCTGAAATGTTTGACCATTTTCAAAATCTTCTAGTTGCTTGAGTAATAGTTTGGTACCTTATTGCCTGGATTTCTAATCTTCATCAACATATCTTGTTAATTAAATCCAAGTATGGGCTATACATTCCTGTTAATAATCTCAAGCATAAAGTACCAACCTTACAGTTACTCCAGCTACCACTGGATAGATTTTGAAAAGTCAGTGATTAAAAGGTAATGGGTGCTACCTGAAACATCTGGCCATTTTCAAAATCTATCCAGTTGCTTGAGTAACTGTAACTTTGGTACCTTATTACTTGGATGTCTAACCTTTTTTGACATATCAAGTAAATCCACGTCTGGGCTATACATGTATAGTTCTGCTAATAATCACAAGCATGAAGTATCAAAGTTAGCATTACTCAAGCAACCACTGGATAGGTTTTGAAAAGTCACACGTTTCAGGTAGCATCCACTTCCTTTCGTCAGTCAATAAAGAAAGGTAGTGTATGCTACCAGAAACTACAGAAAGGACCATTTTCGAAATATATCCAATTTCTTGAGTACTGTAATTCACTTTATGTTCACAGTAGCAAAACTTCACGGTCTGAGAAAAATGGACATGTTCACGGAACTATATGTTTACGGTGGCAACAGGTGCAGTAAAAAGGAAGTCCAGGAATCATTTGTTTAACTGTAATGATAAGTTCACGGTACAGAAGTGACTAGTGACAGTAACTATTTCACTCATGTATAACCGGCATCGACATATACATAAAGGACTGCTTACTTGTAAACTGATGATGTCGGCTGTGAAGTTGAGGATCTCGTGTAAGATCCCCTTCTTTCTGTACTCCCAGCCCAGCGCCCAGGACGGACAGTAGCCGTAGATCTGTCTCGTGGCGTACTTGTCGCACAGGACGTTGTAGCACATGACCGAGAAGATGGCGTGGGGTCGCGACCTGTTGGGCTGCTCCAACGTTATCCAAGGTCTCTGCGGTGGCAAGTTGTGGGTAACTGTGGGGGAGGGTGGACATGTTTAGTTAGAACCTTCTGAAAATAAGAAAAATTGTGCATACAGTACAGATCTTGATTAACGCACCTTTCCATGCATTTTACACACAGTTTCAACTATTTCTCATGCAAAACTTGTGTAAATCGTGTTTAAACTGCATGCATTATAAACGTGTATCCAGTTATTCAAGGTCTGTACTGTAGTAAGCTATCAGTACTGTCACATTAATCAATACTTTAACAACAAGAGTATAACAACTTGTTATCTAAAATACTGATACTGTGATGGTACTGTTCTTCACCTTACAGGTTTGTGGGTCCTTGGAAAAGCCCATTTTTTAATAGGTGCATAGTTCTCACTAGGCTGTTTGAGCGTAGGGGCCCCCTACGCTGTGATTTTGACCCCCTACGCTGTGATTTAGCCCCCTACACTGTGTTTCAACCAGCGTAGGGGTGGTTTTTGGGGGCAGAAGCTTCATTAATCTTTAAAAAAATGAAAATATAACTTAAGAATGAAGCTATAACAGAGGGAAAACAAAATCTGTCACCCAATAAACAGTAAATAGTGTCTTAAGTGGTTGATATGAGTTACAAAATTTTGGGGGGAGAATATCAGGCCCATGTTTTTGGGATATCGATGCGTGACTCGCGCCACAGAAAGTTGCCCTTCTATACCTGACCCCTACGCTGTGAAAAAATCCTGGTGAGAACCCTGAGGTGGTTATGAAAAAGTCTATTTTTTGTGTGGAAGTAATTTAGCACTGGTCCGTAACATAATATGGGGGTCGCTGGAAGAGCCCATTCTTGAATAAGGGGATATTTTTTAAGATTTTGGACTAGGGTGACTATAAAAAAAGTCAATACTTTGTACTAAACTTAAGTATTTTTGGACTGGTCCATAACATTACATGGCAGTCACTGGAAGATTCCACTCTTACGTTAACTAGGCAATACAAAAATGCCTTACATGTACCTGCCAAGTTATCAAGCATGTAAGCTAACAATTATTTGTACTACAGTATTTTTGGACTGGTCCATAACATTACGTGGCAGTCACTGGAAGAGTCCACTCTTACATTAACAAGGTAATACAAAAATGCCTTACATGTACCTGCCAAGTTATCAAGCATGTAAGCTAACAACTTGGCCGTTCCGTTCTGCTCTCCGTAGATGCTGAGGATCTCGTGGGACAGCGGGTTCCCGTTCAGCCCCAGCATCTGCAGCTGGAATAGTCTCCCCAGCTCGTACGGGAGCACTCGCAGCATGTTGTTGTTCAGTAAGAGTTCCCTAATATGCAAATAAAGGGAAAAAACATCTAGTTTACCAATTCTTGTTGTTCAGTAAGAGTTCCCTGATATGCAAATCAAGGAAAAAACATCTAGATTAGGCTCGTACGGGAGCACTCGCAGCATGTTGTTGTTCAGTAAGAGTTCCCTAATATGCAAATCAGGGGAAAAACATCTAGGTTAGGCTCGTACGGGAGCACTCGCAGTATGTTGTTGTTCATTAAGAGTTCCCTAAAATGCAAATGAAGGAAAAAAAACCCATCTAGGTTAGGCTCGTACGAGAGCACTGGCAGCATGTCAAATTAACAATATGCAAATCAAGGGAAAAAACATCTAGGTTAGGCTTCACCAATTTAACTTCTTGGCAGTTGGAATAGTCTCCCCAGCTCGTACGGGAGCACTCGCAGCATGTTGTTGTTCAGTAAGAGTTCCCTAATATGCAAATCAAGGGAAAAAAACATCTATGTTAGGCCACACCACTTGTTGGTGCTCGCCTGTTTCATTTTTGTCTAATTTAAAAAAAAAAGTACATGTAACGTTTTACCCCAGCATGTTCAAATTCTTAAACCAGACATTCAAAGAAAGGCATTGTCTTCTTGCTTGTTACAGTTTTTCCAATTTACCAATGCAGTGATTTGATCAGAAGTTAAAAATTCATTGTTTGTTGACTTAGTGGCTCATATGGTAGCATTTGAGGCTATCATAGGATGGCATGGCCTGTTTCTTTCGCCTTGTCACTCCACAAAAATCCAAGAACCAACAAATGAAATCAATGTAGCCTTTCCAAGAAAAATGTCTACAAGACACATATTCACAACGTATAGTAACAGTTTCTGACATAAATGGCACAGTAAAAGACAGATTCAGCAACACTCGACTTCACATTTAGCTTTTGACAAAGTCCCCCATGGCAGGCTTCTCTCAAAACTGGAGTATTATACAATCCAAGGTGCTACACTGAATTGGTTAAAGGCTTTCCTGACCAACAGGGAGAAACATTCTAGGTTACTGAGAAAAATGTTAACAAGACAGATGGCAGGGATCGAAATTCATTTTTTTGATTAGGTGCACTGGTGCACCTAACCAAAAAAATTAGGTGCACCAAAAAAAATTTGGGTGCACCACATATTTCCAGTAGTACATTAATAAGTTAAATATTATTAATATCAAATAAATATTCCACACGTAAAGAATGCTAAAAATGATCGTAGCAAGAGTGGAAATTGCATCGCTATGGAAATAACACAGTAATGATCTTACCGAAAAAGGGCAAATTAGGATGCCGAGATCGAAAAAAAAATATAAAAAAAATCTAGAAATGAAAAAAAAATCACACAAAGCCTCAATCTTTTTGCACTTGACTTCTCGGTTGATTCGGTTTCGGACTCCGACTCTGATGACCCGGAACTGGACAGTCGGAAGGAGCTCGGGAGGCCGTGGAGGAGGGCCCGGGAATGTTGTCGAGAGCACATGGCCGCCCCCCTCCCCCTCTGTCTCGGCGCTCCCACGGCACGGTCTGTCCACTTCTCGCTCGTCCGGGCGTGTTTCCCGTTGGTTTCCAGCTTCATCGCTTCCTTCGGGGTTCTGAAGAGCTTGGGCTGATGTTGCCACATCTCGTCGTCATCACGATCGGACCTCGGCTGAAGGAACCGTAGAAGCGAAGTCTGTCTCGACATATTTGTTTTGCTTTGTCATCCACGAATTTCATGGCCGAATTTTGTCGACACCCGGGTTTTGACGATGTGACCTCGAAGATTATCGAAGTCAAGCGAAAACTGCACGAAAACAACATTTTCTCACATGACAAGCCCCCGAGGTAACTCCCAAAAAGCGTCGGAAAGTTCCGGAAGCGAGTTCGCGATGTTTTGGTCACATGACTATCAAGAAACCGGGGAACGAGAGGGAAGAGATCTCATGTCCAGTGTTGTAGTCGGGATCCGGAAGTTGGTGGGTAACGCGAAGTCGGCACTGCGCCGACACATAATTTTTCGGGCTTTAAAAACTGAAGTAAATCTAATTCTATCTCAAGAATTTCAAACAAGCAGTGCATCAAAGGTTTTTTATTATTTTATTCCATCAAAGCAATGTTGGAATTACAGTGTTTTGTACCTTTACCGTACTAATACTACAAAAATATTTAGGTGCACCGGTGCACCCACAGTCAAAAATTGGGTGCACCGATCCAGATTTGGGTGCACTAAGGTGCACATGCACCCATTATTTCGATCCCTGCAGATGGCCACTTAGGACCGCTGGCCAGGGGAGAAAGATACTGGCCAATCTATGCAGTTGTCCATTTAGCAAATGTAACACAACTCTAGAGTTGCCGGGGAGCCCGAGACAAGATGCATTGTTCAATACCCAGTGTTCAGCCCTGGGCTTTGCAGCACCACTAATTGCTCTACTTCAAGATAAGCAAGCGACTGTGCAAATTACCTTGCAGCGAAATAACGTGCTTCGCACAGTATCCCTAAATTCCACTGAGACCTCAGCGAAGGTTTTAGATTTCTACCTGAGACGTAGGTGTGAAATATTTTTCCAATCAAATTTTATCTCTCAACCGTTTAAAGGTGTGCTGCTGTATTTCTAAACAACATTGACTCAGTATAACAGCAATGCAAACAGTCATTCTGGTCCGTGTTTCAGGTGCCGAGAGTTTTTTTGTTGACTTTAAGCTTCAATCCAAGCTTTTATTCCTACCAGCAGATTTTACATACTAGGCCATACTGATTTGATTATATGGATGAAGGCATCCTTAAACACATGCGACAATGTGAACAAAAATTGGGAAAAAACACTGCTTTCAGAAAGGTTGACCAAATGACTGAACACATAACATGACATGGTATACCAAAGAATACCATGATTCTATAATTTTTGTTCTTCCATATATTCTTCTTTGACTTTGGAAGACTTTGCATAGGGTTCCAAATACAGTTTTCCAAATACAGTCCACAACACTACCATCCAATATTTTTCCGATATTTTACATAATGAAATTGTTACTGGCAAATTTTTTTTTGGAAATGGACAAAAATTGATGCAACCGCCAATGTTATCCATATAATCAAGTCAGTTACTAGTAACATTATAAGAACAGATTCATAAATTGTGGAGAAAGATGGTAAAAGGTACAACAGTGAGGGGGGGGGAGATGTAGAGCAGTAATTAACTGGGATCAGACACAGCCAACATGCTGTGCTAATGCACAACCGCACAGTACTTACAGGCTCTCATTAAAGACTGCAGCACAACTTACCATAGAGCCTCAGCCATTACCCCACCAAGAGATACTGGACGTTACAGGTAATTTTCCCCGCCGGTTGCGTGGGAGTTTCTGTAAGGGATACCGGTCTTTCAAATCCCGTGTCCACCATTATTTGCGTTCCACGTCGTGACTTGTCGAGAGAATGTCCTGGCTACAGCCGGGCCATTGATTGGACCTTTTCTTTCCTCAAGTGCTCGAATGTGGTGCCGTCTTTACTGTTACATAATGGCAGTGTTTTAGCCAGGATTTTTTTTTCTGTCATCTCAATTTTGTTTGACGTAACATCATTTTGAGCACTGAAGGCAAGACAATACTAGGGGGGTTTGGGGATGCTCTCCTGGGGAAATGCTTCAATCAGAACCCTCTAAGGTATTATTGCCTGCATTTTGAGGGGAAAATTTTTGAAGGTAGGCTAAGTTTAGTTTTGTCCGTCACAAGAAGTAAAATTCCACAAATGACATTCACATGCATGTACTACTAGTATATGGTGACAGGAATAGAGCAGACCATGAAATTGCAACATTATGTAACCCAACACCAGTCACCATGTCATTGTCTAATGTCGACGAATCATGTCAACAAATCATGTCATTGGCCAGGTCAGAGGTTAGTGTTTGGAACAGAAGAGGAAGAAACTGAGTAAAAACAATGTTTTCCTTCGGTAAACATAATAAATCCATCCATAGCTTCTTGAGTTATCGTGCTAAACCACATCCGAACATACATCTGAGTATAACCAAAAACATAACCTTCTAGCGAAGGTAATACGTACCTGAGGTTGATAAGGTCTCCCAGTTCTGCCGGTAGACTCCTCAGTTTGTTGCAGGACAGGTCCAGACATTGTAGCATGGTGAGTTTGGCCACGTCGGGGGGAAGCCTGGTCAGATGGTTGTCGTTCAGGTACAGGGACGTCAGGTGGTTCATCTTCCACAGCTGCGGGCTGAGGTTTCGTATCGTACCTGCACAAACAAAACGGATGGGTTAGAAGGTTGGAAACATGTTAAATCTTCTATCATGTCTAGTGATGCATACCGGTTCACTGGACTTGGATCCGGACTTGTAAGAGTGTTTAGGTTCAAGTCCAAAAAAACCTAAAAGTCAAGAACCGAGTCCGGACTTATTACCATAAAAGACCATTTCACATACCCCTTTTCTTTCCAAACCACCTAAAACCTTCCATAGATTGCAAAATCTTTGATGCAAAATGAAGAAAACATTGCTATCGGGCACCGTCAAGTACCGGCCTCCATGTTATGTGGCCAAAGTTTCACCCAGACAACATTGCAAGGTTGCCAACATGCAATTTTGTATATGCCGTGGGTTTAGGTTCAGACTTACAAGTCCGGAACTGAACCTAAACCTCTGGACTTGAATCCAGACCTGAACCTAAATGTGGGTTTAAGTATGCAGCACTACAGGTTCGAAATATTGGGTGCATTTTCACCTTAGTGCACCCAAATATTTTCATAGGTTTACGTCAATATGTAAAGATGTTAAATGTATATAGTATTATACAGCATATTCTTGACATCTAAGCGCAAGAAAAATTAAAATTCAGAAATGTTGAGAAATGAAACATACTTAGTTTTTTTCCTGATATTCTTCTTACTTTATTTCATACATGGTGCGCCCCAAAAAATTATTGTGCTCCCAATTTTTTAGATTTTTTTTAGTCCTGCCCCCCCCTCCCAAATCATACATGGACTAACCCTCACCTGTGATCTCCAGTTCAGGCCAGTGTGATTTTTTCCCAGAAGCCACGTCCTCTGCAGACATAATCTTGTGTGATCGCCGGCCATTTCTGGTGTTCGAGTTGTCATATTTATCTTTAGGCATGCTTAACACCATTTAATCTGAAACACAAAAAAGGAGAAAAATACTGTTACACATCTTTTAACATAATATACCATTTCTTATTCTATTATCAGATAGCAACATACAACTGCATCTGATTAGTGCACATGGTTTACATGGTGCAGAATTTTTTCTAGAGTATTACACAGCTTTCACATGGCTTTCAAATTTGAGTTAAACGTAAGAACCACAGGACAGAGGCAAATGGCAAGCTACCATCAAGCCCCAACATCAGTGTGCAAGCACGTCTAGCCCTCGAAACACTGGAACAACTGACGTGAAACCAGATAGAGAGAGAGATAATTAACGCATGCTACTGGTATTTCAAACACTTCAACTTTAAACGTATAAAATGAAGACAAAATGTACCAACAAATGGCAGTAAATGTCAATTTCCTCCTTCTTAAAAAAGTTCTTATTTCTTGTTTTGTTTGAACAACCCTCAGTCGGCTGTGGTGAATAGTAACCAGGCTAGCACCTTTTAGGTTTGGCTGATTTCCAGCTGTCTCCAAAGGGGCTGTACAGATGGCAGGACTTCCCCACATAATTGACATGGGTGACACACTGGTGTATGTGTTATGTCCATCTAGCATGGCCCTGTTACACCTACTCTGTAGCTGCTATGAGCCGGTCTGACATTGGTAGGACATCTGCCTGCTTCAGACTAAATATGTATCACTTGAAAGCCAACATTCGTGAGCAAATACAAGCTGTTTCTCTTCGCTACGTTGGATGGATTTCTTTCTCCTTAAGTTCAAGGGTGCTGTCCTTGGATTTGCAATGGGGGAGATGTTTATACAAGATAAAAACAAGCTCGTTGGGAGACTTATTCCTGACACGAAAAGCTATCTGCCACCAAAATATTAAGACCACAGAATGTCAAGGAAAAAAGATTCTGTAGTACCAAAGACAGCCACCAGGAGGCTTGCAACAGACTTTGTCCTTCTTCTTCCAAAGACCTACCCAAATACCGAATATAATTGTTGGCTATCTAGACCTTCAATTCAAATTTGTGGAAACAAAGAGACAAACATACACAGACCAAAAACAATACCTCCATTTTTTTTATGGAGGTAATCATGCTATATAACCTTTCTTCTTTACAATAGACAGAATGTGTACCTTTCACTTCACAAAGACCACTAAAAACAACCCTAGGTACTTCACAGAATGTAGCTAAAATAAAAAAAAATGTTGCAATTTGAAATGGGAAATGGGTTCTCATAGGTAGCTCATAGGCCTACATTATTTGGAGACCACCATTCAAGTAATCCCTCTATATCATTGGTAATATAGGTCATAAATAAATGATGTTAGAGACATTAATAAATCATCTCTGGAACCATTAACGTGTCATTTCACAGAAGTTTATCTTCTCATAAAATAATTAGCCAGGAAAGGCATGGGTAGAAACAATGCGTGACCATGGACCAAGTATGTGCACTCTTAGTCTACATTAGTTTTTTTTTATTACACAATACTCCACACCAACCCTTTCGTCCAATCGCCCATTCCTATTTTTTGTCAAAATGAAAAAAAAGGACCACAGTTAACGTTCAGAAAAAAAAGGACCACAGTTAGCGTTCAGAAAAAAAAGGACCACAGTTAGCGTTCAGAAAATTTGCGACCTCCATTTGTCAAATTTTTGGCCAAGTACTATTATCATCGAATTAAATTTTGTATTAATCAAAATATGAAAACATTGGTGCATGTCAATTAACCTATCCTACAACAAAATTTAGTTTTATTTTGAAGTTTGAACTCTAATAATTAAATTTTCAAAATGTCTGCCATAAAAGTTTTTTTTAAGTTACAAATTTTTCTGAAAAAAAATCTGCGAAGCAAGGAATTAACTTGGTGCCGTCTTATCACGACCAAACACAATATACGGCATATGCAAATGATAAAATTTGCATGGATATTACCTTTGTTTGGAGCTATTACAAAGATCAGTAATGCTGATGTGATCATACTATCAACTACAATGCCTCTGGGATAACACATGAATGCTACAGATAATAACTGCCATATATCCCATATCACCCTGACAAGGCAATGCCAATATAATATGAATTCTTCAGAGCTTCTTCCAGTATTTTGAATAAGTTGTACTGAACTATCCTTGGCAATACCAATTTAATTTGTTGGTTCTCAGACTTTAAAAAAAAATATGCAGCAACAGCGAAAAAGGCCTAGGCATCCTATGATAGTCCCAAATGCTAAGCTGATTGATAATTCAAACAATGAATATTGAAAGTCTCCTATCAAACCACTGCATTGATAGATGGAAAACTGTACCAACTTGGAAGACAAGCAAGGACTTTCGAGGAAGACAAGGACTCCTTTAACCTTCTTATAAATGCTGAGGCACCTTTTAGTACCAAATATGTGCTAGGTATCTGGTTAGGTGCCAAGGTAAAGGTTAAAATAAAGTTGAAACACAACTTCCTTTATAGTTTCAAACAAAAACAAAGTCTTGATTGTTCTTCATTACAGAGAGATATTTCAGAGATATCTGTCTTAATTGTTGACGCCATGAAGCATCCTTTGTTTACCTTTGGGTTCACGTGCCTTAAGGCCACCCTTCGGAGATTCGGATCACTGCTCTAGGACACTGCAGGAAACTTCAAGGGCGTACAACATAACGACCTTTGTCTAAACATCATCACCTCTTTTGGAAAACTGCTGCATGTTTTTAAAGTCAGTCTTTTTCTCCAGGCTTTTCCTTTTGCACGCAAGGTCCCAGTCTCACCGAAGCGTGCTGGATTATCTTTAAGTTTCTTTACCACTTGTCACTTACGTTTGTTTTGCTCCCACCAAGGTAAAGCCGCTCGACTGGCTAAAGAGAACCAGATAAACAAGCCATTGTTATGCAAAAAACGTCGATGTTGACATAGCGCAAGAGGTAACCCAACACAAATGTTACCCGACTCGAGGGGATTTTCTGGAAAGGCTTTGTGAATGAAACAGAATTCTAGAATGGTTACCTTGGGGAAAACAGTATAGTCTCGCACTGTTACTGTACATGGTTCTGAGCGAGTGGTATTTTTGTGTGTGAAAGTCCCTTCTCCCTGTTACAACTGTTAAGTAAATTTGTCTACTTCAAGACTTTGTACTTGTAGGGCTTGACATACTTTTTTCTACATACCAGCACCCCTCCATTCTTACACTGATAAATGTACTATGAAACAAATGTGCCTATATCACCCGTCCTTTCTTACATTGACAAGTGTACTATGAAACAAATGTGCCTACACCACCCCTCCATTTTTACATTGATAAGTGTATAGCATGAAACAAATGTGCCTATATCACCCCTCCATTCTTACATTGACAAGCGTGCTAACAAACGTGCCTACACCACAGCACCCCTCCATTCTTATATTGATAAGTGTACAGCATGAAATAAATGTGCCTATATCACCCTTCTATTCTTACATTGATAAGTGTACTATGAAACAAATGTGGCTATATCACCCCTCCATTCTTACATTGATAAGTGTACAGCATGAAACAAATGTGCCTACACCACCCCTCCATTCTTACATTGATAAGTGCACTATGAAACAAATTTGCCTACACCACCCCTCCATTCTTACATTGATAAGTGCACTTACTGTGACTATGAAACAAATGTGCCTACACCACCCCTCCAATCTTACATTGATAAGTGTACAGCATGAAACAAGTGCCTACACCACCCCTGCATTCTTACATTGATAAGTGTACTGTGAAACAAATGTGCGGCCTATATCACCTCTCCATTCTTACATTGATAAGTGTACTATGAAACAAAAGTGCCTACACCACCCCTGCATTCTTACATTGATAGGTGTACAGCATGAAACAAATGTGCCTACACCACCCCTTCATTCTTACATTGACAAGTGTACAGCATGAAACAAATGTGCCTATATCACCCCTCCATTCTTACATTGATAAGTGTACTATGAGTATGAAACAAATGTGCCTATATCACCCCTCCATTCTTGCATTGACAAGTGTACTATGAAACAAACGTGCCTACACCACCCCTCCATTCTTACATTGATAGGTGTACTATGAAACAAACGTGCCTACACCACCCCTCCATTCTTACATTGATAAGTGTACTATGCAACAAAAGTGCCTACAACAGACAGATGTTTTCTGAGTGAAAGAGAGTCAGTAAAGCTGTACACTGAACATCCCAACTGTGAGGATAATCTACAGGCCTGTAAGTCATTAGACTCAGTAGTTTTCCTTTCTACACTGTACTAAGAAGATTAGACATGATTAATGATTGCTAATAATAAATAAAGATCCATCCCTGCCCCCCTCCCCCTTACATACCAGTGATCGAAATACTTTTTTTCAGTGCTCTGCAATATTGCAGAAGAGTCAAAATTTTGTTCTGCAATTTGGAAATACTTTCTGCAAATACACAAGCCTCCATACTACAATTTGTAGATTTATAAGCATTAACTATTGATTGATATGCAAATTAGTGAAGACAAATTCCAAAAAGTCCAAAAAGAAACAAAAGATACTAGATAAGTCAAGACAAGGTTGATGCAAATTAGTGAAGAAGCTCCTGTTGTTTCAGAACAGGAGCTTAAGTGTTGTCTGTCCTTCGGGCCAAGAGCGCCAAGTCCCAAGTGCCAATTTTTCCTGCTGCAAAATTGCAGATTGTATAAATTTTCTCCTGCAATCTTGAAAATCTATCTGCAGATTGCAGCCTGCAGACAGGTATTTCGAACACTGCATACCCTGATACTGTGAAACCATTTTCTGAAAGCTATCAAGCACAGTATTAACAGGCAACCCACTGGGTCTATGACGTGGGTATACAAAGTACAGTAGTATGGACAAAGTTCTTGAAGCCTGGCTAGAGTGTCTGATGTAAGGCCACACCAATTTATTTTCTTGGTTAACGGATTTTTGTAGAAAAAAAATGGAGCGGGCGGGCGAAAAAAAATAAAAATAAAAATTTGATACTACCTGCCATACAGCCATGTAG